TGTTCGCTCCGTGTGTGATGCAGGTGCGCGAGTATAACGTGAGTTGAGTTGGAGTGCGCGGAGCGGCGTGTGTGTGGGCGTGCGTGCGTTCGCTCCGTGTGGGTTGCAGGCGCGCGATTGGGAAGGGAAGTATCGTAGTAGAGAGGGGCAGGATACTACTCGGTAATTGACCATGCCCATTGCGCGGACCCGCGGTGGAGGGGAATCCTCGAGCGGCGGCTTCCACACCATGGGTGAGGAGCTCAGCGGCGGTTCGCACAGCAGCGGGGGAGCGAGGGATGATGTTGGCCCGGCCGTTGGCATTGTCGAGGGAGGGATCTCGGGGGCTAGCGACCTCGACACCCTCTCGGGTTCACCGAGACTGTCACGTCCTCAACTGCCCTCTGCCACCAGAACCATCCCCCCTAGGGTCCCCTTCCATGCTATACATACTCTAGTGCCAGAGAGAGGCTCTAACACGCACAGTTGCACTCGTCTCTCAGTAATTGGCGCTAAACGCCATAGTGACTCAATATACGTCACTACACACGGGTACATTAAAGTCTCCTCGTAATTGTAACTTTAATACATTTGAAACAGGGTGGTTCGTTTTAAAGTACGCGAAGACGTAACATTTTCATTTATCAAAGGTCCAGTGTGTTTCGTCTCTCCCTTCTTATTTTGTGGGGGAGCAGAAGTGCAGTGGTTAGTGCCCTGAGCTACGAACCTGGCGACCAAGTGACGAATATCTGAATCGGTCCTAGGCCTCCCGTTAGGTCGACTCAGCCTTAAATGGTTATCCGATGTGGTGTGTAAACATCGTTACTGGGGAGAGAAAGGCGGACGGGCGTGGTGAAACAACCCCTTCGTGAGCCGTGCCGGCCTTCATAGGTGCTCGCTAACAGCACTTGTCCCAACAGTATGCTAAGGCTATAGGGGGCATCTTTGTTGCCTTTGTGTAAGTGCACACGAGTGTGTGTGTGTAAGTCAGTGGCAGAAATTCCACATTCCCATGGTGGAAAACCTATCAGCAGTGGGAAGATAAAGGCGGCCAGGTGCGGTACTGGCTATCCATCCCCTCGTGTGCCATGCAATCCCATCTCCGATTAGCACGGTTGGCTACGTACATTGCGAAAGAAGTTCAACATAGTACATACAGAACCTGAATTTAAACGTTATCCAGGTGACATTTGAATGTTGTGACAAATGTTACGATTTACCAACGTTCGGTCAATGAATTTTCACGTGAACGCAATTGACAAATTATGGACACTTTTCGAGAAGAAATCGAAATTCTGCGTAAACGAAATTTCACAATGGCCAGGCGCTGTGAGATCATCATACGAGAAGCACCCAGGAGGCTGCGCCGTTATCTATCCGCGAAAGTGTCACGGTGGCCCTGCAGTGCAACACTAACGCCTCCACATCATTCCTCCACATCATTCTAACACTCGTTTTTTGTTCTTGATTGTTATTTGTGTATTGTGAAAATGTATCCCTAATCTTTAGTATTACATTAATGGGAAAAGCCATTCCAATTCACGAAATTTCGTTTTTTGTGTTGCTTTTTGAATGCATCCCTTTCATAAATCCAGGGATACCTGTACAATCGAAGTAGGATGGCAAATGTGGGTCAGATAAATGTCACACTTCTTAAACAGTGCGTATGTAATGCGGGCGTAAACGGCCCTCCGGAGGTGACGTCATGAGGGGAGGAGTTAGGTCACGTGGGGGGAGAGGGGTTAAGCTATAGAAGGAGGGGAACCGGAAGAGGAGGGGGAGTGACGGGGAACCAGGAACAGGGAGAGGCCACGAAGGGCGAAGCAGAGGGTGGCGAGATCGCCACGAACACGGGGGAGCGAGGATCGGCACCGTTGGCCAGCGGTGACCGACCCGAAGCAGCGAGGAGGCTGCAGTCAGCAGCGGGGCTGCATAGAGAGTCAGCAGCGGGGCTGCATACAGAGTCAGCAGCGGGCCTGCATACAGTAGCAGCCAAGGGGCAACCCCGGCCACGGTGGGTGATGTGCGTCGGTTTTTGGGGTTCGCCTCATATTATCGGAGGTTTGTTCCGAATTTCGCTACTATCGCCAGGCCTTTGCATCTCCTTACTGGGAAGGGGCATAAATTTGTGTGGGGATCGCCGGAGGAGGCGGCGTTTCGGAGCCTGCGCGATTTACTGGCTACTGCACCGACGTTGGATTATCCGGATTTTGAACATCCCTTCATTCTGGATACTGATGCGAGTGACACTGGTATTGGGGCGGTGTTGTCCCAGTCAAAAGGTGGTGTTGAGCGTGTGGTGGCGTATGTGGAGTCGAGTTTTGTCTCCCGCGGAAACCCGTTACTGCGTCACTCGCAGGGAACTTTTGGCCATTGTTTTTTTTCTCCGCCAATTTCGACCGTATCTGTACGGTCGGTCGTTTATTGTCCGCACGGACCATGCGGCCTTGCAGTATGCTCTTAAGATGGACCAGCCATCCGGACAATTGGCGAGGTGGCTGGACACGCTGCAAGAATTTTCCTTCCAAATTCACCATCGGAAGGGTGTGCGTCACGCTAACGCGGACGCACTTTCCAGGTTGCCGCAACAATCCCCTTGTGCGTGTGCGTCGGGGACGCATAGGTGTGGACCGATGCAGCTCCCCCCTCAGCCTGTCGCGCTGGCGGTAGATGTTCTCGAAACTCCGCTTACACCGGGACCGGTTGATGGGGGACCGACTGACGGGATTTTGCGTCTTCCGAGGTCTGTGTGGATTCGGGAGCAAATGTTGGACGATTCTTTGGTGTCGTTACGAAAACGAACGGAGAAGGCGGGTAAGGAACTCGGTGCGGGTGGTATTTCGGAAACTGCTCTCCGAGATGGGTTGCTGATGTGGAGGGAAGGGATACAGGAACACTGGCGTCTCGTTGTACCTGCGTCATTGCGGTACGAGTTGATCAGATCTTTGCACTGTGACACACTTTTACATCTGGGGGTGCAGAAAACCCTATTGACGCTGCAACGAGATTATTATTGGCACGGCATGACGACAGATGTCGTCGGTCACGTTCGCGCGTGTCCCGATTGTGCCCGCCGTAAGCCGCCTAAACATCCATATGTTCCGCCGATACAATCGATTCAAGTATCTCGGGTTAATGAGCTGGTGGCGTTAGATATTTTGGGACCCTTTCCGCCATCCGCTAAGGGAAATAAGTATTTACTGGTGGGGGTGGAGTACCTCTCCCGCTGGCCGATGGCCTGGCCTTTGCCTGACCAGTCAGCGGCGTCTATCACTGACGCCTTTCTATTTGGGTATGTAATGGACAAGGGGGCGCCGGAGAGGCTCCTTACAGATCAAGGGCGTAACTTTTCGTCCAAATTGTTGGGGGAGGTGTGTGCGGCTCTTGGAACTAAAAAGATACGGACATCCCCCTACCACCCACAAACGGATGGTATGGTGGAACGGTTGAATCGGACTCTGTCCGCCATGCTGTGCCATACAGTCGGGGAAAATCAATCTGATTGGGATTTGCATATCCCTGGGGTGCTTTCGGCGTATCGCATGACGCCGCACGCGGCTACTGGATACTCGCCGTTCTTTCTTATGTACGGCCGTGAAAATGTGCCGCCGATTAATGAGCAGTTGGGAACCGGTGCGAGGAGACCTGTTAAGCCTCTTCCTGAGTATATTCAGGACAACGTTCGCCGTGTCACTGAGGCGAGGGAAAGAGCCCGCATGGCTACAGCCAAAGCCCAGGCCAGGAATGAGCGGTGTGCCCGACGTTCGAAGGGGGAGTGCCCCTGGAAAAAGGGGGACCTGGCCTGGCTTCATTGCCCGCAGGTGCGGCCAGGTACCTCTCCTAAATTACATAAACCGTGGCAAGGTCCGGTCCGCCTCATTGAGGTTCCCAACCCGCAGTCGGCGCGTGTTCAGGTTGGTTCGCGGCGCTGGTTCGTGCATACATCCCGGTTGAAGCCATACATTGCCCCGCGGCCGGATGCGTCATCTCCCGAAGTTGCCTTGCCGGGGTCTGTTGCTGCCGACTCGCCCTTGCCTGTGTCTGCTGACCTTGCGAGAGCGCCTGTCGTACCCTTCACAGACAAGCCGGCCGTGACGCCGCAGGGAGGAGGACGTTCCGCTCGTGGGATGCCGACCGGAGCCGCTGAACCTACGGGACCTGCAGCTCTTCCTATCCCTCCGCGGACGCGATTACGGGATGTCTCTGGACGCGACCGGGACAGTGGCGGGCCTCCAATGGCGACGGATGAACTCGCTCCCGTCGCCCTTAAAACCCTTCCACGTTCCCGCTCAGCGGGTGGGCTGCCGACCGTCCGGGACGGCCCGGCTACCCGTACTCGCTCGAAATCCCTCACGTTTCGTTAAAATTGTGTTGTGTTCTTGTTATATTGTTGTTGCATGCTTCGTGTCTTTTTACGTGTTGGTCCTTTACACCCGCATTGCTTGTCAGGTTGCAATTCAGCCGAGGTCGGCTGGATTTTCTTTATGGGGGAGGGTGATGTAATGCGGGCGTAAACGGCCCTCCGGAGGTGACGTCATGAGGGGAGGAGTTAGGTCACGTGGGGGGAGAGGGGTTAAGCTATAGAAGGAGGGGAACCGGAAGAGGAGGGGGAGTGACGGGGAACCAGGAACAGGGAGAGGCCACGAAGGGCGAAGCAGAGGGTGGCGAGATCGCCACGAACACGGGGGAGCGAGGATCGGCACCGTTGGCCAGCGGTGACCGACCCGAAGCAGCGAGGAGGCTGCAGTCAGCAGCGGGGCTGCATAGAGAGTCAGCAGCGGGGCTGCATACAGAGTCAGCAGCGGGTCTGCATACAGTAGCAGCCAAGAGGGTCTGCATAAAGGGGTAGCAGCGAGTCTGCAGGGAGAGAACGGAGGTTACGGTAGATGAAGCAGAGAGTCTGCGGGAAGAGAAAGGAAGCTATAAAAGAGAGTCAACAGCCGGGGGCTACAAAGACAGTGTTATCACAGAGTGCCGTGTGGGAGAAGACAAGAACCCAATAAAGGACACGAAGACAGAAAGAAGTGTCTGAGTCTTTTTATTACACATACAATGAAAACTAAATTCAGCATCTGCAGTCCAATTCATTAATGTTTATCACGAGATCATGTGACTTTATATGTTTAGCCAGTACTGGGCAACCTGGTACAACAGTATACTGTTTAATCTTGATTTTAAGCTTTCGTGACTGCAGGAATCCATACTCTTTGGTTCTTTCGGTAAAGTCACGTGACATTACCGAAAAAAACAGAATATACTGTTTAATTGAAAAAAAAAGTTTTGAAATACCGAAGGTACGCTTTGTGGAAACCTTTGTTCCACATTGCAGAGTTAAGGTCAGGGTAGTCAACACTGTTGGCAATGTGTGCATGGCTCCAGATACCAGTGGTCAACATTGGCCATCCAGTAGAGAATCTGGTCTGCACCATAAAATAAAAAGCGGTGACTCCAGGGTCTTTAAATACAATTAGCACTGCATTTATTACTCATTTTAGCTGGAGACACGTGGTCTTTTGACTTGAAAACTTCAACATATGTAGTTAATTAAAATATTCAAACATGATGCAAAGTCGTTGCATATTTACCATATACGGTACAATTCCTCTTAACTGCAATGCCCCGTCTAAGAGGCAATTCCTTCGGGCCGTCGGGTTGACGTTCGGGCTCGTGTTACCTGAACCGCAGCGTCCCAAACTATATATAAATCACGGCTTTGTAGAAGTAATTTCGTTTTCCCAAACATCCTAACATAGGACCACAAGCCTGGCAATTGTGTTGCGCCAGTGCTTGCGGCCTTTCCGCTTGGCTATGGTTTCCTGCGCAATTGAATCGTTCTCTTTGTCCGAGAGTGAACAAAAAAACTGTGCGAGTTACGAATTCTACACTTTTATTTTACCGAGACGCTCCCATTATGCCCAACTCGTGTGTAGCCTCCTCCTGTCAATGTGCAGGCATGTGTACGGCATAGCGCATGCAATAGACGTAGCGCTCAAGGGCCAGGAGGTGGTACAGCAAGTTCGGACTAATCTCCATCTGTTCCATCTGTATCAGATAGAGTTGCGTGGGTTTTCTCCAGGTGCTCCAGTTTCCTCCCACGTGTAAAGACATATGTAACACATATACAGAATATGCACACCCATGTTTTCAGTTTACATAAAGGATGCTAAATCAACAGTGATCAATATTATTAATATAAATGCCCAACTTTATCTGTCATGAACATGAACACTGCACTTCCCGTCGTTTTCATGTAGGGGGCGTTGCAAACCTACACGTCCCGTGCATGTGTTGCGCCGTCATAAGGCGCTGTGGGCAGCTGACCTGCCACCACGCTCACGGGCCGACAGGGGTAGGGGCTGAGGAGGATCCCCCCCACCACTTCCTAAGACCCCTTAAGATAAGAGCCTTCCCCCCCCTGACCAAAGGTTGACACCCCAGAGCCCCCAGGGGTGGGGGCTAAGACCCCTTAAGATAAGACCTTCTAAAAGATTCTAGGGGAGGGGCATGAGGGGAGGGGTGACCCCGACCTGGGGATAAAAGGCCAGCCCTCGGGACGGTCAGGGCAGTATCCGCCAACTCAAGCCTAAAGACATCTGAAGATCTGGAGACTGGACTAAGCGACCCGGGGACCCTCAACCGTGGCTCTTGTGCAGCACGGGTTGAAGCAGAGCCGAGGTCGCTCGGACCCCCTGGGACCCTCCCCACGGCTCTCGCTAAGCCGGGGTTGAAGTGGTCCAAGGCGAGTCCCGGACCCTGGGTGGGAGGGTCGGTCCAGCCTCCCGCCGTCACAAGGGACCGGCGTGTGCGTAGCCCGGAGTGGGTAGGGTACGCTAGGAGGGAGGCTGTCCCTCCCTTAGACTATCGAGTGGAAGAGAGTAGTGTGTAACATAGTGTTACAGAGGGTTAAGAGTTGTAATAAACGCGTTGCCTCCAGCAGACGTCTCCGTGGTTAGTTCTAGAACACAACACATGTGAAATGGTGTTATTGGACGAATGTACACCATCTCCGGGTGATAGCTACTAATTCTAGATTTGAAGCTTTCGTGACTGCAAGGATTCATACTCTTAGTTCTTTCGGTAAAGTCACGTAGGTAAAAATGAAATTAAAATTAATAACAAAAACAATAAAATCACGTTTCGGAGGCAACACAAGCGTCCGTCTTCAGGTGAAACTGTCACAGCAAAAAAATCTGTATACAGTCAGCCGGGAAAACGGATCCTGGAACGAATGGGCACAGCCCCCAAGTAGGGGGCCCCCAAGTAGGGGGCTGTGGGGGAATTATGTCACCCTTCCAGAACCTGGTGGAAGGTTCGGGAAGGGAGGCGTGGCTAGGGCGGAGCAAGCCACAGAGCAGGATAAAAGGCCGGACCCCGGGAGGGTTCGGGGAGTTGTGCCAGCTGAAGACAGAAGAGCCAGTGAAGACTGAAGACCGGCTAGCTAGGACCCTGACCTCCTCTGACCTGCCGTCCTTATCAGGGCCGGGCGGAGTGAGCCAGTGGTGCGACCCTGGAAGCCTCGGAGCCCGACGTTCTTATCAGGGCCGGGTCCGTATGGCTGGCAGTCGAGACCTGTACCTTGACTAGGGTCAGGTCTGCTAGCCTCCCCGAGGACCCTCTTAGCCGGAGGACCCGGGACCATAGCCTCTCTCTGTCTATGATGAATATCATGAACGCTTGAGAGAGAAAACGAGGCGATTCGGTGTTGATTTCCGGAATCGACTTGGCCCCCACCGACACGACTTTGCCATTTGTTTTGCGACGATGACAATTTCCCATTCTTCCCGCATACGCTATCACATTCAACAAGTTGCAGGGACAGACGTTCCATTATGTTGGTAAGCGCACAACTTTATCTATCTTTCTATGATGATTACTAGGTTGTTGGGGGGCGCCTATGGCGCCCCCCAACAACCTAGTTATTAAATAATAGTTTGTCCCACAATGTACAACATTGAAATTAAAGTGAATTTGTTCTATCACATTTCTATTTATACTAATGGTGATGTATAAAACATTTTCCTCTACATGCCTAAATATGCATATTTTAATGTTTAATGCTTTGTGGTATACTAGTGTTGATTTTAGAACCTAGGTTTTTGCTTTGAAATGTGTAAATGCGATGAGCAATTGTTCAGATGTAGATTTATTGAGATCGACATTCCCTCCAGATTATCTTCGTGTCATCAGAATGAAGTGTGGTGTGCAAGTTCAAATATGTTGATTAGTCTTGCTGGTCTCATAGTTTTCGTTTGGAGTGCCGGGCACGGTTCATACTCCAGATCACAGCAGTCTGTCGATCCTGATTTGTCACAGCGCTGAAATCCAGAGATTTGAGAGAAGGCAGTGCTGATAGCACATAGTAGCTGCAACAAAGACATGCAGGGACAATAAATGAGTCATTTTAACATGTAGGCTTTCATGACCAATATTATTTATAATAAAGGCTTTTGGGTTAGATCGTGTAAGTATAAATTTATCGTAACCCTCCACCACCAAACACAGCCAGTAAGGTTTGGCACGTAAACAACGCGCCAATTAGAGTACTAATTCAGCCCACCGGTGTGTTGGAGAGTAAATCCACAACATTTATACTCACATGATGATCTAACCCAAAAACCTTTATTATGAATAATAAATTAGTGCATTACATTTCGATTTAAAGCTTTCGCGACTGCAGGGATTCATCTTCTTGTTCATGAACACTGTTCATTGGAGCGCTGTCTTTCAGACAGCTCTGTCTTCACCTGAGGACGGCTGCTTGTGTTGTGGCAGAAACGTCGTGAGAATTTTATGTTTTATTTTTATTATTTTATTATTTCCCTTCTACGTGACTTTACTGAAAGAACCAAGAAGATAGTGCATTACAGTTTATCATATTTTACAATTAGTACATTTGGTATTCACGCAATTCTTATGACGCGAAGTTATCATGAAGCAAAGCGCTACGTTTCACAAAGTCTACAGTTGTTTAGTAGGAGGCGATGTTGCTACATTCAATCCGAATTGAGTAATTTGCAGGTAATTCTTTAAATTAAAAAAATTCTGGACCGTGACACTGGCACACAATGGCCTGCTCAAATCGAATGACCTCACGGGATCTTTAACGTCCACCGTGAGGCAGACGGCGTGAAGTATTTACCGGTCAATACAACAGCAGTATTAATCACGGCGATTGCTGGATTAGAACTGCAAACCTCATCAACGAGCGGTCAAAGCGCTACTGCTGGACTGTGTCACGGCTCCGTTGTAAGCCGCGGGTATTGTGTGTGCTGGTACCGGTAGTGGTTCTCCGTCTCAATTGGGTTCCCGTGCAGCGTTAGTGAACGGAGATGACGCAAGGGGACCAGGGTGCTGACATTGGAGAGCCGAGACACCGTGTTACCATGGAGATAGAGCACACGCAGCTCCTGCAGCTCACACAGCACCTGGCATATGGACGCACAGAGTCAGTGTGCCAAGTGAAGTGTCACACAGCACCTGGAGCATGAAGTTAGTGTGCCGAGTGAAGTGTCACACAGTACCTGGCGCACGGAAGCATGGAGTCCGTTTGCCAAGTGAAGTGTCACATAGCACCTGTGCGTGTGGACACATGGAAACCTTTCAGATCATCCTGTGTACTTTCTAAGGTGAAAGTGCATATCTGCACCTACTTGCGGAATGTCCGACAGTTGGTTGAAAGAAAGATCAATCCATGCCAGGGCAGAAGGCTGCTGAATCAGTGCCGCTGTCGTCTCCCAGAATCCTTCAAGGTTTGTCAGCGCATTGTTGTTCAAGCGCAGGGCCGTCACGTCATACTTGTGTTCACTCTGTGCGGTGTCTGTGCTTGGGGCCACGCTCGCATAACCAAGCGACCCGACTTCAGCAACGCGCATAGATGTTGTTCCACTTCCTGCCATAATCGCATCCTCAGTTTTGTGTTGACTTGGTGCCTTCACAGCATTGGCATTTCGCGCCTTTGCTTCCGCTGGCACACTCCGAGGATCTTCTGTGAGCAAGTCTGACAGCGACACGACACAAACAACACACTCCAAATAACGCCATAAATAAGGTAGGCATCAGTGCACACTACAAGGCAAGGATAAAGGGGTATACAGTAAAACACGAATGAAAAAATAAACCCGTCACAAACTCAGCGGCTAACACCGACTGAGCAAAGTAAATTTCAACCACGTGCAAAATAAAGAGCAACTGTGCACAACGAATAGCATAATAAAGGTAAGTGGTAAATACAATAAGTAATAAGCAAATAAAAAGTAAAAAAAGAATTTGCTTGGCACTCCAACTTCATTACCAGATCAATGTAAAATATTTGTCTAGAACCAAACATAAATAACGAATTTTTCTGCAATCTTGCTTATGTTGTTGCTTATTATAGTATTCAGCGGCAAAATAACGGAACGTACTATTTGGTGCATTCCTATTTTTGTGTCATCTGAAGACTGCTTAGCCTCAGTGAATATGCATGCTTCATATGAACCTTATGGCGGGACCCCGGGGTCCCATAAGCCCCCGGCTCTCGCATAAACATTTTCATGTAAACAAAAACTTTGCTTTTTCACCAATGGGTTTGTAGGATGGTGGCAAGTGTTGTCTTAAAAGTGTTGTCTTGTTAAACTATGCCTTTACAACTGAAAACTACTTACTTGCAGTACCTCTATTTAAATACACTATCGAAAAAATAATTTACACCCCTCTGTCAATCATCGCGTTTTTAAGTGTGGATTTGTGAACACACTTTATAAACAGTACATAAAATAGTACGCGTTTTCAAGGCGCTGTTCATGTTGTAACAAGCGTTTACAGTATACCAATATTACTCTACAGAGTAGTGGGTCGCCGCTCCTCTTGTCCACATTGTGGGGACTTATGGCTTAACCGCAAAAAAACCCTATCTGCACAGATGCATAAGGACAAGAGAAGTATTATCAAACAGGAGGAATTAACTGTGCAACGCATCTCATCTGTTAAATATCCACAGGTAATAGGATTGTCATTGATTGATCCTGGCTGCAGACATTGGTAGGTCACAAATAATAATGAAGAGAGCAGTTTCACTGTATTATGCATACCGTTATGACAAATTAAGGACTTAAGTCGTGTAGGCAGTTTGATCAGCTTTGGATACGACTTATGATCCTGCCCATACCCGAGCATGGAGTACATGGAGTGCATTCGCTTGTTCAGCTCTTCTGCGCATTCGTCCTCGCTACGCTTGGACGACACGACATGACAACAGAATGATCCGCGCCTGGTGGGTCGCGGCGTTTATGTGCGTGGTGGGACGGAGTCGCCAAAAATAAATTACGATTTTGACTTCTGTTTATTCGGGACCCCGGGGTCTCGCCATGAGGTTCCTTATGCTCAAGCTGTGAGGAGTTGTCCTGGCAGTGGGGTATTATAATTAGTACTGTACTGGTTGAGAAGAACCCATTGCTTTGCAATGGATATATCTATATACTGTATATATAAAAGGGAAATTTGTGAATGTGTCTGCTTGAAATGTTTAGCATACTTCCCGACATGTAACAAACATGTGGGTAGTTTCCAGACTGTACACAATGCAAAAAGTATAAAAATAGACTTTTGTATCTTTTTTTGGGGGGGGGGGGGGGGGCGCAATAATGGTTATTTTGCACGGCAAGTGAGCGGTCACACCACCCGCATGCGGCAGCGTTACGCAGTGCGCCTGCTGACGTCACCCCCCCCCCGCCCAACCCTCCGCGTAGGCCCTGTATCCCGCACAAAGCGCCGCGAGAATCGATATCTGGTGAGCGTTTGTGGTATCGATTAAACGCCAATACAACCTTAGATTCCTTTGTTTGATTTAAAGAATCGGATCTTGGCGCGCGACCGTAAGTTTTTATTTCCACCGCGCGTTGGGTTTTATTTGAATTAATGAGGTAATGATCAAAGTTTTATTTTCATTTGTATATGTTATTTTTTAAGTTTTGAGAAGTTTTTTAATATATTTTCCCCCCGGGCAACGCCGGGTACTTCTCGCTAGTATAAAATATAAGATTGCTGTTATTTCCATACTCTTCTCACAATCCTGTACCATACTCGGAAACTAAAATTGATCTAACTTTTTACTAAATAAAATGCCAAGACAAAACGTATTATGATGTGTTTTTTTATATTCTGTAGGATTTAAAGATTATTCTGGCAAAAAAATCCACTAATTCAGAAGTTGGAGCTTACGTAAATGAACCGTCTTCTGTATTTGTTACCCCAAACTCTTTGGTGTCGCTATCACTGTCGTGTTATGTCTTCCAAACTTCTACCGCCGTTTAAACTCAATACTTGTTACACGGAAGATCCCGTTAAGACGGTTTAGCCCAGCAAGCTTCGGTAGCAACCGCCCGCAGCAGCCACCAACTACAGAGCGACTTACGGGACCGTTTGTGTCAACGAAACACCAAGCAAACTAATAGATGTGTGTGTCTACATGTTATACCACAAGCACGTGTGGTTAATGCGGACTCAATTCCTCGCAAAATATACCTATTTGACGTTTGAACATCTTAACACCTCAATCTTGATTTGAAGCTTTCGTGACTGCAGGAATCCATACTCTTTGGTTCTTTCGGTAAAGTCACGTAGGTAGAAAATAACATAAATCTTAACACCTATTTATTGCCAGAATGGGTGACACCTATTCTTATTTTTCAAACAGAGCTACCGTTGGGCTGGAGAGAAACCACAGCCAGCCAGGAAACTCGAGGCATCAATAGTCTGGTGCCTCTTTTCAGGAGGGTCTTGCCTTGTGATTGCAGCAGCAGCAGGGGGCGATGTTGCTGCGGTGTGGAATACCAATCGAGTGATTTGCTGGAAATATATTTCAGCATTAGATGGTTTGGCCAAACACAGTTACACTCTTTATGTATTTTTATGACAGGGGACCAGAGTACACACGTTGCAACCCCACGCGGAACAGGGGGGAAAGCACACAAACTCCACACAGAAAGGGGCCCAAGTCGGTAATCTAACCCAGGTGCTTCTCGCTACGAGTTACCACTGCGTCGCCACCCTGCCGCCTCGTGTACCTTCCATGGCGGTGATGCAGCGAAATGAGAAGTCCAGCGTGGCGCCACTGGCGCTCTGCGCGCCCTTGCCGCCTCTCTGGGTGGCGGCGGCGGCGGACATTTCGTCCGACATCTGCGAACAGCAGCGGGGTGGGGGACACGCTCCAAAGGAGACCACCCGCGCCTCGTATCCCCGTGCACCTGCCTCCCGGCGACCCTCCCCACCCGCCCGCCCGCTCTCTTGTCCCCAGCTGCTGTCTCCGCTCCCGCGTCTCTTGTTGTACCGCGTCTCTTGTTGTACCACGCGTTGCCGTGGACACGACACTGCGTCCTCGATTGGCGGAAACAAACCTCCCACGTGACCCCCCAAAGGAAAATATCCGTTGCTATGGATCCGTCACTTGACGCGATTCCCACCCCATCGACCCCCCCACCTTACCCCCCTCTGCGCCCCCCGTTCCCCCAATCGCCCCCCCCGGTCCTCCCCCGTTCCCTCTACCGCCCCCCCGTTCCCCCCACCGCCCCCCCCGTTCCCCTACCGCCCCCCCCGTTCCCCCTACCGCCCCCCCCGTTCCCCCCCGTTCCCCCTACCGCCCCCCCGTTCCCCCTACCGCTCCCCCCGTTCCCCTACCGCCCCCCCCGTTCCCCCTACCGCCCCCCCGTTCCTCCTACCGCCCCCCCCGTTCCCCCTACCGCTCCCCCCGTTCCCCCTACCGCCCCCCCCGTTCCCCCTACCGCTCCCCCCGTTCCCCCTACCGCTCCCCCCGTTCCCCCTACCGCCCCCCCGTTCCCCCTACCGCTCCCCCCGTTCCCCCTACCGCTCCCCCCGTTCCCCTACCGCCCCCCCCGTTCCCCCTACCGCTCCCCCCGTTCCCCCTACCGCCCTCCCCCCGTTCCCCCTACCGCCCCCCCGTTCCTCCTACCGCTCCCCCAGTTCCTCCTACCGCCCCCCCCGTTCCCCCTACCGCCCCCCCCGTTCCTCCTACCGCCCCCCCGTTCCTCCTACCGCCCCCCCCCACCGTTCCTCATACCGCCCCCCCCGTTCCTCCTACCGCCCCCCCACCGTTCCTCCTACCGCCCCCCCCGTTCCTCCTACCGCCCCCCCCCCGTTCCTCCTACCGCCCCCCCCCCGTTCCTCCTACCGCCCCCCCCACCGTTCCTCCTACCCCCCCCCCACCGTTCCTCCTACCCCCCCCCCCACCGTTCCTCCTACCCCCCCCCCCGTTCCTCCTACCGCCCCCCCCCCCGTTCCTCCTACCGCCCCCCCCCCGTTCCTCCTACCCCCCCCCCCACCGTTCCTCCTACCGCCCCCCCCTCCCCGTTCCTCCTACCGCCCCCCCTCCCCGTTCCTCCTACCGCCCCCCCCACGACTGCTCGTCACGTGACTCGTCACGTGCGCGCGTTGTGTGCTCTCACTCCCCTCCCACACACCTCTCATTAGCCCCGAGCCGCGTTTCCCCGGCCAATCACGGCGCTGTTGCTCTCGCGCGGCTATTGGGTCAACTTCGGTGACGTCGCGTGCGGCGAGCCAATGAGGAGGCGGCGTTGAGGCAGTCGTTGGCGTTTGAAAATAGGTTGGGGCCAAGGGGCGCGCGCGGTGTTGCGGTGAGAGGCCGGACGGTACCTCACAAATTACACTTTTTATACTCTTTATACACAAACATTAAACTATACCACATATACACCGTGTACCCGCGTTAGCCTGTTATACTATTGTACTGTTACAATATATAAATTGTACACATTGTATATCATATACACTCTGTCTTCCGTGTTACACTGTACACTATATACATTATACTGTGTACACGTTACACTATATACATAATACAGTACTGTGTACACGTTATACTATATACATTGTACTGTACTGTGTACACGTTACACTATATACATTGTACTGTATTGTGTACACGTTACACTACATAATACTGTACTGTGCACACGTTACGCTATACACATAATACTGTACTGTACACATTACACTAAATACATTGTACTGTATTGTGCACACGTTACACTATATATGATACTGTACTGTGCACACGTTACACTATATACATGAAATGTACTGTGCACACATTACATTATATACACTATATAATACTGTGTACAAGTTACACTATGTATACGATACAAGTTGTATATTAAGTACACAGTCTTTCCCGTGTTACACTACAGTATATACATTATACTTGTGTACTAACCCAGCTGAAATCTGTGCAGAGTAGCCTATGTCCAGCCAGCCCTGGGATAGTGAGAGTTAAAACATGTCACTGTGTACAAGTTTCCGAATAAGTATGCTTATCAGTCTGTGATGGTGCATTGCGATGAGTGTCACTGGTACCAGCAGTGTCAAGATCGGCCTCTGGAGAAGGTTCGTGAAGGACGATACCTGGCATTTGGAGGCAGTCGCCCTCCAGCAACAACAGAGGACAGAGGAGCGACGCTCACAACAATGAGCAGAGCGCCGGGCGATTAAAACGCAGAGAGTTGGCAGTGGGGAGCAGAGTTTGGGTCATCTGCCAGTCATCTCAGTCGGTGAACCCATGGCACCTGGGTCTGTCCCGCTTGTGCCATGCCCATCGCATGGCACAAGCGCCGTGGTAATGTCCACCGCCCCTTTGTGGTGAACGGCGACTGTTTTCAAAAGTCGTGTGAAATATCTCGCAGAGCCGCTCTCTCACCGACCAACAGGGTCGCACTGTGTTCCAAGTGGATTATTGTATCGGGACACGACACGATTGCGCAGCGGAAATACAACAATTGGGTAACAGACCAAACATATGTTTAAATTAATTAAATAATGAACTATTAATGCACTTTGATGTTGGCTTTACTCGGGAAATACACTTCTGATTATATCAACAGTGCGAGTAGGGGCATTGTGTTCATTCAACGTGTACCAACCATAATCCTTCCCCTGGTGTCTCTTTGCAGCGTGCTTTATTGTTTCAAAATGGTTAACGGACGAAAATCTGCAGCTCTTATTAGTTGGGTGAGTCCACTTATTCGCAAGTTTTATTTTTTCAAGTATGAACTTGATCGACATTTTAAAATGTTGCACCCACACTTCTCGGATGCCGTGGCATTCCAGTCACATTAAAGCCAACTGCTTTAGAACTGATGATGTGAGTCGTTGAGGTTAGGAAATGTTTGCCAGGGCTGTATATTGTCACACAGTTTGTTCAATGCTGTGCTCGACTGTTTTCAGTACAACCATGGGATAGAGTATATAATGGAAAACACCCAGGAATCTCAAAGGGTCATGTACACCATAGAGACTTGGATAAGGCAGGTGTTATGGTTTATCTTGGACATTGGAGATTTTGCCAGTTTTATATTTTGCCAGTTTTTTACCGTAACCAATAATCTGCACTCACGTAAGTATAAAAATAAAATAAAACTAAAATAATATTTCACGACGTTTTGATTGCAACACAAGCGGATGACCTCAGGCGTCATATATTATTTTATTTTTCTACCTACGTGACTTTACCGAAAGAACCAAAGAATATGGATTCCTGCAGTCACGAAAGCGTCAAATCAAGATCAATAATCTGCATTTTAACCCACGTTTACCATGCTACGTCATGCAGGTGAACTGCATGTGTGCAGAGAAAACGGAGAGCCTCTGGGATCTCAAAGACCTGTCTACCTACCTGCACATCATACAGACCATGTAAGCAATTGCATTGGTCACTGAAACATTTTGTATGTCGTGGATTATTATTAAATTACAGTTGTACTCCTTTGTGAAGGACCCATGTACATTTTTTAAGTAAACTTTATAAGTATTTTTTTTTTATAATTTCATGTTTGTAGTCTCTGCTGCACACAGGGGAGCCGTAGTGTCGCGGTTATCGCGCTGCGCTACGAACTCAGCAACCCAATTTCGATTTCTGTTCAAAGGGTCAACACCAGTGACGAATATCTGAACCAGTCCTGGGCCTCCCCTTGGTTGATCGAGCATGTGTAAAGGCGGTTAGGCATGGTGCTGGCCACCCACCTCTTCGTGTGACTTGTCAGTCTTCTTAGGTGCTCGTTAAAACTAATCGCCCCTTAAAGATCGTGAATGTTATGCAGGGAATTTTTTTTCTGCAAGACACAGCATCTCAAAAACCTCGACTAATGACAACAAATTGTACCATGTTGTTTACCGGTACCAATTTCTCGACATCTCTCAAACCGACACATTGGGCCCAATTGATGTTTTTTTCTGTAAAAAAAAGCATATATTTGTAGTGGGTATTAAACTTGTGGAGACTTCTCTCTTCTGGAGGCATCACGTTTATTATAACGTAACAATAACACAAAGGGGTATGGCCCCTTCCACCCGATACTTAGGGAGATATTCCTCCGGCTAGCCTACCTATCGCTGGCTAGGCCTCGGCAAGGTAAGGTAATTTACCATTTTTACCGGGTAAAAGGGTAAAGGTGTCGACATGCCCAAGGGGTAAGGTAAAGGGTAGGGTAAAGGTAGCTCGGAAGAATTACCCGGTAGGGTAAAGGTAGCGCGAAGTATTACCCGGTAAATACGGTACCTTGTTTACCGCTAAATGTTCTGTGGCGCACTCCGTGGCCTCCATTTAATAAGCAATGTTTAAAAAAAACTTTTAAAACACGCTTTTATGAAATGTACTAGTAATGGCAGAACTCCACCACTCCAGGAATGGCCCCGAAGCTTGCCATAACGTAAGGGACCGTGGCCAATTATAGCCAATGTCAGGTGACCGTGGACAATTAGACCCAAGCCGAAACATAACATATAAAAAATTATATTACAAAACATATATTTTTTATGATAGAATATAGTGTTGTCATCAGTATGACATAAGTATACAAAATTTGCAGTCGATACCACATTGGGAAGTGGGTTAAAATTTAGTTACAAGATTTGAGGATACAACACCGACAACACTGACAACAACAACGACAAGCGTGTAAAATTTGATTCATCGAGAGTATTCTATATGAATAAAGCGCTCTACCTAGCATTTACCATTATAAACCTATTTCATGTGTAATAGTACCCCAGTAATAGCCCTGTAATCGGGTAATTTGTATGGGGTAAGGGTAAAAGGTAGGGTAAAGGTAGGCTCGTTGCTTTCTAACTTTTACCTTACCTGCTAAAGGGTAAAATGTAGGGTAGAGTGATTGTATTGTGGTAAGGTAAAGGTAGGCTTGTTTTTTTTACATTTGAACTTTTACCTTACCTTGCCGATGCCTATCACTGGCTATGCTCTAGCCTCTTCACTGGTTAAGCTTTTGGCCCGACCCTAGCCAGGTTCAGCCCTTAGGGCTCTTCACTTCGGGTCTTCAAGGTGGCAGCTCCTGGGTGGCTCTTGAGTTTTCAGGTGAACGACGACTGCCGGACCCGTTCAGGGGACCGTCTTTTATACTGTATTCTGGCTCACTCTGCCCCTAGCCATTCCTCCCTTCTGGAACCGTCTGGAAGGGCCTGGGGAGTGACGTTATCCCCCAGCCCCCTTCCTGGGGGTCTGAGGGTTTGTAGCTGTGGTCCCGAGCTGCCTTAGAGTTACCTTAGCCCAATGGCCTGACTCATCACCCTTAGATTCCCTTCTCCCTGTTGACTCGAGGCCGTTATTACACGCTACAAGTAGTGGCAATCGTCTACAGCTTTCAACTATGCCGCTACACATTTATTGCTCAACTCCGGTTTATCACGCAAACTCAGGGTCTTCGTCACAGTGACTTTTTAGCTAACCATCGAACAAAGACGGTCATCACATCGTGCTCTTTCAGATGTGCTTATGTAGCTATCTGTAACGCGCTTCCTTCCGATATTAGGAAGCCACTGGTGCTATTCACTTCTGAATGTAATTAGAAAACGAATTTCTTTAGAACTGCTTTTTGTGTTTAGTTATTTGTCCTTGGCTGAAATGCGCTTTATACCAGGACGTGAATCAGGTTTCCCAATGGGCCATGTTATTGTCGTTCTGTATGTGTGCTTGTGTGATTTTTTTTCTTGTCTCCTCGGGAATGAGCAGTGGTGAAGTGGATCGTTGAGTTTGTTACAATCCAGGTCACCTGTATTCGATTCCCAGCCATAGAGAAGTAGTAGTGAGTGATATCTGATCCATGCCTGTTAGTGATTAGCTGCACACATATTATGTACATTATAAATCAGGCTTATTCTTATTAAAGTAAAATAAATTGCTCCCAATTTTGAGTGTCCAATATAAAAACATGTTTTTAAAAGTTTTGTAGTTATGGGCATAGATTCTAGATTTGAAGCTTTCGTGACTGCAAGGATTCATATTCTTAGGTTTTTTCGGTAAAGTCACGTAGGTGAAAATTTAAATTAACAAAAGTAAAATAAAAATAAAATAAAAATCACGACGTTTCGGAAGCAACACAAGCTTCCGTCTTCAGGTAGAACAGTCACAGCACGGTAGCTGTATCAAGTGAGAGAATTTACAGGAAAACCGTGTTTTTATATATACTGGTTAAGGGTGGGAGGAGCCAAGGTAGGCCCTGAATATTATTTATGTGAGGTTCGGTGCGGCTGAAGCACGCTGTTAGGAATGAGCCTTTGTTGTGTTAACTAGGTGCGGATGATGTAAAGGTGCAAGTAAAAGGGACTAAGCCTTTTTGTTATGTAGAGATGATGCGGTTTAACTCGCTGCCAGGAAATTAGTCTTTGTTGTGTAGAATGGTTGACTGAGCCTATTATTATGTAGAGGTGGTGCGGCTTAACTCGCTGCCAGGAAATTAGTCTTTATTGTGTAGAATGGTTGACTGAGCCTAATATTATGTAGAAGTGGTGCAGCTTAACTCGCTGCCAGGAAATTAGTCTTTGTTGTGTAGAATGGTTGACTGAGCTTATTGTTATGTAGAGGTGGTGCGGTTGAAATTGCTGCCAGGAATGCTCCAAATATGTGTAGTTAAATATTTTTTGCATGGTTAATAACATCTTTCCAATGATTACTAAGTTTGTACCCATCATCACGGTTGAAATTATGTCTGTGTTTGTATATTTGGATGGCCTCGTGTACAAACCTTTGATGGTAGCCAGGAGGCTTGCAGAGCACCTTAGTCTCGGAAAAGACAATTTCATGAGAGCCCACAGTGTTGTAGCAATGATCGGCAACGGCGGAAGAATCAGTTTTTCCGTGTTTCAGATCTGACTTGTGCTCGCGGACACGATCAGAGATATGATGTTTCGTTTCTCCAATGTAGCAATCACCACAACTGCAACTCAGTTTGTAGACTCCAGGGTATTGTAAGTCAGGAATGACATCTTTCACAGATGGAATTAGATCACGGATTTTATGTACTGTACTGAATCGGACTTGAATCTTATGTTTGTTTAGAATTTTGGAGATCTTTTTGGTCACGCCTGCTATGTATGGTAACGTGACAGTTTTGATCGGAGTTTCATGTGGCTGTTTCTGTATGGTGGGAGAAACAGCTTGGCGGATGGTGCGGTCAGAGTATCCGTTCATCCTGAGGGCCCGATGTACAAAACTGTCACGTTACCATACATAGCAGGCGTGACCAAAATGATCTCCAAAATTCTAAACAAACATAAGATTCAAGTCCGATTCATTACAGTACATAAAATCCGTGATCTAATTCTATCTGTGAAAGATGTCATTCCTGACTTACAATACCCTGGAGTCTACAAACTGAGTTGCAGTTGTGGTGATTGCTACATTGGAGAAACGAAACGTCATATCTCTGATCGTGTCCGCGATCACAAGTCAGATCTGAAACACGGCAAAACTGATTCTTCTGCCGTTGCCGATCATTGCTACAACGCTGTGGGTTCTCATGAAATTGTCTTTTCCGAGACTAAGGTGCTCTGCAAGCCTCCTGGCTACCATCAAAGGTTTGTACATGAGGCCATCCAAATATACAAACACAGACATAATTTCAACCGTGATGATGGGTGCAAACTTAGTAATAATTGGAAAGATGTTATTAACCATGCAAAAATATTTAACTACACATATTTGGAGCATTCCTGGCAGCAATTTCAACCGCACCACCTCTACATAACAAAAAGCTCAGTCAACCATTCTACTCAACAAAGACTAATTTCCTGGCAGCGAGTTAAGCCGCACCACCTCTACATAATAATAGGCTCAGTCAACCATTCTACACAACAAAGACTAATTTCCTGGCAGCGAGTTAAACCGCATCATCTCTACATAACAAAAAGGCTTAGTCCCTTTTACTTGCACCTTTACATCATCCGCACCTAGTTTACACAACAAAGGCTCATTCCTAACAGCGTGCTTCAGCCGCACCGAACCTCACATAAATAATATTCAGGGCCTACCTTGGCTCCTCCCACCCTTAACCAGTATATATAAAAACACGGTTTTCCTGTAAATTCTCTCACTTGATACAGCTATCGTGCTGTGACTGTTCCACCTGAAGACGGAAGCTTGTGTTGCTTCCGAAACGTCGTGATTTTTATTTGACTTTTATTAATTTTAATTTTTTACCTACGTGACTTTACCGAAAAATCCTAAGAATTATGGGCATAGACTCAACTATTTGCAAATTTCTGCTTTGTAGCCCAGAACATAAGTTTGCATCAATTAATGAATCGCTCGTGGCAACTATATTTTTGCACCTTTTATCCTTCAGTGTTCATCTATATAGTATTGATAATACTTTCATTTTATATAGAGTCATTCATGCCAACAACATCCCACAACGCTGGGTCATCTACGTGTGTAACCTTCAACAAGGGGTCTTAAACCTAAGAAACCTGTGAAACTGCTAATGTTTGTCGACATGAGCAGGAGCTTGCTTAACCGGACTTACCTCAACACCCTGTAAAGGGCAACTTAGGATGTTTGTCTTTTGCATTTGTGTGAACAGAAAGGCCAGTGTGGATGTAAAACCGCTGCTGAAGAGTTCAGAATATGAAAAAGGAAATTACATAAGGGAATTCTTGCATCGTAAGTGGTACAAACACATGTGCATACATGATTAATTCTACGCATATCTTTTGTGCATGTGTAGTGACTGAATGTCACTGGTGCCGGGTAATGTTTTGGCGTTATGTGTAGCCCGCTTACTGGGCGTAGTACCAGCCCTAGCGGGGCTTGGATGAGCGTTGGTCAGTGCGGAGGCACCACGTACAGTGTACGGTGCGGGCTCCCGGTGAGGGAGCGAACCGGATTGTCAGCCAGCCAGGGTTACATTGGGGCATGATACGCTGGTTGACCAGCCGACACGCGACCGGATGATATTGGAGGGGGGCCACCGGTGGACGGTGGACGGGGGACACTGGGCGGTCACATGGTATAAAAGAGCCTTCGGGAAAGAGCTCGAGAGATCTAGAAGGTGGGCGGGGTGAGGGGCGGAGCCAGCCCCAGCCCAGGCCGATATAACAGGGGCCCCGTGAGGGGCTAAGGGTTCTCCGGGTTGCTGGTGAAGAAGATCCACGACAGGTTAAAGAAGCCTCTCGTCAGGCGGTCCGGGACCCAGCTTGTGGTCCGGGCCGGGATAGCGAACCGTGTCTAGTTCTGCCGTAGCGTGGCTAGATGGGCATTCAACTCCCTAGTGTAGGTTGTGTTATGTTATGTTGAGTTGGTGAAATAAATAGTGTTTCTCCCAAGACAATGTTTGCGACTCCGTTGGACTCACTACACATGCAAAGGCGGTGTTAGTTACCAAAGCGGAAATGTGTGCACGCTCACCAAAGTCCAGTAACACCCCGATGTACGCCTGCCTGCTTTACGTACTTTCGCTATAACGTACTCAACTTATTGATACCCATTTCCATTTTACGTGCTGTGACCGTTCTCCTATAACACGTCTTTTCATAATGTGAATTTGATATAATGCGATGACTGTATTATGGAACACAATTTTTCATATGCGTGGAGTGCGAATTGGAAATAACGTGATCGAGCGAACAGAACTATGTCGTGCGAGTAAGAATAAGCAGTTGTACGACTGGCTTGTCCATTGCATCACACAAAGCGGGATGCTGCTGGATGTTTCCCACACGCCTTAGTCTTTGTTCAACCTGCATATGCATCTCGCGTGTTTTCGTGGACTGTGCTTGATCCCACATTTATCATAACGCGATTATTCTATAACGCGGTGTTCTTCAGGGAACGTACCTACCGTGTTATGGGACAACGGACTGTACTCTAGGTTTACGAATTTAATCTTTAAGCCCCACATTTTTTATGCTCCACAGCTAACGTTCAGGTGGCAGATGTCCTGAGGTGCCCAAGCGTTAGCATCCCTGACTGGCTATAGTCAATTTCGTGTCTACTCTATTCATACATTTTTTTCCCACATACCGTATTCATGGTGACTATTATTATACAAGTGTAAACTATTTTTACATAATAAACAACTAAAATTACATGTAGTAAATAGATAAGGTAATATCAATAATGTATACGCTTTCCACACTGATGGTTGTACAGTATAGATGCGCAATGAGTTACTGAGTATCCTCTGTTTCGGTACTGTACCGGGTTATCGATCCACCAAAAAATCTTTGATGGAACTACTTTCAGTTTACGTTTTGGTTTTCAGGAACGCATCCTGGGCATAAACCAGGGTATGTCTGTAAATGGTCTGCAGAAGCACAAATCGTGCAACTGAATCATGATAGGAATATATTGAAAATATGAATTTAATTTGGTTAGCCTGTAGATGCTTTACGTGTTGTGGCAACTTAAAAAATATGTTATATCGAATGCAACCAAGTTCTCCACAGCTTACAGTTTCGCAAAGCTGATATAGTTTGTGCACGTTTAAAATTACTACTTAAGATAACTCGACCATCGGGCCATTGCCGGTATTTTTAAATGGCCCAAGTCGTGTGCACCTTCTGAATGTTGTAGGAAATGTAGCAGTTGCTGTAGTCAGTAGAGTACTGACTTGTATATACAAGCGTGAGGGAGCCGAGAAATGATTTGATTTCACCGTAACACAACACAATGTTACCTCAATGTTGAGAAGGAAATTCCTTGTATGGGGTATGAAGACAAATCAGCAATTCAATTAGCAATTTACAGTACCAAAATATGATAATGGGTTTTTCCCATTTTTTCTGGCAACAAAACAGCTGTTTAGATGTTAAAACACCAAACTGAAACCTTTTACAAGGAATCTATTATCATAAATGAGCAATGCGAAGGTGATTATATCTGTACATTAAATTGGCAAACGCTCTGGTCTCTATAATGCTTGACGAGAGCAGAAAGAAATTTATCTGCAGGCATGCTGACTGCAAGTGAGTGTAAGTGCTGCCAGATGCTCTTGGTGCAGCAGGAGCTGGGGAAGATTCGTTCATTTGTGGTGGGCAGCATCATTAGAGCTCCCAAGTACTATTGTGCCTGCTTGGGCAGACTGTTCCAGTTCCTGCATGATATTTCATTTTTTAAACACAGTTTCTGAACACCAGACCCTGAGACCCAAAATGTCAAGTGGAGTTCACACATTTCTTGCATTGAGCAGGGTTATAAGAGCTTGGGAAAAGAGACAGTGGGATGAAATTGCAAAGTGGATTCGTGTGAGGGAAGAAGCAGAAAGAGATGTGTTGTAGCCTGCGGTGTGGTGAGCGAGTGTGGTGGTGGAACACAGTATGGATGAGACAACAGTCTCAGTCCACCCATGTTGAGACTGAGTCCTCAACATGGGTGGAATCAATTATTGAAATTCACAGGAACTTTAACCATGGTAGTCGCGATAGAGGTCAACTGACCACTCTTGAGCGAGTGGATAGCGTGAATGTATGTTTTGTATAATAGCTCATCATGGATTCTGGTGCCATTTAAATATGGTGATTTTTACCTTGTGTGGCCATGCAGAGTTCTTCCAAAAGAATGCTTGTCTCCAGACAGTGGATTGGGATGCACTAACAGTGGGTGAGCACGTGGAATTGGAGCTGGCTAAGGCAAGTCACTCACACACTCATTAGGAATTCTACTGAAGAGGTGTGCTTACAGAATCGCATGGGTAGACAGCAGTACAGCGAGGGGATTCATTTCAATCTAATCCATCTGTACGGGGATTGATTATTTATCCTCTTCACAGTTGTGGGTTTTCTCCGGCTTTTCCGGTTTCCTCCCACATGTATAATCACACGTTATTGGAGTTGGCTAAACATCCCAATAGAGTAGTTCCTCGGTTAACATCTTTAATCTGTTCCACGTAAACTACTGTTAACTGAAATAACTTAATCGAGTATATAAATATCACTGAGTCTGCAACAGAGCTGTTTCTACTGGCAAAACAGAAAACATAATTTAAACAAAGTCAGTGGAGGTCTTAACGCTTGTAAATGGATGTCGCTGATTGGCAGAGGGCATGGCTCAGCCCCGATTATGAGCACTCAGATTGGTGGAAATTGGTGCTGTGTGCATGACCTAAACATACAGTAAATCAAAATTTTAACGTTAGTCGAAACCATGGGGGTGCAATGGGAGGCGAAACGTTAACCGAAACTATTAACCGATGCCACTTTTAACTGAGGGACTGGTTTCTTGCACCTCCACGTGGAATTTACGCATCATAAATTCTAGTGTTGGGAAATGAAGTACTCTTACCTTGAGCAGGTACAGTATCAACACTGTCTTTGGTCGGATGTTTTGGTTACATTATATTTGCCCTTTGTTTTACTTTAGCTGCGATTTCATATATGCTGGCCCTCCTGGAAGCATTCTTTTAGCTGAGAAATTTGCTGTCACGTTTCAGCTGACGGTGGCATTCCTGTGCTGCGCTGTGGTGAGCACGGAGATTCAATCGCGCATGAAGTTCCTGGACCCAGATACGCAGGTACAAATGCCATGCGGCACTGCCTCAGCCTGCCTTTTGTGGATTCTGTGGCTCACGGCTGATATCGCATCACCCAGTATGCCAGATATTCTCCATAACTGGAAAGGCTCTCTCCTCACTTAATCCGGATTCAGAAGGATTTGCCGTATTGTCTATGCAGGGTGCGACACCACCAAAAAAGAGCCCATTCTTGTTACGTGTGAAGTACCCGTCGAGGACGCTTGACAACGGAGTTGAGGCACACGTATATTTATTTAACAAGTTGCCAGTACAGGACAGCCCTAGAGGGGGTAGCGGCCCCCTCACCCGTATAACTCAGGGAATACCCCTAGCTATCCATAGCCTATCCCCTTGTGTCCTCCACTAAGAGCTAGGGGAGGCTGTCTGGCCCGACACTGGTAATCGGGCTCGGTACCCGGAGTCCCAGAGCACTGGCTCTGGTTCACGGGACCACGCCACTGGCTCGAGCCTGATCCCGTGGGGCCCTGATAAGGGCGGCGATCAGGGGGAGTCCAGGGCTCTAGCTACGACGTCTTCCGACTTCTTAGCTTAACTATAACATAACTGACTAAGCCCCTATAACGACCCCTTTTTATACCCAACCCTCCTTGAGGGGTGGGGCCCCGGGGGATCGTAACGCCGAACCAGCCCCCCCCCAGGGTGTCTGGCTCGGACGTCGCAGAGGGCATCTCCCTGTGCACACACGTAGCCCCGCCCACTGTGTTTCTTTCCCATAGGCTGCCATGCATAACGGCCCTCTCTCCAACGTCCCTACATCACTCCCCCCCGCATAGCTCGCAGCCGTCCCGGCTGCAACAATTTCAACAAATGAATCTTTACCCCTTGACTCCCCCCGTGTGTGCCCCATTTTTTTTCCATTTAACAGAACGAGAATTAAACAACAACACTAACAATGCCCCTAAAGGGAGAACAAACCGACGCGCCCCCCCCCCCCCGAATAAATACGAAATCCGTAGAGGCAAGATATGTACATTTCCCGGAACCCTCAGCGCACGCACAACACGCACACAAGACGCACACACACACACAGCCATAATACAACAACGCGCCAAGAGCGCCACACGAACGCAGCGTCCAGCAACAATAGCACACGAAAGTGTACCAGAAAACGCAAAAAAAATAAAAAAAAAATTTTCTTCTTATTTTCGTTTCGTTTTCACTTCTTGTTCGCGTTCCAGTGTTTTTATAAGAGTCTGCGCATTTTAGCGCGCGTCCTTGCCGCAGGCCCGTCACAAGGGCCAACCTCAGATGGCGGACCATTCGGTGGCCGCTGTCCCATCCGAGGCGAGTCCGCAATTGGAGTGGCGGGACCCTCGGCATCCCCCGTGAGGGATGTGCGCGAGCCCGTCATTCCGGGAGAACCTGGGGGCGGGGCAACCGGCAAGACGTCAGGTGAGATCAACAGAGGCGGACCCTCCGGGTCGGTCGACCCCTCACATGCTTGGCCCTGCGCGTGTGGAGCAGAATCCCGCACCGCAACGAAGGGTTTTAGTCTAGAGGGGTGAACGAACCACCGGCGCCTCCCCCACTTGATACGAACGCACTGCGGTCGCAAAACCTCGACCACCTCGACGGGGCCCCGCCATGGCCGTACCAGTTTCGAGGAGGTCGCAAGCGGTACCTGGGGACAGTGCAGCCATGCCCTGTCCCCTGGCTTCCACTGCAGCACGTGCGCGCGCGCAAGTCTGAGGCGCTCATTCGCCTTTTGGCGCATGCGGGAATTGAGCATGGCAGCATCCCGCGCCTCAGTTAGCTTTTGAAGGTTAAATTTAACGTGCTCGTCCAATTTAATTTTACCTAGAGGCGCGGGGATCTGCAGCTGTGCCCGAACAGGTGGGTCATGTTCGCGACCATACATGAGAAAGAAGGGTGAAAATCCCGTGGCAGCATGGGGGGCCAATCGATATGCTGCCAGGACCCCTTGAATTTGCAAGTCCCAATTGGTCTGTGACTCCGAAACCAGGTGCGACAACATAGACGTGATGGTACGATGCAGACGCTCGACCATCCCGTCAGTTTGTGGGTGATAGGGAGAGGTACGAATCTTCTTTGTACCTAGGAGATCACAGACTTGTTTGAGGAGGTTCCCGGAAAAATTTTTACCCTGGTCGGTCAGCAGCCGCTCCGGAGCACCTTTGTCCATGACGTAGCCTTGGACAAAGGCGTCCACGATGGCTGCTGCCGACTGATTTGCCAGGGGCCAGGCCATAGGCCAGCGTGTGAAGTATTCGACCCCTGTTAGCAAATATCTATTGCCCCTAGGGGTGGCGGGAAACGGCCCCAGGATATCCAACGCTACGAGTTCGTTCACCCTGGAGACTGTGATGGACTGCAACGGCGGGTTCGACTCCCGAGCTGGTGGTTTGCGTTGCGCACACCGGGGGCATGCTGCCAGGAGATCCGTGACATCCCGTGTCATGCCCGGCCAAAAAAAATCCAGCTGGAGCGAGGCGAGGGTCTTTTGGGTACCCAGGTGGAGGAGGCGCTCATGAGCAGCCCACACCACCTTACCCCGTAACCCCGCAGGAACTACCAGCCGGTGACGGTGGGATTTACCGTCCCAATGCATGAGCAAGCCCGCGTGTATTTCCCAATTGTCGGCATCACCCGTCCCACACCCCCTCTCCCTGGCGCGACGACGCAGTGCGAGGAGGGAGGCGTCCTCCATCTGGAGGCGTCCCCACTCAATCACAGGCAACCCAAGCAGGGAATCCCTTCCCTGTTTCCCGATCTCATCGGGGAGCGATGTGTCAACATCGGCGGCGGCCGCCAGGACTGGAACCGTCATGTCCCCAGCTGGCTTGCAACGCCCCGACCCCAGGAGGCATGCGCATTCGGAGGTGGTTGGCATGCGCGACAGAGCGTCCGCATTTGTGTGGCGAATGCCCTTACGATAGGTGGTGTCAAAATCGAAATCCTGGAGGACCTCCAGCCATCGGGACAATTGTCCCGATGGCTGTTGAACCTTCAGGGCGTACTGCAGTGCCGCATGATCCGTACGGACAGTGAAATGCTGACCGTACAGATATGGGCGGTACTGTTGGATGAAGAAAACAATTGCCAACAGTTCTCTACGGGTGACACAATATTTTTGCTCCGCTGGAGACAACACCCGACTGCCGTACGCAACCACCCGTTCCACGCCATCAACCACCTGGGAAAGCACGCCTCCGATACCTGTGTTGCTCGCGTCGGTGTCGAGCAAAAACGGCCTCGAAAAATCGGGGTAAGTCAAAGGAGGAGCCTTCACCAATGCATCCCGAAGGGAGCAGAAAGCTACTTCCTCCTCCCGACCCCAGTGGAACCGAACCCCTTTTGATGTCAAAGCATGTAGGGGTTTGGCAATTGTAGCAAAATTAGCGACGAACCGTCGGTAATATGAAGCGAAGCCAATAAAACTCCTCACCTCCCCCACCGAGGTCGGAATTGGCCAGGAGCTGACACACTGCGTTTTGGCGGGATCGGTAGCAATACCCGAGCGCCCCACGATGTGCCCCAAATAACGCACTGACTCGCGAAACAAATAGCATTTTTGGGGCTTAAATTTCAAATTAGCAGCCCGCATCCTTTGGAAAACCGCCCGCAGCCTCTGGAGATGTTCGTCAAAGGTTCTTCCAAAAACAATTACGTCATCCAAATAAATCAGGCACGATTCCCATTGCAATCCAGCCAAAACCAATTCCATCAACCGCTGGAAGGTTGCCGGCGCTGAGTGTAAGCCCATCGGCAACCGGTTGAATTGGAACAGGCCGTGCGGTGTACGGAAAGCGGTTTTAGGCTTCGAATCATCGTCCAGAGGAAGCTGCCAGAATCCCGAAAGTAAATCTAGTGTGGAGAAGAATCGCGCTCCCGCCAAGGCGTCCAGCGATTCGTCCATCCGTGGGAGCGGGTATGCGTCGGCAACCGAAACCTTATTAAGGCGACGGAAATCTACGCAAAACCGCAACGAGCCATCCTGTTTCTTAACCAGGACAATCGGTGCTCCCCAAGGGCTGGTAGAGGGAGAGATAATGTCGGCGGCTAACATGTCATCGACAGCCGATTTGACATGGTCCTTTTCGGCGGGACTCAACCGAAAAGGATTTTGGCGAATAGGCGCGCTGTCACCCGTGTCAATATGGTGACGCAGCAGGTGAGTACAACCCAAATCGTATTTATTCCGACTGAAAACGTCGGAAAATTCCTTTAGCAGCGATCTAAGCCGTTGGCGCTCTAAATTGGACAGGTTCGTCGATCCCGCACAAAGCGCGTCGAGCCACCCTTCATCGCCGTCCGAATGCGGGTGCGTCCGAGCAGCAGTGTCAATGTGGTTCACGGCAGGTTCCTCGCAGGGCACCGGCGTCGCGTGAGCGAGCACAGTCCCTTGGGGAACCACTACTGTCTGCGACCCGACATTGAGGACCGCGATGAAGGGATCCTCGTCCCCCCTTACGATGGTCTGGGCCGGAATTAAATGAGGCCCATTAACCCCGGCCCTAGACGGCCCCAGCACAACACCCTGATCCCCAACACCCTTAGCGAAGGGCCTACGAAGTTTAAGAGGTACCAGCATTTGTGCCCCCGGCGGCACACGCACTGTTTTTACGACGAACGCCGGTACCGTCGCGAACGCCGTCCGAGTCGCTACAGGGGAAGGCAGGAACGCCATACGTCGCCCCGACGGAAGCTCAATGCATCCTTGGTCGATCAAAATACGAATTGGCATCCTGCCCAAGAAGTCCGTCCCCAGCAGGCACGGAACTGCCAGTGAGGAGGAGACAAAAATCGGCCCCGACAATTTGATGTCCCCGATAGAAATTTGCGCTCGAATCTGTCCCACGATGCCGAGAGAGCCCCCGTTAGCGGCATAGAAAGGGACATTAACCGGTAGCAAAGGACGGCTCTGCACCGGTAGAATATTGTAAATTAGTTCCGAAATAATTGTCGCCGATGCCCCTGTATCGACTATGATGCGTACCTCCACCCCATCAATGTAACCGACCACGGCCGACGATCCCGACGCCGCGGCCACCACGCGATGGGCCAACACGGACCACCGCTCGGGCTCGATTTGAGTCCCCGCAGTGATCCGCGCCGGTCCATCGCAGCGCCCCACCGGCCCCCCGTTCGTTATGGTGCGAGAGTGTGCGACAGGTGGGTGCGTTGGCCAAACATGTGAGGTGCCGCGACTCGCCGGATCATGGTGCTGGAGCTTGGGAGGAGGAAGAGGAGGGCCGGCGTCCTGTCGAGGCGTCGTCCCCCGCTGTCGAGGAGAACGGCACCCCGAGGCGACATGGCCCCGGATGCCGCAGTTGAAGCACCGCGGGAGCGCCGATGGAGACGATGGACGGTCGAAACGCCTCGGCCCGTCCCGACCCGGCCGCGCCCCCGTCGTCTGTTGCCGTCGATGGTCGACGGCATAAAGTTCTTCTGACGGAAGGGTGGCTGCAGCCACCGCACGCCCAGCCGATGCCCTGTTTGCCTTTCGCCGCTGCTGCAGAAGGTTGGCGTGGAGGAGTCGCGCAGCCTGGAGGGAGGTCATTTCTGCATCCCCTTGTGCGATGACGACGATGTCGAGGTCGTCCGCCAAGAGGAGGATCTTCTCCGCGACCATTGCGTCCACGCCGTCGTCGTCCATGCGGGGAAAGGCTGTTTTTGCCAGCGCCAGAAGACTTGTCCGGAAAGCCAGAGGCGACTCTTTTTCACCCCGCCTGCGATCGTAGAACTGCTGACGGCATTTGGCTGAAGGTCCATAGACCCCGGCCAGCAGCTGTAGCGCCATTGGTAGTGTAGCCCGCTTCTCTTTTGGCGCCGACGTGAGTGCGGCGAGCGCGTCCCCATCGAGGAGCGCCGGCAGCGCGCAAAGGGCCTCCTCGTCGGACCACCGCGCCATCTCCTGATGGGCGAGGAAGCGTCGCCGGAAGCCGCCCCAGTCACCCTCCGCACCGATGAATTCCTTCAGCGGGGGCAGCCTTTGGTGAAGCGCAGCGGTCGATGTGGACTCCCGCAGGTTGCTTTCACCTCCCTTTGGCGGTGCCTCGGCGCGACTGGCCGATGGCATCGCCTGTCGCGGCAGCGATGACGCATCCTTCGGCTGCGATGACGCTGCAGCCCCGGCGACGGCGATGTCGGAGCCGATGTCTAAGCTGGCCACGCCCCGAACAGCCGCGGCGTCCATGGCGGGAAATTCAAATTGTGAAGTCGCTGAAATGGCGGGAAAGTGCTCCGGCCGCCGGTTCTCCTCGCCCTGCGGTGGACCACCAGCCCCCAACCGCGTAATGCCTTCCAGTGTGGCGGCAGCGGCATAAAGTAGCTCCGCCAGCCGTTCGTGAGCCAGTCGTAGTGCATCTGGCTGCGGCCCCTCTCCATGCTGACGTCCCGGTGAGAAGGCGCCAGGCTCCGGCTGCACCCCATCTTGTTGCTCTGTCTCGGGCTCGGCGATCTCCGCGGCGTTCTCCTCTTGTGGTACCCTGGTCCGAGCTGTATGGCGCGTTTCCATTTTTACCACTTCTGACGCCAGATGAAGTACCCGTCGAGGACGCTTGACAACGGAGTTGAGGCACACGTATATTTATTTAACAAGTTGCCAGTACAGGACAGCCCTAGAGGGGGTAGCGGCCCCCTCACCCGTATAACTCAGGGAATACCCCTAGCTATCCATAGCCTATCCCCTTGTGTCCTCCACTAAGAGCTAGGGGAGGCTGTCTGGCCCGACACTGGTAATCGGGCTCGGTACCCGGAGTCCCAGAGCACTGGCTCTGGTTCACGGGACCACGCCACTGGCTCGAGCCTGATCCCGTGGGGCCCTGATAAGGGCGGCGATCAGGGGGAGTCCAGGGCTCTAGCTACGACGTCTTCCGACTTCTTAGCTTAACTATAACATAACTGACTAAGCCCCTATAACGACCCCTTTTTATACCCAACCCTCCTTGAGGGGTGGGGCCCCGGGGGATCGTAACGCCGAACCAGCCCCCCCCCAGGGTGTCTGGCTCGGACGTCGCAGAGGGCATCTCCCTGTGCACACACGTAGCCCCGCCCACTGTGTTTCTTTCCCATAGGCTGCCATGCATAACGGCCCTCTCTCCAACGTCCCTACACGTGTACTGGCTGGAAATTTTCAAGATGCTCATGTTTGTACATGAATGTATGTACGTGTGAGCTTTTATGCATGCTGGTGCATGACTGTGTGTGTGCGTGCCCATCCCCCAGATCCAGCTCCATGAAATTCTAAAGTTTGTGATGGACAATGAGGAGAGTCCTCAACTACAGGTCAACCTTGAGCTGCTGCTCAACGTGGGCTGTGTGGGTAAGCAGGGTAGTCTCGCTCACACGATACCACCGAGTGGCTTACGCATCCAAAGTGAACGCACGTTCACAATTCTGAAGCTCGGTCTATGAAAGGCAGCTGTCGCCATAGGTGACCATGTTAATGGTGGTAATGTTAGTGATTATCATGATGGTTTTAACACGTAGGCTTTTGCCATCAATATTATCCATAAGATATTTTTTTGGTTGGGTCACGTAAATATAAATGTCTCGTTAAACCCACCACCACCCGATGCAACCAATTAGTAAGGTTTATCACTTCAATAAAACGTGCCAATTAGTTACTACTCATGGGTTTGCTCTCCAACACCGGTGTGCTGAACTAGTAACGAATTGGCATGTTTTGTTTACGTGACAAACCTTACTAATTTACTGTCGGGTGGTGACGGGTTTAACGACACATTTATATTTACGCGATCAAACCCAAAACACCTCTTGTGGATTATCATGCTGGTGATAATGCTGTTATTGATGATGGTGGAGACTAATTATGGTGATGACGATGTTCATGGTGATGGCAATGCTGATGTTCACTGGTGATCGGGGAGCGGGCGGATGCTCATGGTGGTGGTAGGGATAATGGTGGTAAAAATTAAAATGGTTAAAGTTGTGGTGATGATAATGATGGTGATTATGGTGATGGTGATGGCGCACACGAATATGAAATAACATGCATTCAACCCTTGCTATGTCAGGCTTTGACCAGTTATTTTTTAACACATGCATAAACGTTTCATGAGTATTAAAGAAGTATCGTCGATTATTTTAATCAAGTTGATACATTAATCGGCAATATTTGGGCATTTCATAAAGTTCTAGTTATAGACACAGTTTTCATAAGACCTCCCGTTGAGTTTGTATAAAGCAAAAATCTCAACACATTCATAAATAACGCTGCCCTAAAATGAAAAGCATAAAAATAGGCAATGCTTTGGGCAATGGCCCTTCATAGCACACAAGTAGAGAGGCCAGTCAGGTACCTAGCAATTGATTATTTGTGTTAAACTTTTTCCCATTGTGTTCTCAAAAACTCGTATTGGTAGATATCCAAACGATCATAGTATCAGGTGCCTACTGTGTGAACAGAGTTCCCTCTAAATACACAAATGCCTTTTTTTCAAGGATTGCACTGGTGCTTAACCATAACACTTGACGACACTGCACTTCTCTCCTGGTTAAATGAAATAAAATTGAAATGTAAACTCCATGTTGGCTGCCGGACGTTGTCTCTGCTGTTGTACGGTTTGCGTTTTTTTTATGCAGTCACTGAGCAAAGGCCCAAAACGCAACTCAGCTAGCAACAAACAGCGCTCCCGAAGCTGTAATATTTTACGTGTTTCTTGAATAGCGCAACATTGTTAGAGCTACGGAAAGAACCGATGGGAGGGAATTCCAAAGTGGAGCAGGGTGAGGGAAGAAGCAGAAAGAGAAGGGTTGTGACCTGCAGTGGTGGTGGTATTCACCATGAGCCGTGGCTCACTTGTGTTGACTCGGCGTTTGTGCCCCCCAGTGCGGTCTCCCGGCGTGTTCTCCGTTGCCACCAAGGAGACCAGTGGACGCATTTCGTCTCCCCTCTCGTCGCTGCCCCTGGGCCACACTGCAGGGGTTCGCTTCCGGGACCTCCAAAGAATCGCTTCTTCCTCCAGCATGAACAAGTGTGTGCACGCGAGCCATATGCGCACACGCGTGCGCATTATAATACGCTCGTGTGACCACGCATTGCTACGGCTGCTTGTGCTGTACGCTGTATATATACATGCATGTAAGAAGGGGAGTGGAAAACATTTGGGGGGTGGGGTGCTACCGAATACAGACACGTACACACACGGGATGCACGTTGGCACGCACAATGTTTGAGCACACGGGTGGCAGGGTGGCGCAGTGGTCGCGCATCTGCTTCACAGCAAGAAACCTATGTTTGATTCCTGACTTGGGCGCCTTTCTGTGTGGAGTTTATGTTCTTTTTTAGTTTTGCAAGGGTTTCTTCTGGGTTATCCGGTTTGCTCCCACAGCTAAATAAGCATGCAATGTATTTGGAATTGGACGTACATCGCAACGCTGAAAAATTACCTGCAAGTTAAATTGGATTCAACGTTGCAACATTGCCCCCTGTTATTAAAACTTTGAAGGACCCTCCTGAAAAAGAGTTTTGAGACTCCGTGAAGCTTTAGAGGGTAAAATGCTTAATAATAAAATAATTGAAATGAGTGCCAACAAATAGAAAATGTGAATTTTTCTGCACGTGGCGTAAGCAATCGTGTTTGCCCGTGTCTTCCTCCAGCTTGCTCAGCTCTCCGGACTCCCCCTCATCTCCCATGCTGAGTTTCTTTGACCAGCCGGCCGTGGAGGTGCGCAGGCTGAAGCAGCAGCTTCGTCAGGAGTGGGAGCAGCAGGAGAAGCTGGAAGGCGAACTCTCCAGCAAGTCCCAGCTTCTCAAGCAAAGCGGTGAGGCCTCCTGCTTGCGCCAAACATTTCTGTCTCGTTCTTAATAATAATGAATAATATCACACATTTGGTATTCGGACTTTTTAGCCCAGGGCTTTTATGAAGGGCGCTGTGTTTCACAGATATAGGCTGCAGTATCTTTCGATTTAAAGCTTTCATGACTGCAGGGATTCATGTTATTGGTTCTTTCGGTAAAGTCACGTAGAAGGGAAATAATAAAATAATAAAAATAAAACAATGCAATTATTGTTATAATTTTCTTGTTTTAATTTTATTATTTCCCTTCTACGTAACTTTACCGAAAGAACCAATAATATAGGCTGCAGTAGTTTAACAGTAGAGGCGATGTTGCTGTGCTTAATCACAATGGCATAAATAGCAGATAATTTTGACGCATTTGGAGATTCAGCATTATATTTAACGTCAACTGTGAAGCAGATGGCACATTTTATAGCTAATTCACCCACAGTAATAACCAGGGTAGCAGACTGGATTCCAACCGCGGTTAATGTACTACCCGCTGTGCCATGTCACTGCAGCATGGTGTTCTTGAATGCAAAGTTGTCCAAACAATCATATAATAAATAATGTATACGATGGGAATAATTAATAATGAATGCTAAATATTATTTTGACTTGGTGATAAAAACATGATAAAATCTGCCTCTGGGTGTTGATAGTTGAATTTGTAATTTGTTAAATGTATAATTTGGAAATTTCGATGATGTTTTTGTGGATATTTGTAATTCTTGTATAAATTAGTTAATGCATACATGGAATGCATTCTTGCTTCCATGAATGCATTTTTTATTCATGACGAGCACAAATAACCAAAATACTATTTAACTGGTATTGGCCACATATCCCAATGGTGAAAAATTATCTGAAATTTACTCAATTGGGATTACACAGAGTTGCATTGCCCTACTGTGAAAATGTGGCAGGCACCTCTTGAAAAGAAAAAGACTTGAGACTCAACGAGGCTTTCCTGCATAATACAAATGCAATAATAATAATGACGCGCCAGCAAATGACGCTGTGTCCATGAACGTGTGGTGTGTGTTGTGCTTCAGAGCAAGAGGTGGCAGAGCTCCGTGGGCGAGTGGAGCGTCTGGTGCAGCTCACGCAGATGCGCCCTCCCTCACCCCTCCCCAGCGAGCTGGCCGAGCTACACGAGAAAACACAGAGGTAGCCAATTGGAGCAGGCCGTGCTGCTGCCATCTAATCCTCCCTGTGCACCCACTCGGATCGCCTGCGTGCTTCCCCAGCAATGCGTCTTCTATGTGTTGTGACTACTTGTCACTGTGTGGTGCCGGGACTTGCGAAGTCATGGCCGGTAATGTGGTCATTGCGGGCAGCCCGGGTTGCGGGCTGTAGTACCAACACTAGCGATGGTTGGGTGAGCGCTGGTTAGCATGGAGGCACCGCGAGCAGTGTGCGGTGCCGGCTCCCAGTGAGGGAGCGAGAGGGAGCGTCAGCCAGCCAGGGTTACCCTGGGGCATGATACTCTGGCTGACCTGTTGTCACCTGACCGGACGATACCGGAGTGGGGGCACCGGTGGACGGGGGCCGAGGGGCGGTCACGTGGTACTGAAGAGCTCTCAGGAACATTCGAGAGGGAGCTCGAAGTCTAGAAGGTGGGCGGGGCTAAGGGCGGAGCCAGCCCCAGCCCCGGGGGCATATAATGAGAGCTCCGTGAGGAGCTCGGGCCTCTTCAAGTGTTGGTGTTCGAAGATCCACGTCGGAGAGAAGAAGCCTCTAGCCACGCGGTCAGGGACCCAGCTTGTGGTCCGGACCGGGATAGCGAACCATGTCTAGTTCTGCCGTAGCGTGGTTAGATTGGCATTCGAGACCCGAGTGTAGGTTGTGTTATGTTACGTATTGTATGTGAATAAATAGTGTTGCTCCCAAGATAACGTCTGCGACTCAGTTGGACTCACTATGTATGCGCTGGACCAGTTATTGCCTGGCGCAGTGAGTGGGAGGCTGACAATACATTTTTTGGAACAACCTTGTGTTTTTTCTTAACACTGTAAATCGTCATTCAAAAATACCCTGAAGCAGAAGATTAGTGCTGCATATAACTGCATTTTCAAATGTGATTTCTAACTTTAATGTGCAATTTTATTGAGGGACTGCATGTTATCTTGGTGTGATCTTAGACTGTTTTTGCTTTTTTTCTGCCTTGCCTAAGCTTGGGTATTGGTGTACTTATGCAATTAGAACTTTTACATTTAGTCTATTTTACGGAATTATTTTAGAGATTTGCTTATCTTTCCTATACTTTGCACTCCTATCGTTTTTGTTTTAGTTTGTAACTTTCTGACTCGCCCCTACTGGACATCTGTGAAAAAGAGCTTCATAGCTCATCGGATTTCTCCAGGATAAATAAATATTCAGATTATGATTGGGTTAAATACTGTGAGCACTGATAATAATTTTTAAAGATGATAATAATTTCGTATTCGCGCCATTCCTTTTGCGTAGGGCTATCACAGGAGATATATTTTTCCCAGTGGGAGCGAGCGATGTTCTGTGTTTTGGCAGTAGGGAGCGATGTTCTGTGTTTTGCCAGTCGGGAGTAATGTTCTGTTTTAACCCAAAAGAGTAATTTGCAGGTAATATTTGAATTTGACAAATTTGCACCATGACACCAGCGCATAATAGTTTGCCCATTTTGAATATGAAGGAGATGGCACGTGTTACATGATTAGTACGGCATTAGTTAAACTCTGTCAAGTGGCGATCCCACTACCACTGGGCCACCTCGCTGCCCACTCACTTTCGAGCGCTGGTTCCTGGATATAAACAAGAGATAAGCACTGCTCCTTTCATTAAGCAGGGAGACACCATTTTTCCTATTTTAACTTCATTATCCATGTTCCTTTGCTGATATTCCCCACATGGATACATTTTACCTTGTGTACAATAATTGTGCTGGTATGTAAAATATATTATTTATAAAAAAAATGTCTTTGCCTAAAACATTCCATTGACAGTCTTGCTAAAAAAACTAGGGCTGCACTGAATACCTAATTTGATCTATGGCTGCATCTGAATTTAAACCGAGACATCCATCATCACCCTTTAGCTCATACATCTCTAGCACACCTCTATCCCACACCCTGCCACAACTTGCCACGCACAATATATTAGAGACTTACATTATGTATTGCATGTGCACGTGAAAAGTAGTCCAATTCATGAACTGCCTTTCTGCCCATCTGAATGAACGCAGGTTGTCTGTGACTGTGAAACAATGCCAGGAGTTGAAGAAGGAGAATGAGTTTATGGGAAAAAGACTGATTCAACTTGCCGAGGAGAACAGTGAGCTGTCTTCCAAGGTGAGTGTTCATTCCAGCAGTGAAAGAAACCAAAATGTAGACACACGCACATTGAGACCTTGTTAGGGATGTGTGATGCAAGGAGGAAGTTGCTTGTATGGGACTGTGTCACTGCGTCTGTTGTATTGTAACTTGTTGGGACCAGTCCAAGTTGGCTTTTTCCTAGGAAACATCGCCAGAGTTCAGGCGACATGAACTATAATTTAACACAGTGGTTAACACAGCCAGTATTAATTACTGGGCCTGGATTAGGCCAGGTAATGATCTAACCCAGGGGTATCCAATCCCCGAGCCAGCGGACTGGTACCGGTCCGTGATCTGTTAGAAACCGGGCCGCACAGCAAGAGGTGAGCGATGAGTCCGCGTGTGGCCCACCCATTATTTTATTTACCACTTCTGTCCACGCCTTTTTCCCGCACTGCGCACTTGTCTCAGTCACAATTTTGGTAAGCCAAAAAGCTAACCCTAGCCAAAATGAGTAAAAAACAAATGTCGCTGGAGAGCTTCTTGACTGCTGATCTGACCCAATCTGTGTCCTTGAGACCCTACTGCACCCAATACAGCCAAACCAATTACAGTAATCCCTCGCCACTTCGCGGTTCAAGTTTCGTGGCCTCAGTGCATCGCGGATTTTTCGAACTGATTTAAAGGCCTCGTTATACCTGTGCAGTAACACCATCATCATCATTTATCATCACATTCATCGAGCTGCACAGGTCTGTCATCGTAGTCATTGTCATCGTCGTCGTCGTCATTACTGGAGTCAAGTCTCAAGATACTACTGTGATTGGTGAGTGTAGAACACCATAATACGTATCGTATGAGAGAGAGAGAGAGAGAGTGAATGTATAATTTTAAGGTTTTATAATTAAATAGATTTAAGTAAAATATATATAAAGTATAAATATACATATTTTAAACATTCTGGTACCCACACACACATATACGGAAATTCCTAGGGGGCCAATCCTACTTCGCGGATTTTCACCTATTGCGAGGGGTGTTCCGGTCACCATTAACCGCGATAAACGAGGGATCACTGAATTCCGTGTATAAGCGTGCAACGCGCCAATTATTATCGCTTCAGCTCACCGGTAAGTTTGGGAACAATTCTGACTTCCTGGATTTTGTTCTAGCGATGTTTGACGTCGTGTCAAATAAAATATATTTAATAGCAAAATTTTGGTTGTAAAGATTATTCTTAACTTAAAGCTTCCGTGACTGCAGGGAATTCATATTCTTGGGTCTTTCGTTAAAGTCACATAGATAGGTTCAAAGAAAATAATAAAAAAATAACAGAAAACAATGACGTTTCGATCGCAACACAAGCGGTCGTCTTCAGGAAAAAGGAGGTTAGCTTCCAAGGGAAACTGTTGATAAGGGTTTGAAATGGGCGTAGCCCAAATGTCAGCAGCCAATGATAATGTAAGTGTTCGGCAGCGAGCCCGGCGGTGGCTCGTTTTCCACCAATCAAAGGGCTGCCAGATGAAAATTTACATGTTAAAGAGAGATTAGCATGTTAATGGAAGATCGCAGAGCCACAACCAAGGGGTCAGCGCGCGAAGTGACTGAAAGCGCAAGTTTGAAATGGGTGTAAAGCACAACCTAACATCAGAAGGTGGTAGGATGGGAACATCATAGCCAATTATGATTTAAACTGGTTGATAACGTCCTTCCAATGATTGCTCAGTTTGTACCCATCTTCTCGGTTGAAATTGTGTCTGTGTCTCTATATATGGATGGCTTCATGAACGAATCATTGTTGATAGTTAGTGGGCTTGAAAAGTACCTTCATCTTCACGAAATTAATTTCGTGTGAGCCCACCGCATTAAAACAATGGTCAGCCACGGCCGAGGTATTGGTCCTACCATGTTTCAGATCTTCCTTATGTTCACGAACACGGTCCGAGACATGTCGCTTGGTTTCCCAAATGTAACTACTGCCGCAGACACAGCTTAGTTTGTAGACGCCGTGGTATTGCATGTCCGGGATCACATCCTTCACAGATGGGATCAGATCACGAATTGTATGTACTGTGTTAAATCGAACCTGGATCTTGTGTTTGCTTATGATTTTGTAAATCTCTTTAGTGACCCCTGCTATGTATGGCAAGGTGATGGTGTTGATTGGGTCCTTAGATGGTTCTTTCCCAATGGTTGGGGTGATAGCTTTACGGATTGTGTAGTCTGAATATCCATTCATCTTGAGAGCTTTGTGTACGTGTTCCAGTTCACTGGCTCTGTGATGACGGTCGGAAATACATCGAGATCTATGGTGTAGAGTTTTGATGAGGGAATTCTTCTGGGATGGATGGTGGTGGGAGCCCGGTTTTAGGTAGGCATCCGTATGAGTGGCTTTCCTGTAGACAGTGTACTATTAAGCCATCTGGTCTCTTTTTATTAAAACATCCCAGAATGGTAACTTGCCATCCGGCGGTGGTGTCACTGCTAATTGGTGGTTGAATGCTGGAAGCCGGTGGGGTTGCTGAGCCGCGTGCACTTCTGCTGCACGAGTGTGCAGGTGCGCGAGAGCTGCACACACCTGGTGGAATGTCGCTCGCTGTTGGAGGAATCGAGCCGCAGTGCGGAGCAGAGGCACACAGAAGCAGAGGTGCGCATCCATCGGCTCGAAGAGGCCCTGGGAGAGGCACTCAACAGCAAGGTACTTGCACTGTCATATGTACCACAGTGGCGAGATGTTAACTACCTTGCTTGGTATACAGGGGTCGTGGGTTCGATCCCAACCCTGACGCCTGTATATTTGGAATTTGCGTGGTCTCTCCGTGGTCGCGTGGATTTGTCTTTGGGTCCCTTGATTTTTCCCCTCCACATTTAGAAAGACGCCTTTAGATTATATGGCTGCTATACATTTCGATATTATAAGCCAATTTATTGAGCTATCATTTGTGGCCAGGACGGTTTTGAATAAGTGCTATACAGCTTAGTGGGCCTTACCTCGTGAAATAAAGTAAAACAAATGTGCATGGTGATGCAAACAAATCCCCCTCAATTTTGCCCAGGTTTAACACACATATAAGGCAGAACTGCTGCGGAAACTGCTGTGATACTTGCTCATGATTTCTGGAACATGCTGATGGCTAGCCAAGGTAAGGCTAGATTTGCTTTTGTCTGAAGCCTGGTGTAAGGCAGCCATCAGCATAGCCCCACTTGAGTAACTGCCCGTTGGTTCATGGTGATTATTGTGTTTGGAGCTGGGGCCATTAAGTTGATTAATCGACTAGAAATGTAATTGCCACTCTCTTAGAATTGAAGCGTCGTACATGTGATGTCAAGAACATGCTGATGGCCAAGTGCAAGCCTAGGTTTACGTTACACACAGGTTTTCGCAGCCAGTATTATGAATATTAATTATTACTCTTTGGTTTTTTCGGTAAAGTCACGTAGGTATAAAATAAAATAAATCACGACTTTTCGGGTGCAACACAAGCGTCCGTCATCAGGTGGGAAAGCATGATCTGCTGTTTTAAAAGGTTTTTAAACAGTCTGCCTCAGCAGCAGATCATGCTTTCCCACCTGATGACGGACGCTTGTGTTGCGCCCGAAACGTCGTGATTTATTTTATTTTATACCTACGTGACTTTACTGAAAGAACCAAATAGTATGGATTCCTGCAGTCACGAAAGCTTCAAATCAAGATCTTAATGATTGTTTAGGATTTAACGTGGGTGAACTCAAATATTCTTAATCCTAGTTTTTATTTTTACTCCTAGTTATAGTCCAGAATTCAAGTATGACTTATGATTGTTTACCCTGGAAAGCCTCCCTGAGTCTGAAGACTTTTCTTCAGGAAGGTCCTGCAACGTTTTTACAGTAGAGGGTGATGTTGCTATGTATTATCCCAATTGGTTCATTTCAACTTGGGAAAATTTGTACCATGACACCGGCACATAATGGCCTACTCGTTTAGAATTATGACAAGGGATCTTTAATGTCTACTTTTAAGTGGACAGCGCGTAGTGTTTGTACGGGCAACACACCCGCAGTGATAACTAGGATGACCTGACGGATATGAACCGCAAACCCCTGCAGCAAGCAGCCAATTTTCTACCGCTGGGCCACGTCACCGCTCACACGATGTGCACAGGCCTCGCTGGAGGAGACTGTGCGAATCCTGCAGGGCAAGCTGGGAGTGCTGGCAGAGAAGGAAGCCTCTCTGAAGGAGCAGCGTAACCTGCCGCCCGGGGAGGTCATGTCGGAGGTCCTACAGGTGGCTTACGCATTCATTGTGCTCACTCAAAATTGAGTTTGGTACCAGCAGTATCCAGAGTAGCCGTTGTGGGGATGGGTTGTGGCTGATGCCACCTGGTAGTTGGCAGTGGCCACCCGTCGGCAGAGATGAAGAAGCGAAGATCACAATCAGTAGATCATTGAGACTCGGACGAATTAATGTGGAGAAGTGCGGATTAAAATTGACGTATTTGTAAGTCACTGCTGCCTGGTAATTCACAACGCCTATTTCTCGCAATCTGTTATCAAGTCTTCACCACCCCCATGTGGACTCGGTGCACCTAGCCTGCCACAGATGTTATCACTTTATGTTAATTGACTGCTTTTATTGTGAAGTTTATGTGCGATTGTGTGTGTATTCCAGATGGAAGAATGGCACATGTGTCAGAAAGCACGGAAGAGAGCTGACATTGGGCTGCCACCTTTAGCCAAGGCGCACACAGATACAACGCACAGCCATGACACACCCACATCTTCACGGGAGGAACAACCTGCTGACTTTAATAATGTATCAGACCAAGATAGCGGCACACTCATAGTGAAAGACAGGAAATATCTCATGCCAAATGAATCCACAATGGAGCTGGATGGTTCCATGGTGGATCAAGGCAATGTCACATTCAGGGAAGAATTGGATGGTCATGAAAGTAAGCAAACCGGAGACTCTCAAGACAAAGGTGTGGAGGCCACTCGGGCACGGTCCAGCACCTTGAAACAAAATTCGTTGGAAGGGAGCAGCACATCGTCCCGCAGAGAGATGGGAATTGCGCGTGACGTGCAGGAGAACTTTGAATTGAAAAACACTGGCCACAGGGACACTTTGGAGCAAGGAAGAACTTTATTACAACAGGAAAGGGTGGCTCTAAGCAAAGAGAGGGACATCCTCGAACGAGAGAGGGCTGCTTTGGAAAAAGAGCGAATGGCTGTGATAGCCATGGGAGAGGGGAACAGGTCCACTGTAATGGCTCACATGTTGACAACAGAAGCCTCAATGGAGCAGCAAAGAGTCATATTAGATCAGGAAAAAAATACATTAAATCTGGAAAAAGCTGCTCTGAAAGCAATGGAGGATGAAATTAATATTAATTTAGGACAACAAAAGTCGAGACTGGACCAGGAAAAACGCAAACTAGAGCAGGACATGATTATTCTCAAACAAAAATGGAATTGCGTAGAGCAAGAGCAGGACAAGCTAGGTGAAAGAGAGGGCGATTCAAGACCAAAGCAAGGCCAGCTTTACCAAAGAAATGATTTATTTGAAAGCATCACTGGAGGAAGAAACATCAGTTATGAAGGTAGGGGTGGAGCAAGAAAGGGTCCTGTTGGAGAATGAAAGGGAAAAAATAATCCAATGTATAGCAAATCAAAAAGATACTGCTTCACTCCAGCGGGAGAGAATTGCGATGCAGCAAGAGGTGGATGTCCGAGAACAAGCAAGGGCTGCCCTTGTCTGCGTTGTTACTTCCTTGGAAAAAATAGAGGTTATGCCTGGCAATGAAAAGGGTAGCTTAATTTGTGCCCTTGAGGAAGGGATGACCACTTTAAAAGCCATCTTAGGGCTGGACAAAGGTATTGCATGCGAAGAAACTCACATCGGCATGGCAGACAATGGCATTGTAGCACAAGCAGTTCTGCAACAACAGAGGACAGAGCCTGCACAAGATAATTATTTGAAATCTGTTGGGAAGCATGGTATGGGGCATCGTGAAAGGGACACACTATGCCAAGAAAAAGACAAAACAAATATAGAGGAGACCACTTGGGATGGGGAGCGGTCTTTGTCTCGGAGGGAAAGTCTGGTGTCGCTGGATGAATCAAACGATGTCTTGGATGGAGACCAGGCTGACTTGGAGACGGCGAGAGGTGTGTTGTTGAAAGCTGTTACAAAAGTTGCCGTGCTCGCACCAATGCAAGAAGCTGCTGCAGTGAAAGACTTTATGGAAGAGGATTGTTCCCCACTTGAGCAAGAGGATTCTGATGCCAATGTACGAAATCAAAAGGCATTCACCCCAGCAGAGACTGTCCGCCTCGTTCAAGCCAACTTGGACCATGAGCAAATCGTATTCAGAGATTCCCTTCAACAAGAGGTGGCCGTGCTGGAGCAGAAACGTACCACCCTGACGGCATCGCTGGAGCATGAGAGAAACAGACTGTGTGAGCTGGAGCAGGCAAGCGTGAGCGTGCGTATGGAAGCGGACAGCTTAAAAGCAGCACTGCAGCTCGAGGAGGTCGTGCTCCGAGCCACTCTGAATGAAGAAAGGACTGCGCTGGAAGAAATGAAATTCAAAGTACAAGAGAATACATTATTACAAAATCAGGAGAAAGTGAAGTTGCAGCAAGATAGGGATTTATTGGAAGATGAGAAGGTTTCTCTGGAGCGAGAGAAAGTCGCGCTGGATAGAATGAAAGCAACTTTAGAGGAGATGAAAGCTATCTGGGAACGAGAAAGAGTCGTTTTAGTGGCTCCATTAGAACAAGAGAGAGTCACCCTGAAACGAGAGCTTGCAGCTCTGCACCAGGAGAGAGCCAAATGGACCACAGAGAGCGAACGTTTGGTGCAAGAGCAGGCTTTGTTAGAACAGCAGAGGGTAGCGTTACAGCAAGAAAGAGAGTCTTTAGATCAGCACAGGGGCAACCTCAAGGTTAGGTCCGAGCAAGAGCGGGCCGCTCAAAGTGAAAGGATGTATAAAGTGGAGCAAGAGAACGCCCGTTTGCGCACTGAGCAGAGAAGGCTCGAACATGACATGGCTGAGCTAAGGGCGACCGTGGATGAGGAAGAGATGAGTTGGGCACGAAAGAGAGTTGCGCTTGACAAAGAGAAGGCCGAGAACGAGCGAGTCAAGTCGAACTTGGATAGAGAAATGGCCGTGATAAAAAAACAGAAGAGTTTGCTTGATGAAACGATGGCAAAATTTGCCTTGGAGGGAACTGATTTTTTGCATCAAAAGGCGATGGTTGAAAAGGATGAGGAAGAGATGAGTTGGGCACGAAAGAGAGTTGCGCTTGACAAAGAGAAGGCCGAGAACGAGCGAGTCAAGTCGAACTTGGATAGAGAAATGGCCGTGATAAAAAAACAGAAGAGTTTGCTTGATGAAACGATGGCAAAATTTGCCTTGGAGGGAACTGATTTTTTGCATCAAAAGGCGATGGTTGAAAAGGATGAGGAAGAGATGAGTTGGGCACGAAAGAGAGTTGCGCTTGACAAAGAGAAGGCCGAGAACGAGCGAGTCAAGTCGAACTTGGATAGAGAAATGGCCGTGATAAAAAAACAGAAGAGTTTGCTTGATCAAACGATGGCAAAATTTGCGTTGGAGGGAACTGATTTTTCGCATCAAAAGGCGATGGTTGAAAATAAAAGCAATTTGAAGACTTTAATAGAGACTGATTGTATCGTGTTAGAACAAGAGAAAACTGGACCCAAACAAGTAAAAGGACTTGTAGATTTAGAGAGTGCTACCGCAAAGCAGGAACGTGATGTCTGCAAAGCAAAACAGGAGAGCAATACCTTAACGCAAAGACGAGCGGCTGACGCGCTTTCAAGCGGCATAGAACGTCATAGCGTTGTATTGGAGCAAGAAATGTATGATGCAGTGCCATCTAAACTGCGGCAAGCTGCCACGCAAAATAACGAGACGGAGGACACAGCTCCCCCAGGGAAGGTGAATGCTGCTCTGAAAGCTCTGCAGGATCTAGAAACCGACACGGAAATTCAGGAAATGTCCAGCCCCGGAGCCACCGAGGATCGCAAGACTGCCAAGTCAGAGATAAGAAGGGAAAACGTTAACTCCTCTGTCGAATCAAGAGAAGGGACATCTGGAATTGGAGAAGAACGCTTGGGAGAAAGAAAAGGAAAACTTCAGGGAAGATGAGGACATTATGGCAGCTACAATGGAGGAAAACTTGGACACCACGATGCAGTATGAGGTTCCAACTGATGTGGCCCCTTCAGACATTGTTACTGAGAGAGACATGGCTCCAAGTAATCAAATTTTTACAAAAGAAGAATGTGCCACCCTGCAAGCTAACGTGAGTGAAATTGAAGATAATTTTAATACAGGGGTGGAAGATGCAAGGATTTTGTCAAAAGAAAATCTGGAACGAACTCCAAGTGAAGACGGAAGACGTCACAGCATGGTCACACGCTCGGCGCGCAAGAGAAGTTCACGGTATGCAAAATCGTACATATCCGAGTGCTCACAAATATTTAAATATATTTTTAAATTTGCCCCATTGGCAGTTTCTCACGGAGCGAAGTACGCGTGAAGCCTTTGTGTCGATTCTCCGCTAGAATGGGACCTTGTCCTTTACGTTCAGCGACAAAGGGCCAACCTTCATTGTGCTTCGTGCTGTGCGCGTTGTGTGCATGTTGCCGTGTGTGTATGCCCGCGCAACAGGCACTCCCAGGAAACCCTCTACTTCACACCGTTGCAGACGAGGCCTTCCCTCGCGGGAAGGCAGGCTCCGACTCTGGACTGGAGCCTCAACTCCCTCGAGGATCTCGTCATCGACTCGGCCAAGAAGAAGCCGCGCACGTCGTCCGCACGGCGCCGCACCATGCACGTCATCGACATCACGCTTAACAAGGCACGCGGCCGCTCTTGCACACCACGCACATCACGCACGCACGTCACACCCCCCCCCCCCCACTGCCCTTCTCGGTGGTGACTACGCTGCACCACGGCTTTTTGTGAAGCACTGGGCTTCAAGCGGCCATACCCATTTGTATTGGCGAGAGTGTTTCCCCCTCGCAGGTGTGGGTTTTCTCCGGTTTCCTCCCACATCGATAAACACTCATTCATTGGCTAAAAAAATCTTAATTTATAGAGGGCTTCAGAGCTTGGGCAATTGTTGGTAGCGGCAGCTCGCCACATGGCTGCCTGCCCGCTTGTCTGTGGTTCCTAAGAGTTGTGAGATGCAATTTTCATGAGCGATGTGATATTACATTTTACATTATTCTTTCAGCCTCTACCACCAGTGCCCTCACTGCATTTACATTGTTAGTCCATGCTTGCCGATGCGGTTTAATGTTGGTTAAAACATTACTGGTTTTAATTCAGACTTAACGGCTTTACTTTTTTACATTTCAGGATTATGTTTCGTATATGATGTATAATAATAATAGTTTTTTTACCCTTTTATCTGGCAACAAAACTGACACCTTTTTTTACGAGGAGTCATGTTTGCGTTGACCACAATACCTGCGGTCGGAATGCAAACAAAAAACACAACTCTGATCATGTATGCACTGTCCTTGAAATTGATTGGTCCACACCTGAGACAGCTTTTCTTAGAGCCGAGTCTCACATGGTGTTGGACCAAATGACGCCAAAAGGCGCACACCTCAAAGACAATGCACCATCAGAGTATGAGAGCTCGGGGTAAGCATTTACACCATTGGAACCTCCTTTGCCAGTAGCAAAAAAAATATTTTACTACTGGCAAAGGAGGTTCCAATGATGTATAATAATTTTATGTGCCAATTTTCTATTGGCTGAGACTTTGAGTGATTGGCTGTTTAATAGAGATCTATGGTGTGTATTCATGTTGTATTGATACATCTGCCTAGTGCATCGCTAAAGAGAGCTACCGGGACGGTGACTTAGCCAGTGCAGTGCATTCCCGGCTTGTTGCAGGGGTCTACGGTTCGAATTCAGCAGCCTCCTTGGTTATTATTGCCGGCGTATTCACTATAAGTATGTGCCATCTGCTATAGTGGGCAGTAAAGATCTCGTGAAGTCATTCAAAAACGAGTAGGCCATTGCATGCCGCATCGTTCAAATAAAAAATTACCTCCAAATCGCTCTTGCGATTATAGACAGCAACAACATTGTCTCCTGCTGTGAACCTGCACGGCAGTCACAGCACTCCAAAATACGATCTCTACACAAAACACTCTCCGTCGTACCGGCCTGCGTCACGAGCCCTCCCCCTGTGCTGCAGAAGGTGGAGTCGTGTCGGCGTGACAGCGTGTCCAGCAGTGTGTCCACGATGCGCAGCAGCACCACCACAGCCTACGAGTTGCGCTCCCACGGGGACAGACCTACACCCGTGCAGTCTTCCAACTGGTCGCTGGGATTCCCAGCATCCTCTGCTTCGTTTGTGACGCTCGGCACCTTCACTTCCCAGAATTCCCTGCAGCTTGAGGTACTGGAACTGAGAAATTACAACGTAGAGAGGACGATTCATAGTTGATTTTAGGTTAGTGCACATCATGATGTGGCCAAACTTTTGATGTAAAACCCTCTGCCACCTGACACAGCCAAATAATTTAAATTGTTACGTGTATAAGGGTTTATCGCAGCAGGTATTATTGTTTCGACTCACCGGTAAGTTGAATAACTTTTCCTGCAAATCTGGTTGTGAGGATTGTTGTTCAACTCACCGGTGAGCTGAAACAATACCAATTTTGAACATTAGACGCTCGTTCGTTAGAAAATTAATTTGGCTATATTGGGTGGTGATGGGTCCGTCCCTTGCACCAAAAATTGGGCCAGATTATAACGTGGCCCTAAGCCAAAAATCTATTATGAACCGTAATATTGGTTTGTGAAAATGTACGTGTTATATATGTCATGTTCAATCGAAAAAACGGTCCTGTTTTTTAAAATCTAACACTAAACCAAACAAACTTGTAAACTGGCAGCACGATACTGTTGGGTTGTGTGAAGCTCGCGTCGAGTAACCGGTGGGGACTCCACTGCTGTTTGTACAGGACCTGAGGTCTGGGCGGTTGTCCGACGCCAGCCTGCGGAGCCTCCCCGGCTACCGGCCCCTCGGTCCACACGGAACCGATGGCCGCAACCTGGAGCAGTTGCAGGCCCCGCCAACGACGCGGCGTCGCAAGGGTGAGCTGTCATGCGCTCTCCTTCAGGTCATCCACACGCACCCCGGTGGGAACCTGCACGCGAGAAGCTCGTGATCGCAGTAGCGGGGCCAGTGACGTGGCCCAGCGGTAGCAGCGTTGGCCTCTTGTTACAGAGGTTTGCGGTTCGAATCTGGCAGGCCGCCTTGGTTATAACCACGGGAGTATTAACCACAAAATGTGCGCCTTCTGCTTCATAGCGGACGTTTAAGATTCCGTCACGTCGTTCGAAATGAGCAGGCCATTGTGTGCTGATGGCACGGTTCAAATTTTCTAAACTTTAGATTTTTTTTACCGCAAATAACACCCCTGCTGCAAAAACCTGACAGGACCCTCCTGAAAATGAGTCTTGAGACGCAGCAAGGCTTTCCTGGGTAATCAAGCGGAATAATAACATTGATTGTGAAATGCACACATTGCACAGCAGCGTTTGCATCAATTATCCTTGCGTTGTTTTCCAGGAAATGCATCGTATTACATGAGCTGCGTAGATGAGCCAGACCCAGAAGCCGAATGGGATGAACTTGAGCGCCAGGGACTTGGCGCGCACGCTCTGCCTCGGCGGCAGCCCAGAGCGGCGCTGGAGACTAGCGCTTGCTACACTGGAGGGTTTGCAGGAAAACCAGCCACTGGTCAATTGCAAGGTGGACTTTTCTGATAAAAGCGACACCAGAAACGACCATTTGCTACTGTCAGGAAGAATTGCAAAAGCGCAACCAAGCAACCCTGCCTCACCTGCGATCCTGCTACCCACTGGAAGTGGAGGTGAGTTGCAGTGGAGCACTTTTAGACAGTTATTCTCATCAAGATATCACAGATGCCCATAGCTATCGCAACACTAATACTCATAGTCCTTTACCTAGGAAAGCCTTGGGGAGACCCAATTCTTTGTTTAATTTATTTGCATGTGACAAAACCCACACTAAGGAGGAGGCAACCATGAAAAATGCACACGTGCAGTGGTAATCCATTACAACAAAGTGACAATCTTGTGCAGTTTTGAACGTACGTGATGGAAATGCATACACATGTTTCGGCTCTGTGTGTACACGTGTGTAACAGACATTCATGCCGGGGGAGGATCTGTGCACGGCAAAACCAGAAATGACAGCACGCCGCATGTTCCTCCGCCCCGCGCTCGCCGACGCAAATGCGGACATGCGAAAACGGAAATCTGGGATCGGCCACAACGCAGAATGCTCACCGGAGGTAACGTTGCAGCTCTGTGCAGAGGTCGTCGTGGTCAGTGTCGATTTAAGCCACCGCATATCCCTCGCGCTATCCCCCTATGTGCCATGTGGCCAGTGCAATTCGTGGAGCATGAGCGGGCATTGGTAGATGCGCACATCTTAGTATTTTATATTTTTTGGGTCTTTCGGTAAAGCCACGTAGATAGAAAAAATAATAATTGGAATAACAATATCACGACGTTTCGATCGCAATACAAGCAAGAGTCATCAGGTGAAAATATATATAGCGAGAGAGCTGCTGAGGCAGAAAAAATATGTTTAAAAAATATATATGTTTCCTCCCTCAGCAGCTCTCCCGCGATATATTTTTTCACCTGATGACGATTGCTTGTGTTGCGGTCGAAATGTTGTGATATTGTTATTCTTTTTTTTCTATCTACGTGGCTTTACCGAAAGTCCCAAAGAATATGAATTCCTGCAGTCACGAAAGCTTTAAGTTAGTATTTTATAATTGGTTCTTTACCCTTCTATCTGGCAACAAAACTGACACCTTTTTGCAAGGAGTCATGTTTGCATAGACCGCAATACCTGCAGTCATAATACAAACATAAGAACATAACTCTGATAATGTGCACTGTCCCTGAAGTTGATTGGTCCACACCCGAGACAGCTTTCCTTCGAGCCTAGTCTCATATGGGTTGGACCAGATGACGCCAAAAGGCGCACAACTCAAGGACAATGCACCATCAGAGTATGAGAGCTCGGGGCAAGCATCTACACTATGGGGACCTCATTTGCCAGTAAAAATATGATAATTGGTTCTTTACCCTTCTATCTGGCAACAAAACTGACACCTTTTTGCAAGGAGTCATGTTTGCATAGACCGCAATACCTGCAGTCATAATACAAACAAAAGAACATAACTCTGATAATGTGCACTGTCCCAGTTTTGTTGCCAGATAGAAGGGTAAAGAACCAATTATCATATTTTTACTGGTAAATGAGGTCCCCTTAGTATTTTACTTAAGACACTGAACATCACGTGACTGGTGGTCTCAAGCTCTGATGCTCAAGAGAACGTCCACGAATAAATATCTGGGCACGTCATCAGTTCCCTGTTCCATCACACCTCACCTAATCACAAACGTCAAAAAACTTCACCATCTGACTTATTACCATGTTTTTTTATGATTCGTATACAAACCCCAAGTTATACGATTTTGTTTAATTATGCCGGGGCTGAATTGTTAAGAGCCCAAAATATGCAACTCTTGCAGATTATCAACATCTGGAGCTATTCGGTGATTCTTGCATAGCAGGGAGGTGGTACAGTGCTCGCAGCAAGAAGGACCTGGGTTCAATTCCTAACGAGGCTGATTTCTACGTGCTGTTTGTACCTTCTCCCTTGATCCCGCATTTGTTTCCTCCAGATTCTCCAGTCTCCTCCCAGAGTTAAGAAAACATTCAATGTAAATAGTATTGGCCAAATCGTATTGCTGAAAAATTTCCCAAATATTGCTCGAATGGGATTACATAGCAGCAACAGGACCATCCTGAAAAAGAGTGTTGGGACTTAGTGAGGATAATAATAATTCTGCTTGTTAATTTCCGTGAACGTTACGCCTCTTTGCTCATTCGCAAGTTGATCCAACGTGAGCGTATTGCCCGACAGCCTACGTCACGCTGACGGTGACACGCTGCTGTCCCCTGTGCTTCCCGCAGAGTAAGAAGTCGGCCACCATGTGCTTTGTGGTACCGGCCACCCCCCGCGAGAGGCCGCCGCCCCGGGCGTCGCCGCGTCGAGATGACCATCCCCAAGTACGCGTTGCGCGCGGCTACCTCACTCTCCCCCTCGCTTTGCAGCGATGCAGCTTCTACTCCCGCCCCCTCTCCCTCTTTCTCCCTTCTCTACTGGAAAATATTAGTTTCAGATCTGTTGCCAATGCATCACTTCATGGATGGTGTCATGAGCTGTTTGTCATCTGCTTGTATGGTGATGGTTCATTTTTGATGTGGCTTTTCTTATTGCACATGACTCCCTTAACCTCTTGAGAGGCAGAATCGTATACGAGTGCATGTGAATGAGCGCGCATCCATTTGTGTCCAGCGTTCCTGGCCGATCATCCGTCGCCTTCGCCGATCCATGTCGCGTAAGAAATCTCCTTCCAGCAAGGTACGAGATTTCCCACGGATTAACACATTGCAACTAAACCCCACGCAGGCACTTGGCCCGCACATCCACGCGAGCGAGCTTGCTCGCTCAAGCGCCACAAGACTGCACTCTGGTTAACGTGTAACCACGGTAGACACATCCAAATAAGTCACGGGATCAACATTGTGTTGGGAATTGACTTTGCACATATCCCATAATATTAACTGTATGCTCAAATAACATGAACTGTCTCCGAAATTAGTATTATTATTCCAAATCCTCACCACAGTGACAGGTGGCATACATGTTCACTTGTGTGATAACTGTAAAGGAATGATAGTATTTCCTCCAGAGAACCTGGAGAAAACCCTTGTTCTCTCCCCCTGTTCTGCATGGGTTCTCTAGTTTTTTCCACAAAGCTAAAATAACAGTGTTGTAACTGGCATTAGCCAACCATCCCAATGCTGAAAAACAGTTAACTCAATTCGGATTGCACACAGCAGCTGCAAAAAACTTAGCAGGACCCTCCTGAAAAGAGTTTTGAGAGCCAGTGAGGCTTTCCTTGGTAAAGACACTTAATAATTATCAACGTAAAATGTTGTTCCTCTCTCCCGCAGGCATCTAAACCTTGAACCTAAACTACACGTTACGATCATCAGCACAGATATGAGAAGATGATGACGGTGGTGAAAGTGACAGAAAGATGCCGTTCCTTGTTATCGGTGCACTGTACCTTGTACATTTTTGGTTGTGAGCTGTAATTCTGTGTAGATATTTTGTTGGCTTCCATCAGAAGATTATTTGTATATTTTTTTGATGATGGTTCCTTGTAATCTCACCACTGCCCTGCGTTGTCCCTTCACGACACTGCCATGCACTTTAAAAAACCCTGCTTGAGCAAGGGTTTTTAAAAGTTAGCTCTAAGCTATGCAGGACTTTCACGCTTCTCGCACTGCGTGTAAATATTCGTGAGCACATTTAGATCTAGCTAGATCTGGTTGTCGCCTGATGAAACTAGTTGTAATTACTAGCGAAACGTCGTACTCGGTTTGTACATGTTCTGGCTTGGCTCTCCAACACATCGGTGTGCTGTACTAGTGACGAATTGGCATGTTCTGTTTACGTGACAACCCTTACTAGTTGGCTGTGTCGGGTGGTGGCAGGTTTTTACGACACATTTTGTATATTTACGCGCTCTAACCCAAAAACCTCTTATGGATGGCTTTTTGTGATTCGCTGCTGGTCATTATTGTAAGCAGCGTAATATAAGTAACTGTATTTTACGTTGTGAAGGAATAGAGTGGATTTGTTCCCAAAGACCGTCTCATTGCACCTGGGACACTGCCTTTTAGCTTAACGAGCCCGTGGTCATCAAATCAGCACTGGCAGGTTCTCTCGGACCAATGATTCGTTCCAGGCAGAGGGGTTAATACTGCCATCGCGATGAGCATCGGCACACACAATTGAGCAGCTACGCAGTGTTAGCCTCCATAATCACTTTGCTATTCACAAGTCGCGTAACATTGCCCTAAATGAAACTATTATAACACTAATGTCATGTAGGTGTACTTTAGAGTTATTGCTAAGATATATTCCAAGTCCTTTGCATAAAGCGGAGCGGTATAGTTATTTAACAAAATAATTAAATCGTATCACTGTAAAATGTCAAATCTGCACGACACCAGCTAATGTATCCAAATTGCACAGAGGCATTCATGTATTTATAGTTTTTAGCATTATTGTACAGGCATTCCTTGCGTAATGCACCCCCCCATAGCGAAAATTCGCAGTTATGCGATTCGTCTTTTAAGGGACACTTCACACTTACGCTATGCATTGCACAGTTTACGTGCTCAAGAAACAAAAAATATTGTAAAATTATTTTTTTTTCAATAATTCTTTTTTCAATTATAAAGATTCAAAATAGTAATCTTTTCCATCCTAGTTATCTTGTTATTAAACTCCTTGTTAAGTAATCTTTGTAATATTAAGTATTACATTTATGCATGGTTTCTTTTGTAAATCCAGGGCTAAAATAATTAAATTAAATTATACTTAAGTTTCCTTCGGTAACGCGCCCCCGCTTATAACATGTATGTCTATGGGAATATCAGCTTCGTACAGCGCGATTCGACTTGCGCGCTGTTTTTCAGGAACGCATGTTGCACGTTATGTGAGAGACGCCTGTATTTGCATGTTTGTGCTTGACAGTCATTCCACTCTACTTCTAACCTAAAAATATACTCCTTTATCACTTTTCACAATACATATAATAAACGTGATTATTAAAACTGAATTATTTTAAACAAAAAGCTTTTCAGGGAACTTGCCAAAAGATGTGTAATGTTGGAATAACTGGCAAGGCGATGCAGAGGCATTGTTATACTGCAGGGGGACACCGTGGCGCTGTCAGGGATGGATGGCAAAGCAGCCTCCCCGGGGTGCTTCTCGTTTTACGATCTCATGGCGCGTGGCCGGAGTGAAATTGCGTTAACGTGGACATTTCATGGATAGAAAAGTGTCTGTAATTTGTCTGCATTCACGCAAAATGTCATGAAGGGAACGTTGGTTAATCTGAGAGATACCTGTGCTTGGCTGCTCGTCCACAATTTGTCTTTCACCCAGACGCCCCTCCAAGCCACTTGACCATTTCTATATTTGCCCCCTCCCCCCAAGCCATTCTTTCATTTCATATCGGAAGCATTCACTGCAATAGCAAAACTTTTACAGACGTATGTCTGTTTGACCAAGTTGTTCAGTCAGTTTCAAATGTAACATTGTAACCTTCAGATGTGTGATGCTGTTGATGTTAAAATTATAATTTGTAAATGATTTAGATACAGGAGTTAGCACGCTTTGCTTTGTCCGATCTAGTGTGCAATGCATAGAGGTATCCAAGAGATGAACTACACTTTTAGGCGCTTCTCACAGCATCGAGGAAATTCGACCTCAAACAAGAGTAAGTTCCCACATTCTTCTCACATTCATATCAAGCGTTTTTTTATGTTGGTGAAAGATTGACTTGTTGCTGTCCAACAGCGTGTTTTTATACTGTAACATATGGGTATAATTTTGGTTATAATTTCCAAAATAAAACGTTTGCATGCTTTTGTGGTGGGAAATAAATACAACACTAGAAAATATGTATTCACTTGAAAGCGTAATCTTTTTTTCTTACATATGTAGTGAGTTCAATTGAGGCGCACACTTGAACTTGGAGGCAACACGTTTTATTAACCAACACAACAGGTAACTCTTCACATTAACAAGATAACGGCATAGGGTGATGACCACTGCTTTTAACGAACACTCGAGGGGATAGCTAAATAGTCCGACCAGGACAGCTAACAGGCTGCCTGGTCCACGAGCGAAGACCGGAGACCGAGGATCGTAGATGGCGGCTTCATTCCCAGAGTTGATCCACCAGAACAGCCAACACATCGTCGGGTCGTCGTGTGCGGCGACCGAAGAGCGAGGATCGAAGAAGGTGACTTCTTTCCCGTGTTGAACAGCCACGCTCCCTCTCGGGACTCGGCTTATATCTCCTGTGGCGTGACTGGGCTCCGCCCCTGGTCACGCCCCCTTCTCGATCCTTCGCGGAGGGTCTGGGTCCACATCACGTTGCCCGCTCACCCCTCCTGGGAGTTCTCGTGCCCCCTCGTCCGGTCATGTGCTCGCGGGTTTTCACAGGATATCATGTCTTTACCCGATCTCGGTGACACCCGGACCGTGCCCTCTCGTGAGCCATTCCGTGCCATGCTCACACTGGTGCCATAGAGCAGCACCACGCATACAGTACCACTCTTCATTTGGTACTGTCGCTACACAGTAGTGACACCATTTATGTCACTACACATGGATAAATACCTGATGTGCATATGTTACAAACATTTGCAACCGCACCTTTGTTTTGCACAATGTCGTTTTCCCCACAGCATCGTAGTTATTGGTGGCGGCAGCGTCGTTGAGATGCGATGACCGAACGTGTTCCCTTGGTTGGAGCATCGCATCAATTCCTGCCTCCGCAATACACATGCCAAACAGCGGACTGCCCGGGTCAAACAAGTGCCACCAATGTGCTTAAACAAAGCGTTGAATCGACGTGTCCACTTCTATAACGGGGGTTTACTTAACTATCACTGCAGTCTTGCACCCCTTTGGTTCTCAATCGTTACAAAACTGTATAATGTTAATAAAAAAAGCAGGGTTTGATGAAACAAAGTAAGTTGTACTTGTGTCCCCGTGCTTAATTTGTGTTTCGATGATTTATCTTCTAAAGATATCTGGTCATGCTGCATACCCCCATAAAGGGCATCTCGTACCCCCAAGGGTGAGTGCACCCCAGGTTATGAACCACTGTTCTATGACAATGTATAGGACACGGCAATTAATGAAAACCACATTACAAAAACTTGATTGTGCAGATAATCACGCACAGATAGATGCGTGCTTGAAATTAGCCAGATAGGGGAGCACGGAGTCTAGATCGTACGCACGCAGCGGCTGCTGACGGGTGATGTTCAAATTGTTCAGAAAAGTAGTCTGGCCGCGGCAGGACGCGTTGCTAGAGACATGCCACAAATGAACGACGCCACCTTGCTGAGCTCGTCAAAGAGCATGAACCATCACGCGAACTCCGGTCATCCTCGCAGCAGCTTATGGTTAGCCCTTGAACAAAGACAGTCCATCACTGCATTGCGTGCTTTCGGATGTGCTTCTGCGGCCATCTGGAACGCTCTTCCGATATTAGGGAAGACACTGGAGCTGTGCATTTTTTTTATCTGAATTGAAAACTCAATTCTTTAGAACTGCTTTTTTTGTTTAGTTAGTCCTTCCCCCACACCGCCGATTAGCACGGTTTGGCTATGTGGTGCGACTGCAACGGAGCAACTCCACCGGCGCTGCCATCCCCTCGCACCCCTCCACACGAACGCACGCACACCCCCACTAAACACACACACCCATGTAGGTCTCGTGGGGGGGTCACCTGGTACCATGGATTTTTACCCGAGGGGGCCCTAGCGGGGATGTCTTATGGTTTCCCAGTGCCAGGAGATTGGCTGACCCCCCCCCCCCCCAGACCAAATTGCATTGCGGCCCCGTAAATTGGCTTACAATTGTATGGGCATGACGAAGCTCACCAGGCTAATCGCAATGGGACACTCACAGCGCAGGGAGATAGGGCATTGAGGGCAAGCACTCAGCGAGCAGTGCATAAGAGGAGGTGGGAGGGAAATTCCTGGACCGACTGCAGCTGTGTATTCTGCGGGACGGCCACCCCGACCAAACCGGTTGTGGCTGGGGTGGGGAGGACGGGTGCGTAAACAATGGGTGAAGGTGCTCTGGAGGGACCACTCCAGGTAAGGGCAGGGCATCGGTTTAAAATCGAAAGGTAGACACCCGATCGGTCGTGCAGTGACCCTGGATCTTTGGATTCCGAGGGCATAAAAGGAGGGAGCGGAATAAACGTTGAGCGGTTCTCCAGCCGTTCAGCCGCCCGGTCCAACTCCCAGCCGCTCGCAGTGTCTGAGGGACGCTGGCGAGCGCTGCTACGACTCGACCCCAGGCAGAGACCTCTTGTACCCTCGTGCCTCCGACTCCCACCGCATCCGTGCGACACCGTGAGTGCATCTGCGAGGTGAGAAGTCGAGGGAGGGTACACTGGGATTGAATAGGGATAGGCTAGGCGCTGTTCGTTGAGTATTTACTCTGGGCCGCACAGGGCTTGCTATAGACATTAAACAGGACCCTGCGGGGTGGGCTGGTAGGAACGAATAACCAAAGAATATAAACATAATGTATTATTACACTTGTTTAGCCAGGAAAACCCCACTGAGTCAAAAGGTTTTTGTAGGGTCCTGCCAAGTGTTTGCAGTAGGGGGCGATGTTGCTACACCTAATCGGACGATACGAAGGGAGAGCTGGAGGCCTAGTTCTAGGCTTTAGACCTAGCTGTAGGTTTTAGGGCGCTGTGAGTTAATTTTTTAATTTAAATGTTTAATTATTTATGTAAAAGCTTTACATTTTAAATGTTTATATTTAAAAACATGAGGGAATGTAACATTGTTAAACATTAACTCCCTTTCACACACGCAGGGGTACGATACGAAGGGAGAGTTTCAGGCCTAGTTCTAGGCTTTAGGCCTAGCTGTAGGCTTTACGCCGCCGTGAGTTAATTTTTAATTGAAATGTTTTAATTATTAATGTAAAAGCTTTAAATTTAAATGTTTCTATTTAAAACATGAGGGAATGTAACATTGTTAAACATTAACTCCCTTTCACACACGCGGGGGTACGATACGAAGGGAGAGTTTCAGGCCTAGTTCTAGGCTTTAGGCCTAGCTGTAGGCTTTAGGGCGCTGTGAGTTTTTTTAATTTAATTTCAAAGTTTTAATTAAAAGCTATCTGAGGGAATTATAAGGGAATGTTACACTTGTTTAGCCAGGAAAGCATCATTGAGTCTAAAGGTGTTTGTAGGGTCATGCCAAGTGTTTGCAGTAGGGGGCGATGTTGCTACACGGACGGTCGGACGGACGGACGAAATAATTTATTGGTGGTTGGTCCACTTCGTTCCTACCAGTATAAACTTTATCACAGAGCACCAGCGCAGCGTGATTTCTGTGTGTGTGGGAAGAGTGTCGGCGTGGTGTGTAATTCGAGCGTGTGTGTGAGGCATGCGGGTAGTAACTCCTTAACTGCGCCCGCGTCCGTGCAGCAGCGCCGCGCTATTAATAGGGCGAGGGAGGGGTGAGTCAGAACCCGTTCGCCGTCATAGTTTACGCGTGCTCGTGTGCGTGTTTGCACAGCGTGCTTCACGCGGCGCGTTGGCTGTAGGGTGTCATTGTGTACGCATATTCATACGGCTATTTTTAGCGCTCGCCGTGGTGGGCGACGTGCACCTGCATGGGCACGCGCGTGCACGCAGCCACCTCCAAATTATGGGTGGTGTACGTGGGGAGTGTGTGGGATAACTCCGGGTGGTGGAGAGCCAGCCACTTCGCCGTGTCCCTCGGAGACAATCATCTCTGCTTGACGTCCTATTGACTAATGCCGCTCACAATTTCCCACTTACTGGTGTTTTGGGTAATAACCTTAGTGATCACTCCTTCATATTTGGGGTGAGATCATCAGCCAGACCCAAAGTCCCCTTTAAATTGGTTGAAAAGCACTCCATGAGACACTTCAGCATTCAGGCATTTACTAATGATGTGCTTCACTCGGATATTGACAAGGTCTGTGATATCCCCAACATGACTACGGCTTGGGAGACCTTCAGGTACACGTTTCTCCAAATTCTTAACAAACATGCTCCGTTGGTTATATTTAAAACTAAAGGCAACCACCCACCAGGGTTTGATCATTTTATTACTAAGCTCATGAAAACTAGGGACAAGACTTGGACATGTGATCAGAAAAGTAAAGTGGTCAATAACTGGCTAGAATACAGGATTTTAAGGAATAGATGCGTCAAAAAAATACGACATGCAAAAAATGCTTACTTTTCCTCCACCCTCCTGGAATCACATGGAAATGCCAGAATCTTCTGGGATACAATCAAATGTATCGAAAAGGCATCCAACACAGATAATCTGCCCAAAGTGCTTAACCAAAATGGGGACTATTTTTCAGAGCCCCCAAAAATAGTCGACAATTTTAACCTTCATTTTTCTGAAGCTGGTGACCTTTTTAATAATGTATTGGGAGTCACCCCTGCTCATGCAGGGGTTTCCAGCCTGTCCACGAAAGTAATGTTCTGAAACAACTCTCCTACCTCAAAGGGTCCTCCTCTACCGGAGCAGATAGTATTCCCGTCTATGCTCTGCTAACTGTTGGTCATCTAATATACAAACCTATAGTCCATATTTTCAACCTGTCCATCAAAGAAGCATCAGTACCTCTAGAATGGAAACATTCCTATGTTCGTCCACTTCACAAAGGGGGCCCTAAAGATGATCCAAATAACTACCGACCTATCTCAATTTTGTCCCCGTTGATGAAATTTTTTGAAAAATGATTTAACTACCAAATTAGCAGTGTCCTGTCCGACAACAATCTATTACATCGAAAACAATCTGGGTTCCGAAAAAAATACAGCACCACATCTGCTGCATTAGACTCTCTGAATCACATTTACAGTAGCCTTGATAATAAGCAGTACTGCGCCCGTTTTTTTCTTGACTTGTCCAACGCCTTTGATACAGTGGACCACAACACCCTGCTTAGTAAACCAAGTTGCCTCCGTTTCTCCAAATACGCAGTAGAATGGTTAAAAAATTCCCTCTCTTCTTGCACCCAAACTGTATTCACAGATGGTTGGAGGTCAAACAGTGTTAAGATAACAAAAGGGGTTCCACAGGGTTCCATCCTCGGCCCCCTCTTGTTCTCTCTTTATGTCAATGACTTGGGCACTGACCTGGATCATTCATAAATCTGTTTGCAGATGACACGATACTGATCACTGCCGGCCGCTCTCCGGATGACGTGATTGCTAAGCTCCAGGGTGATTTCAACAAACTACAACATCAGCTAGTTGTTCTTAAACTGGTCCTAAATACCTTCAAAACCAAGGTGCTATGCTTCACACCAGGACTAAAGCAGGAAGTAATTTTCCCCCAATTATATTCCTTAAATACCATGTTTTCCCGCATATAGCCCACATACGCATTTAACCTGCAGACGCATATACCCCGCACAAATAGCGTTTTTTTTTCAGATAGCCCGCACCTCCATATACCCCGCATGCATTCATATCTTTAACGTCGTTACTGCAGCTTAATTCCATCATATTAAAAGAAGTTTACATTTGTAATACATTCCACTATCAATTGTTAACATTAAAATCATAACGGGCACAAAGAAAACAAACTAACCGGAAACGAGTGAACTTAAAACAGTAAATAAGTAACAAAAGTAAATATCCAATAAATAAGTAACACATAACCGGTAGATAAGTAAGTACAGTTTTAGCACTGGGAGATTGCACACTGCGCAGACAATAGCGGCACTACGGTAACGCCGTTGCCTCGCCCCCACCCCCCACCTCTCTCCCCCCAGCTCTCCGGTCGCCGGTAAACAAAGTGCGCCCACTTCAAACATTGTCGTTTCATCGTACAAACAATTTGAATAATTAAAAACGTGTTAACATGTGCAATTGTAATACGAGTCGTTTATTCAGCAGTGCTTTCGTCAAAGGTAAGTGTTGCATAGTGGATAGTCCTACCTTGAAAAAATTAAACGAGTGATGACGTGTCACACGTGTAAAATATTTTTTGGGATAGCCCGCACCTCCATATACCCCGCAGGGTCTTGTTTTGTTTGTAAAAAGTGGTATACCCCGCGGGTTATATGCGGGAAAATACGGTAATCATCAAATAGAGCAAGTCACGATCTATAAGTATCTTGGGGTCATCTTTGATTCAAAACTGAATTTTCAAGATCACATTGATTATATTGGTAAAAATACAAAATAAAAATTAGGTTTTCTGTATCGCCACAAGCACTATGTTCCGCTTGGAATTGATTAAAGCTACCGTACTGCCTCTACTTCATTACTGTGACATCGTGTATAAATCAGCCCCCAGTACTTTACTGAAGATGCTTGACTCAATTTATCACTCGGCCTTAAGATTTGCATTGAACTGCCCATATAGGACCCACCACTGCGATCTCTACATTGGGTCAAACTTAATTTCTCTTAATGATCGACGGGCTTGTGCATCAGATCTTATTTATTCACGATGTACTTACAAAAAATCAGCAGACTACCTGCTGGATATCCTCACTGTTTCGAAGACCAAATGTAACCTAAGGTCTTCGCTCATTTACCAGCATCACATTTCTTATTGTCGTACAAATACTGGAGGAAGAGGCCTTTTCAATTGATGCCCCTAGGGTCTGGAATGCTATCGCCAATAAACTGCAACTTGGATCACTACCTGTGAGATCTTCACTCAAAACTGCTCTAGAGGAGTTGTACACACCTAGCTGCCACTGCTATACAGAATGGCCTGAAATCAAATGTAGCATTCCGGATGACCGCTGCAAAGTATGATCTTGAGTTTTGATTGTGGTGTGCTGATTTTTAAAGGTGTATTGAGAATTTTTTATTCTGCTACTGATGCTCCTGCTGTTATGGAGTGACTCATGCAGCCAGCGATGGCTGCGGGGTTTGGTCGTACATGTTTTTGTATATCGTTTATTGTTGGATTTTAATCACAGTTCCTATGATCACTGTTACATTGTTTTTGTGGCTTTATTATGGTGATTTTGAGGACAGTTTGGTCTGGCCATGTTTATTTGTTGTAGTACAGAGTTGGCCTGATAACTTTAATCTACATTGTCTTATGGTTGTTATTGTTTGACTTGCATCCCACTGGGATTTTTGCACACAGCTTTGAAATGCGGTGTTTTTTCTGGAACACTTTGCTGTTTTTTCCAGGATTTTTTCTGTTGCGTGTAGTCACTTTAAGATGTTTCTTGTTCATGTTTTTGTTTTGTTGCGGTTGTATCCGAGTCAAGAGCAGCATGGCTCACAAGGTTATATCTAACACATGAAACTGAAAAACTGAAACTGGTGCGGGGGAGCCGATCACCCGATTGGCGGGGGCCCGGCTGGAAGTGGCCGAGGAGGAGGTTGGGGGAGAGGAGGTGGGCGTCAGCCCCCACAGCTACGCACGGTGCAAAATAAGTTCTACGTACATACTTGAAGAACAAGGGTCAATGTTAATAACGGAGTGGCAGCCTAGTGAAGGAATGCGTCTGAGTTGGGGGGTAGGGGGGGTGTCAGACGTGGAGGGTGAAATCCGCACGGATTCTGTCTGGGTCGTTACAATCGCAGCACGACCGTGCAGAGAGGTGGCGACGTTTCGCAGAAGTCCTCGTCCATGCAGTGGATGCAGGCGACCGTCAGAGCTGCGGGCGCCGGAGTCGACCAGGGATGCAAACCCCCTCCGCCGGGGCGGGGCGGGGAACAGCCCTGGGCTACCCTCCCCCCCAAGTGGTGAGAGCGCGGACACGGAGCGAGGGAGGAGTGTAAGTGAGGAGTGGAACAAGGGAGGAGTGTAGTGAGGAGTGGAGCGAGGTGAGAGGCGCCGCTCCTCCGCGTCCAGTCATGGAGAGCCGCCGCGGGCTGCTCGCTTGCGCCGCGCTGCTCGCCGCTGTGAGCGCTGGCCGCTTCGGTAAGACGTGGGGGGCACCTGGGAGAGGCGTGGGGGGCACCTGGGAGAGACGTGGGGGGCACCTGGGAGAGGCGTGGGGGGCACCTGGGAGAGGCGTGAGGGGCACCTGGGAGAGGCGTGGGGGGCACCTGGGAGAGGCGTGGGGGGCACCTGGGAGAGACGTGGGGGGCACCTGGGAGAGACGTGGGGGGCACCTGGGAGAGGCGTGGGGGGCACCTGGGAGAGGCGTGGGGGGCACCTGGGAGAGACGTGGGGGGCACCTGGGAGAGACGTGGGGGGCACCTGGGAGAGACGTGGGGGGCACCTGGGAGAGGCGTGGGGGGCACCTGGGAGAGACGTGGGGGGCACCTGGGAGAGACGTGGGGGGCACCTGGGAGAGGCGTGGGGGGCACCTGGGAGAGACGTGGGGGGCACCTGGGAGAGACGTGGGGGGCACCTGGGAGAGACGTGGGGGGCACCTGGGAGAGGCGTGGGGGGCACCTGGGAGAGACGTGGGGGCACCTGGGAGAGGCGTGGGGGGCACCTGGGAGAGGCGTGGGGGGCACCTGGGAGAGACGTGGGGGCACCTGGGAGAGGCGTGGGGGCACCTGGGAGAGGCGTGGGGGGCACCTGGGAGAGGCGTGGGGGGCACCTGGGAGAGACGTGGGGGGCACCTGGGAGAGACGTGGGGGGCACCTGGGAGAGACGTGGGGGGCACCTGGGAGAGGCGTGGAGGGCACCTGGGAGAGACGTGGGGGCACCTGGGAGAGGCGTGGGGGGCACCTGGGAGAGGCGTGGGGGGCACCTGGGAGAGACGTGGGGGCACCTGGGAGAGGCGTGGGGGCACCTGGGAGAGGCGTGGGGGGCACCTGGGAGAGGCGTGGGGGCACCTGGGAGAGGCGTGGGGGGCACCTGGGAGAGACGTGGGGGCACCTGGGAGAGGCGTGGGGGGCACCTGGGAGAGACGTGGGGGCACCTGGGAGAGGCGTGGGGGGCACCTGGGAGAGGCGTGAGGGGCACCTGGGAGAGGCGTGGGGGGCACCTGGGAGAGGCGTGGGGGGCACCTGGGAGAGACGTGGGGGCACCTGGGAGAGGCGTGGGGGGCACCTGGGAGAGGCGTGAGGGGCACCTGGGAGAGGCGTGGGGGGCACCTGGGAGAGGCGTGGGGGGCACCTGGGAGAGACGTGGGGGGCACCTGGGAGAGGCGTGAGGGGCACCTGGGAGAGACGTGGGGGCACCTGGGAGAGGCGGGGGGGGCACCTGGGAGAGGCGTGAGGGGCACCTGGGAGAGGCGTGGGGGGCACCTGGGAGAGGCGTGGGGGGCACCTGGGAGAGACGTGGGGGCACCTGGGAGAGGCGTGGGGGGCACCTGGGAGAGGCGTGAGGGGCACCTGGGAGAGGCGTGGGGGGCACCTGGGAGAGGCGTGGGGGGCACCTGGGAGAGGCGTGGGGGGCACCTGGGAGAGGCGTGAGGGGCACCTGGGAGAGACGTGGGGGCACCTGGGAGAGGCGTGGGGGGCACCTGGGAGAGGCGTGGGGGGCACCTGGGAGAGGCGTGGGGGGCACCTGGGAGAGGCGTGGGGGGCACCTGGGAGAGGCGTGAGGGGCACCTGGGAGAGGCGTGGGGGGCACCTGGGAGAGGCGTGAGGGGGGCTTGGGAGGAGCCTCTGAGTGCGGATGAGTGGGGAACGGTGGCGGAGCGGTTAGAGCGCTGTTCCAATACCACTGGCGATTGTCTGATCCGGACCTGGGCATCCCCTCGGGTCAACTGAGGCTTAAATTGGTACCTGGTGCGGTGTGTAAACTTCGCCACTGGTGAAGACAAAGGCGGCTGGGCGTGGTGCTGGTCACAGACCCCCTCGTGTGCTGTTCTGGCCTTGATAAGTGCTACTCGCTAACAGCACTTGCCCCAACAGTCTGTTAAGGCTACACAGGGGATCGTTGTATTTTTGTTGAACTGTACAGGTACAGTACTTGTAGTTTGTGTACGCAGACGTGCAGTGTGCTATCTTCCATGACCATACTTCACCACCCTGGTCATTGCGGGTTGATGGAAGGCGAAGATCACAGATGTGGGAGCAGAGAGCAGAGCAGCAGTGGATTTCACTGCGATGCCAGGAGCCTATAGCACCTGTTAATGCGCAGCCTCGAGCACCTGTTACCGTGCAGCCTCTAGCACCTGTTACTGCGCTGCCTATAGCACCTGTTACTGTGCAGCCTAGAGCACCTGTTACTGCGCAGCCTATAGCACCTGTTATTGCGCAGCCTATAGCACCTGTTACTGCGCAGCCTCTAGCACCTGTTACTGTGCAGCCTATAGCACCTGTTACAGTGTGTAGTGATCCCACATCCCGTGGAGCAAACCCCATTGTTGTTCTGAACTCTTATCCACCTTCAACTCTTACTGACCAGTGTAGTGTCGTAGGTCTCTTCTTCTCTTCTTCCTTCTGCTCGAGGCGTGTGTGTGCAGGTAGCGTGCGTTGCGCACACACTCAGAGACCAGGTAGTCGCAGGAGGCACCGTCCTTCCCTTTTATTGTTCTGCTCATGCCTCAAACTCCGGCCCCCTTCTCTCACGACCAAGCTGCTGCACGACCTGGCCCAGACACGACCCTGTCCGCGTTGCACCGACGGCGTCGACCGAGACAGCCAACTATAGTCCGTCCACGCAATGATCGGGCGAAGGCGGCAGAGACGAAGGCGGTGACGACAACAGCGACGACGAGACGAGTCCACTCCCAGACCCGGCAGCCTGGAGCTCTCGCGGCTTGGCTCTGCCCTAGCTGCGCCTCCCTTCTCGAACCCACCAGAGGGTTCCAGGGGCTTCCCCATGAGGTCTACTGTGACCCTAGCCCCAGTTCCTCCGCCCTGCCGGCACACCCGTGTATATGCTCAATGGCGTGTGCGCTAAGTGTCCACCTGCAGTTGCAGCTGCTTTACAACAGTCAGCGCAATGTCACGACATCATCTCCCCCCCCGTTAACAAAACAGCCATCCCGGCTGTCAATACAGCCGCAGCAACCGGTTGGTAGGCAGGGCAACTCCCTTAACTCGAGGAACATCAACGAGAAAATAAAAAAACTTCCCCACAATCCCATTACAACCGCGACATCCCCCGCAATCAACAACACATCTCACTACTCCCCGGTGCCTCCCGATAACAAACCAACACTCACCCCAATGCGACACCCCCGATTTCGCGAATTGGCAAACTTTGCAGCTCAGCGCCCCCATCCGCGAATAGGCAACTCTCCCACAGGCCCCCCCATCTGCGAATTGGCGACACCCCAGATCCTGTCTCAGTGCAAGGGAGAGTCCCCTCATACCGGGACATAGCTCGCGTGATCCGGTCCATGGAGCCGGTCATTCCCGTCAGCAGGTCCTGCTCCTCCGGAACCCAGAGGGCCAAGAGATGATGGAGACAGAGTCTTCGGCGCAAAGGACGTGGCCCCTCACCACTCGGCAGCGCCTGCTTGGATCCAGTCCCCAAGACCTCGCACTTGGCGGTCTCGGTAGGTCTCAGAGACCCGGTCCGGCTGGGCTTGAGTTGACTCTGCCGGTGGGCCAGCGAGCGTGGGTGACTTTGCAGGTGATCACTCGTCCCCCCGACACTCCTCTGCAGTGTGGCCTGACCGACCACACATGAAGCACTTGGGAAGTGGGTCCCCAGGGCAGAGGGAGCTGCCCCTGCTGTGGGTCCTCCCGTGGGGATGTTTTTGTTTGAGTTCCCCGGCCCCCCACGGCCACCACCATATTTTGCAGGCTTCATGTCGTGGCCTCCCACCTTGCCTGCTGCTGTTTCTCCTCGAAGACCTGTATCTTCCTGGCCACCATTGAGGATGAAATTTCTGTGCCGATGGCAGAGGGCAGGGCAACCCTCAGTTTTCTTGCCAGCTCCCGCAGCCTCTCTGCCATTCAAAGGTCGAGCACCCCCTCATCCAAAAGTGGGTCTGCCTCTCGTCCCAGTGCCAGCAGCGCTGCCTGGAAGATGTAGGGTGTCTTGTCCTCCATCTGCCCCCTCTGGAGGAATCTTGTGCGAGCCAAATCAGGAGCAGCTTCTTGCAGCTCCGTCACTCTTCGCACCTCCTTCGCGCGCTCCCGCGCTCGCCTCAAAATGGCGCCCGCTGGCCATGGGAGGTCCTCCGGAGACAAAATGGTGCCCATCATGCTTGGTCTCCCGTCTGGAGCCCCTTGCTCTCGCTTCGACGGAAGCTCCCGCATTTTCCCGCTCTCCTCCGTGCCGTCCGTGCCGTCCCCCGCGCCCCTCTCCACATGGCGGTCTTCCGCCATGCTGCTTGGTCAGCGCGTGACCACGGGAAAATCTCAGCCACTCTACCTGTCGACGTACAGCCCCCGCTCTCCCCGTCGACATGAAACTGCTCTTTCTCCGTCAATGTACAGCCTTTCTCTTCGGCGATGCGCAGCCGCTGCCGCCACCTGGCGTAGCCACTCCCACAGTCGACGCTCGGCCGCTCTCTCTGTCAACGGTCAGCTTTTCTAGCCGTTGATGCGCAGCCGCTCCCGCCGTCTTGCGTAGCCACTTTTGCCGTCGACGCTCAGCTGCTCTCTCTCCATTAACGTACAGTCGCTCTCTCCGTCGACGCGTAGCCACTCCCGCCGTCGACTCCCAACCGCTCTCCCTTCGTGGATGAGTAGCCGCTCATCCCGCAGATTTTGCTTAGCAGCTGTCCTGCCGATCCGCGGCGGCTCCTCCGCTGCCCAGCAGCCCATGGGCTTTGTAACCGGGCTCCCGGGTCCCGGGGCTATCGGAGGGATGACCATCTGGCCGTCCTCATCCCGACGACACGATAGGTGGGTTTTAAATACCCCACTTCTGACACCAAATGTAGTGTCGTAGGTCTCTTCTTCCTTTTGCTCAAGGTTTGTCTGTGTGTGTGAGTGGCGTGCATCGCGCACATACTCAATCAGAGAAGAGGTAGTCGCAGGAGGCACTGTCCTTCCCTTTTATTGTTGTGTTCACGCCACCAACTCCGGCCCTTCCTCTCTCATGACCACGCTGCCGCACGACCCGGCCCAGACAAGACCCTGTCCGTGTTGTACCAACGGCGTCAACCGAGACAGCCAACTACTGTCCGACCGCGCAATGATCGGGCGAAGGCGGTGACGACAACGACGACGAGACGAGTCCACTCCCAGAACTGGCAGCCTGGAGCGCTCGCTCTCTGCTGATTATATTCCCCTCGGCGCGGCTTGGCTCTGCTCGAGCCGTGCCTCCCTTCTCGGACCCATCAGGGGCTTCCCCACGAGGTCTACCGTGAACCTTGCCCCAGTTCCTATACCCTGCCGGCACACCCTTGTATATGCTCAACAGCATGTGCGCTAAGTGTCCACCTGCAGTTGCAGCTGCTGTACAACAGTTAGCGCTATGTCACTACATATGTATGTATGTTGAACTTCTTTCGCACCGTACGTAGCTAACCCTGCTGATCGGAGGTGTTGTATGGTCAAATATATCGTGCGGTAACATGCCAACATAATGATACAACATTTGGCACAATAGGAACTTTTAAAGAAAACTAAAAAAACTGCTTTTAGAGTTATTGCATTTTCATCCAGATTCATTGACAAAATGGTTTTGTGAGGTTTCTGTTCTTTGTTATAAAGTGCCCGTCCCTCCCGGAGGACGATCTGTGTGTGGCAGTGCTGCTGCTGTTGCTGCTCAAGAGCAAATTTAATTCAAATCGCCTCCCTCCTCCCCGTCTCACCTCTTGGGCTTTGCCAGAGATGCGCGTGCCAGGTGCCCGTGTGCCGCCGCGAGTGACGCTGCACGTGCCCAGCGGAGCTCGCCAGCTCCTTCGCTTCTATGGTGGGGAACGGGACGTTGACGAGCAAGGTAGAAAGCTGCTACAACCAATTTTTATCTCGTCTTCGTGCACAACACTTGCAAGTGACGAGCCAACGCAATCGGCGAAGGAAAGGAGAGAATGCTGCTTCAGGCAGGCTCGTGTGTATTCTGTGGTTGCGAATGGCAGGCGGCAATCGATGTGTTCGGGAGCAAGATGGCAATGTCGAGGTTTGCTGAGCACGACAAGAGAGGGCTTCAGGAGAGAGTTCGCAAAGTTTTGCTATTCCTCCTGCATTGCAGGAGCGCAGACTGCGGTGGTTTACGATATGGTCCATAATCCAGTCTGTTCTCCTGTAATGCGGCAGTTGCGTTCCTGAAGAACACCGTGTAATGGAAAAATTGCATTATAATACATGATATAGGGTAAATAACAGTCCGTGATAACACATGAGATGCGTATGCAGGCTGAACAAAAACTGAGGTGTGTGGGTTGCATCTAGAAGCATCCAGCAGCATCCCACCTTGTGTGATGATGCTATGCTGAGGCAGCCGTATAACGGCTTATTCCTACTCGCGCAACGTCGTTCCGTTCACTCAATCACGATTTATCTAATTCACATCCGCGTTATAAAAAAAATGTGTTCCCTAATGTATTCAACGCTTTATTTCCAATTCGCGTCATGAAAACAACACACGGCGTTATAGAACAGACCGTGTTTGGTTAATTGGTGGTCATTTGTATCTCATAGGTAAGTGTTGATTTGTGTTTTTAAAGTGGCACTGTGTATCTCCACGAGTGTCACACACACAATCGTCACGATGCGTTGTCACATCGCGTTGTTGTCACATGTCGCATGCCAGCAGAGGCTACGGGGCTCGCGCCCCCCCGCGACCTCAAGGTGCGCGTGCTGCCCACCCTGGTGGTGGTCACATGGTCAGACCCCGTGCACGAGGCGGGGCCCGCGGGAGCGGACAAGAGCAAGCGGTAACGGGCAACAGTCACGGCCAGTCATACATGCAGCGGTCATGTTCGTGTGGTCACAGGTGCATACGGAGGAAGCCAGGGATGCTAAGTGACAAGATAGTGTGACTTGAAGGTGTGGACTAGAATGTGGCAAGAAAGCATTGTAAATCGGATACTTTTGATTGATTTATCCTGGAAAAATCCGATGAGCTATGGAGCCCTTTTTCACAGGTAGTCCAATTCGCACGGTTGGCTACGTACATTGCGAAAGAAGTTCAACATACATATTGTACATACAGATATCCAATATATGTAGCCGGTGTGTTGGAGAGTAAATCTACAACATTTACAATTCGAGTGTGATGTTTCACCAGTAATTACAACTAGCATCATCAGGCTGTCAGCCTGTTAAACCATCTAACCCAAAACCTCTTTTATGGAGGACACTAAACCTTTGAGGCTAGGTGTTGTCTGTGCAGCAGTTGCTGAAGTGATGTTGAGTGGTGGTGACGTTACCGGCTTTGGCCATGGAAATCTTCATCCCGATTTGTTTAGCCTCCCCCTCAGCAGATGCTATGATGTCAAAAATGTTATTTTTATTTAAACAAATATTATTACTCTGCAAAGGGTGTTCAGTCATTGCACATGTTGTTCAGTTGTAAGAATAATGTTGAATACCATCCTTGACAGCTTCTAAGCTCCCTCATAGATCTTAAGGTCGTAAAAGCCGCAAGTATCGTGAGTTCAATCTTGATTTGAAGCTTTCATGACTGCAGGAATCCATACTATTTGGTTCTTTCGGTAAAGTCATGTAGGTATACAAATAAAAAAAATATATATCACGAAGTATCGATCGCAACACAAGCGGTCGTCCTCAGGCAGAAAAAATAATCCAGCAGTGGAACTGCTGAACCAGCGAGAGAGCTGTTACAACAAGAGGTTATATATGTGGCGATGGTAAAGCAAGCGGGGTCTGAGCTGGAAGGAATTCCATCCCCGGACGCAAGCACGTCAGTTGTGTTAATGAGGGAGATTAGGGAAAGAGAGATTAGCATGAAATGAGCTTCCGTCGCTGCATAAGAGTATCATCCCCGCATATGCGCACAACAGCAGTATTAATGGGAGATTAGCACTATGTTGATGGGAGAGATTAGGCAGGGAGATTAGGGGGATTGGTAAGTTAATGTCATTTCTATGTGTAACACAAGCTGCGGCGCTGCCAACTGCGCTGTGAGGCAAATGCGTCCACGCAAGAGAACCACCGCAACGGTGGTCGCGCCAGTGAGACACAAAGTCCATCACACAGCCAGAACCATCGATACATCCAGGCTAAGAAAACAGAGGTGGCCATGTTAGTGAGACCCCAGCTCGTGAATGCAGAGGTACCTAACGGGGCAATGCAACTCAGAGTCGGAAATAACAGCCAAACGGCAGGGAAGAATGGAAGCACCACAGCAAGTTACGACTTTGCTTGGTTAATAACGTCCTTCCAATGATTTCTCAGCTTATACCCATCTTCTCGGTTGAAATTGTCTCGTGAGTTGTTAATTATCTGTTAATATTCCAAAGCGCATAAGGCTAGCGTGAAGGGGACATTTTTTAAAATACTCAATTCAAATTAAGTGTTTCATTTAAAATTGTAACAGTTACGGAATGTTCCTATTTCCATCTTCACATGACAGTTTTCTGCAGCGATATTACTTACAGGCAGAGACCTTCATCTCCTCTTGGCAGAGATACTGCTCATGGATCAACCTGGGTGTTTCGCCCTTTCCTTAGCCCTGGACATTTATCATATCTTCAGCCCCCAGCCCCTTTTTGCAGCTGTATCCTTTTTTGGTTTCCTGAGAAACCATTCGAATGAGTACAGTAAACTCTCTCTCTATCCGCAAGGGTTACGTTCTTGAAAGCGCTCGCGAATGCAGAAACGTTGCTCCAATTGGAAAAGAACCGGGTTACGTTCCTGGTACGAGTGAACATGGGGGGAAATGGTAAATGTTTAACCCAAAAACCTCTGTTATAGAGGACACTAAACCTTTGAGGCTAGGTGTTGTCTGTGCAGCAGTTGCTGAAGTGTTGTTGAGTGGCGGTGACGTTACCGGCTTTGGCCTTTGATGATGATGATGATGATGATTTGACAACGATGGAGGTGGTGGTGGTGATGGTGATGAATTCAGAAGGATGACTCATCAGTACATGCTGTTGTTTGATAGCAACGCACAGTTATCATTTTAGCACCCGGTTGGATTCGCGTTTTTTTAATGGATCTCACAGTCGACTACTAATTTATACCAAAATGTATAAACGAGACGACTGTAAGTTCGTATAAAGTAAAAAATGCACAATAGCCAGTTCAGAGTGGGATTACTGCGAGACTGAGAGCACATTGCGCAGCCGAGGGGACGTGCCTGATCTTCGCAGACAGCTTCAAATGTAACCACATTCTGCGCGCACCTCCCCGGTGTGGGTGGTTTGGCACTACGCACGCTCGTGAATACTGGCGTCTGGTGCATTGCGCATCGGGAATGAATACACATTTAGTAGCTCGCGAATATGTGAAACTTGCGAATACAGAACGCGCGCACAGCGAGGGTTTACTGTAATAGGATAACTCAATTCGGTTTGTGCTGGGAATTCTCACAGCGTTAGGTAAAAGTATTTACGTTAAAAATGTAATAATTATCTGATCAATTACAGTTTGGCACTGCCCGTGTCGGGGTTAGCGCCTCACGAGAGAAATGTTTATTTGTCTCCACCGGTGCACGTTTACGCCTCACAACCAAACGCTTTCACCACTTGTTTAGGGATATGAGGAACCGGGCACATTTATTGTGAAGGCTGCATCATAGCTGACATCTTTTTTGTTGTTCCACCAAATGTGTTGTTGTACGTGTGTTGAATGATTACCTCAATATTACATTTTTGTGACGGTTAAGTTTGCCTTCCTCTTCCACTCTCACAGCTTCTACACCGTTCGCTACCGGCAAATGACGCCTGCTGCACCATGGTACTACCAAACGGCGATGGTGCCGCGCGTGATCATCACCCATGTGGCACCAGGGACGCACTACGAGATATCGGCACGTGTTTCCGAAGGAGAGAAGGACGGGCCGTGGTGTACGCCTGTGATGACACGCACGTACGCACGAGCACATCCCGAGGGTAAGAGAACATGGACGTGACGACTAGAAATTATAACTGCTGTATTAATGCGATTGTGCAGGTTGAGAGTCCCTTTATCTGTTACCAGAGACCTGGGGAATATGTGTAGTGAGTCCAACTGAGTCGCAGATGTTGTCTTGGGAGCAACACTATTTATTTCACCAACTCAACATAACATAACACAACCTACACTTGGGTGTTGAATGTACATCTAGCCACGCTACGGCAGAACTAGACACGGTTCACTATCCCAGCCTGGACTACAAGCTGGGTCCCGGACTGCGTGGTTAGAGGCTTCTTTAACCCAACGTGGATCTTCTTCACCAGCAACCTGAAGAACCCCGAACCCCTCACGGGGTCCCCGTTTTTCGGCCTGGGCTGGGGCTGACTCCGCCCCTCGCCCCGCCCACCTTCTAGATCTCTCGAGCTCTTTCCCGAATGCTCCCGAGAGCTCTTTTATACCACTTGATCGCCCAGCGGCCCCTGTCCACCGGTGGCCCCCCTCCAATATCATCCGGCCACGTGTCGGCAGGTCAACCAGCGTATCATGCCCCAACATAACCCTGGCTGGCTGACACTCCTTCTCGCTTCCTCACCGGGAGCCCACACCGCACACTGTACGCGGTGCCTCCGTGCTGACCAGCGCTCACCCAAGCCCCGCTAGGGCTGGTAAGTGGGCTACACATAATGCCAACACATTATCCACCGTGGCTTCGTAAGCCCGGCACCACACAGTGACATTCACAGTCACTACATATGCAAGGCACAAGTAAGGAAATATATCGTAAATTGTTGCGAGCCGTTGTTAAGTAACAAGCGAATATAGGAAAATAATATCAGTCGAGAGCACACGTGTAGTTGTGAAGCCAAAAAAAGAATAAACTATTATTGAATTTAAATGAATAGTTGCTATTCCTGGTTTTGAAAAGAACGTAAATCTTGTGAAGTTTACGTTTTGTAAAGTAACGAGAGTTACTATAAAACGATAGTGTTAGCATTGCATTTGTTGACTTGGTTCAATTGAACTCGGTCGAGATCGGTCGAGCCCTGCGAGTGCTGACCTAAGCTGCCCGGTGACTGCCGGCCGCGCGGCATTCATCGTTGGCCACGTGTCACGGCGCATTCCGCGGCGGCACTGCTGGTGCTGGTGGTGATTTACTGTTACAGTAATATTGTGCATAATAAAGGTTTTTGGGTTAGATCGCGTAAATATATATATAAATGTATATAAATAAATAAGTAATCTCCCACCTGAGGACGATTGCTTGCGTGCCGATCGAAACGTCGTGATCTATTATTTTTACTACCTACGTGACTTTACCGAAAGAACCAAAGAGTATTGATTCCTGCAGTCACGAAAGCTTCAAATCAAGATTATATAATTGTGTCGTTAAAACTCGCCACCACCTGACACAGCCAACTAGTAAGGGTTGTCACGTAAACAGAATATGCCAATTCGTCACTAGTACAGCACACCGGTGTGTTGGAGAGCCAAGCCACAACATTTACAATCTGAGTACGACGTTGCACCAGTAATTACAACTAGCTTCATCAGGCGACAGACAGATTTGTGGAGAAGTCTTACTGTTTCGTTCCTTATGTAATGTGAGCATAAGCGGGGTTCGCTGCTGGGCTCTGGGCCAATCATACGGCCTGGGGTATTGGGGGGCGGAGCCAGTATGGGGGCGTATGTGAAGGTCCGCTGCTCACCTCGGGTCCAATCGGAAGCGAGGTGAGTGGGGGCGGAACCTATGGGCGGAGCCAGCAGGGCGCTATGAGGAGGCCGGATCTGGAAGGTTCGGAAGGGCGTGGTGAGAGGGAGGAGACAGGATCACGTGGTGAAGGGGATATAGGTGGGAGCCCGGAAGGGTTCCAGGTCAGTTGGTAGAGTCATGAAGCTGGACCACGTTGGGTGGCGGGAGGGAATCCGCGCCATCAGCCACGTGGCTGCAGGAGCTTCGGCACACCGTCGGCCAGCGGTGTGCAGAGCGGGGGAGCGGAAGGACTGACGAGAGCGCGCGTGCGGGGCGCGCGCGAGGAGCAGCTGGTCCGCTGTCGGGACCAGCGGGGTGTGGGTGTCAACCCGAATAAAGAGTGATGGAGACCAAGCAGTGCGTGGGGAAGTCCGTTATTACACTTATATAGAGGTGTAGATGTGTTGACCACCCTTCTGCACTCTTGCACTATATGGGGGGGGGGGGGGGATTAGTGAGTCAACTTACATTAGGCATGTGCATTATGCATGTGCATTATGCGAGCCCTTCTGAACTTGTCCTTCCAGTCTATTGTGATTATTATAATAGCCCTACCAACGGTAATCCTTATTGAAGCATGCTGCCATTTGTAGGCATCTACGCCTCTATATAAGGAACGAAAAAGTAAGACTTCTCCACAAATCTGGCTGTCGCCTGATGAAGCTATTTGTAATGACTGGCGAAACGTCATACTCAGTTTGTAAATGTGGCTTGGCTCTCCAACACACCGGTGTGCTGTACTAGTGACGAATTGGAATGTTCTGTTTACGTGACAACCCTTACTAGTTGGCTGTGTCGGGTGGTGGTGGGTTTTAACGACACATTTATATATTTACGCGATCTAACCCAAAAACCTCTATTATGGATGATATTGGTCGCGAACGTCTACGTCAGGGGTCCTCAAACTACGGCCCGCGGGCCACATGCGGCCCACCGAGGACATTTATCCGGCCCATGGTCACTAATTGGGCTGCGCTTGTGAGCACTAATTGGGCTGCGCTGGTGAGCACTAATTGGGCTGCGCTGGTGAGCACTCATTGGGCTGCGGTGGTGGGCACTGATTGGGCTGCGGTGGCGAGCACTGATTTGGCTGCGCTGGTGAGCACTGATTGAGCTGCGGCGGTGAATGATTCAATGGGCCAATTGACTGGACTTGCCCCCCAGGCCTAAGGCTGCCAGCCCTCCCCTGGCTGCGCTTGACTGGCTCTCCCTCCCTTAGCTCCCTCACTTTCCCCTCGGCTCCACTCCCAGTGATATTCCTGTGTGCTGGGGATGTACTGCGATCTGTGAACAAAACTGCAGGTGTAATTAACTTTTTAATGGCACCCGCACCAGTGTGAGCCTGGGGTAAAAGCGGAGTTCCCCCAATCAGATAGCATTGATGGGCAGTGCAGTCTGTATGTCTCTGTGTGGGCAAAGTTATTGCTGGTATATTGTTTTTGTAGCGCTGTATATATATTGGTATTTTACTAATAGCAATTTTGACTCCCTAGGAAACTGATGTCAAGAAAGAGAAAAATTGACTCGGAGTGTAGGATATTCAAGGAACAGTGGACTTATGATTACTTTTTCATGCAGTACAAGGAAAGAGCTGTGTGTCTGATATGCCAGAATATAGTGTCTGTGTTCAAATAATACAATTTACGTCGACACTATGAAACTCAACATAAAGATAAATATGATTGTTTGGTCGGAGAAGTGAGAAAAGATAAAATATTAAAACTGAAAAATACATTAACAACTCAGCAAAATACTTTTGTGAAGCAGAAGCAGCTAAATATTTCATCACTGCGAGCAAGTTTTCAAGTTGCCAAGCTAATAGCGTGCACTGGCAGACCATTCGTGGAGGGAGAATTTGTTAAAGAATGCCTTCTTTCTGTTGCCAAAGAGATGTGTCCAGAGAAGGCCGATTTATTTAGTACAGTGAGTCTTTCAGGACCTACAATTACACGGAGGATTGAATAAATGGGAGACAATTTGCATCAGCATTTGCAAAACTCCACAAAAAAACTTTCATATTTTTCCTTGGCACTCGACGAAAGCAATGATGTTCGTGATTCTGCACAACTTCTAATTTTTATTCGTGGGATCAATGACTATTTCGAAGTCACAGAAGAGCTTGCTGCACTGCTAAGCATCAAAGGAACAACTACAGGAGAGGATATCTATGAAAAGGTTTGCCAAACTGTGAATGGTTTGGAGCTGAATTGGTATAAAACTAGCCAGTGTGACAACTGATGGTGCTCCTAGCATGGTGGGGTCTAAGAAAGGAGTAATTGCTCGCATTAACCAAGAGATGGACAAACATAACCATTCTCATCCAATAGCCATACACTGCCTCATCCACCAACAAGCGTTGTGTAGTAAATCACTGAAGTGGAACTCTGTTATGAAAATTGTGGTATCTTGTGTTAACTTCATTAGAGCTCATGCACTAAACCACAGTCAATTTCAGGAATTTCTGTCTGAATTAAATGTTGACCATGAAGATGTTCTGTACCACACAGAAGTCCGTTGGCTGAGTCGATGGAGAGTTTTGAAACGTTTCTATGACTTACTTCCACAGATTACAGCTTTTCTGCTTTCAAAAAACAAAGAAGGAACAGAGCTCAATGATGCAGAATGGAAATGGCACCTTGCCTTTCTGACAGATGTAACAGAGCTACTCAACAGTTTCAATGTGCAACTTCAAGGAAAGGGGAAGCTCCTCTGTGATATGCAATCACATGTCAAAGCATTTGAAATAAAATTAGGCCTCCTCATCAAAAAAGTTAAGGAGGAAAACTTCTGCCATCTCCCCACAACTCAAAATCTGTTAGCGGAAAAACCATTGGTTGCAATTCCCAAACAAAACGTGTGGATTCACTGGAAAAATTGCAAAAGGAGTTCCAATTTAGATTTAAAGAACTTCATCTCCATGAACAGGACATACAGCTTTTCCGTAACCCATTTTCTATTGACATTGAAAATGTGGATACAATTTACCAAATGGAACTGGCTGACCTGCAGAATTGTGACTCTCTGAAAGACGCATTCAAGTCAAGCAGCCTTCATAATTTCTATGCATCTCTCCCCTCTGAGACATATCCTCATCTCAGGAACCATGCACTCAAAATGGCAACCATCTTTGGCAGCACTTATGTCTGTGAACAGACTTTTTCCAGAATGAAACATTTGAAATCTCCAACCAGATCTAGACTAATGGATGCACACTTGCATCACTTGTTACGACTAGCAGTGACAAATATGGAACCGGACATTGACCATCTCATTAGCCAAAAGCAGGCCCATAGTTCCCATTGAAATACTGGCAAGTTTTCTTTGGTTTTGTCGGTAAAGTCACGTATAAAAATAAAATAATAAATTAAATAATTATTTTATTTTTATACGTGACTTTACCGAAAAAACCAAAGAATAATTCCTGCAGTCACGAAAGCTCCAAAATTAAGACTGGCAAGTTTGTTGATTTAACTTTACTTGTTCTTCATTTTAAATATTGTATTTGTTCCCGTTTTGTTTCTTCACTTCAAAATAAGATATATGCAGTGTGCATAGGAATTTGTTCATAGTTTTTTTTAACTATAGTCCGGCCCTCCAACGGTCTGAGGGACAGTGAACTGGCCCCCTGTTTAAAAAGTTTGAGGACCCCTGGTCTACGTGTTAAACAGTAATATTGTGGTTATGATATTACGGCGTTATTGTAAATGTTTATCGTCACACGTGTTCATTGTTATAGTAACTAGAGCTCATTGTTCGTGTAAATATGTAAAGGTTGGAAAAAACTGTTTTCTAATCTATATATAAATTTTACATCTCGATTACAAAACAACTAATGAAATAAATACGTCATACTTAATCATACCTTGAATTTACGTGTGTATATATTTACGTTTATATAGCGTGACCCTTCTAGAGCCTTCAACCGTTACGATTACGATTTCGTTGGAAATGAGCCCTCACCCTGAGCACGTAATATGATCTGCATATATTTCAGAGGACCATTCCATAAGCTCGGCAAACCAGCAGACCGAGAGACGTGGGCTGCGTCCCTCGGAGTGGACTCACAAAAAGGCGCTGCCCGGACGCGGCGAAAGGCTCCAGCAGCGTCGCAGGAATGAGAAAGTGACGCCAACGCAACGGCGCACGGAGGCGCACGGGGCCAACCCTGGGCCACCGCCGCTCATGGAATTTCCTGCTCCCACCACCGGTCCAAATCCCGCGCAGCCCGACGGCTCGACGGGTCACCTGTGGGTATGCCGTCACTTTAAATCTGTCGTCGAGCGGGAAGTTTAGTCTGTTCGACTTTCAACCTCGAATATGCTCCTTGAGAAAATGGGCAGAAATTTGCGACATCGATGTGTTTTAAGAAGGTTTGGGGGGGCTCCTGCTTTTAAACCTTTGTGCCAGGAGCCTGAGATGTGTGCCATGGCATTCTGCGTGCAATTAAAAAGGCACACACGAGTTCCTTGGCCCGAGCCCTTGGCTCCCTGCCTCTTAGTTTCACTCTGCATTCCCTCCACATCTGGTTTTGCTTTCTGCTGTAAGGGTTTTCCCATGCCGCCAACTTTCCATTAAAGCATCGAGCGAGGCTCCGTGCACCACTGCGCGTGGAGAAAATATCACCAGCTTGTGTGTGAATCATGTGAAAGTACCTGGGATGGATACTGTCTTATTATTTATTACTTGCGCCTATTTACCCAGTAAAGCCTTAATCAGGCTCAAGTCTTTTTAAGGAGGTTCCTGCCAAGTTTTTTCTTCCACAGGATGTTGCTGCCGCTGCTGCTGCTGTGTGTAACCCCAATAGAGTAATTAGCAGGTAATGTTGCAGCTTTTGGATGTTTGGGCCGCAGCCAGTTAGTGATGTGTGATTTTGTAGCTCTTTTAAGCTTTTCTTGGTTTTCAGTCGAAGTCAGTATGAGTTAGATGTAAATATATTAAGCGATTAGCATGTTTTTGGTTGCTAAAAGTTAATTCAATTGAAATATCTATTAAAACATACCTTCCCATACAGTCTTTGTTACAAAGGGTTGACATTTGACCTGTATATATACTATTAACACAGTCTCTGCGTGTGTGTGTGTATGTGTGTCTTCACATGTACGCATTAGCTGATTGACACGGAACAAAACCTCCTGTTTACAAAAGACGGAAATGTGGTTTATGACGACAAAGGCCTTCCCATTAGGCTGTGTGTGGCTGAGGATGGACACACAATCATCTGTGAGTGATTCACACTGTCACACTATCACATTGATGCATATTGTCACACTGCCACTGTGGTTCACAATGTCACAGTGCACACAAACAGACTGTCGCAGAGATTCACACTGTTTGTGTGAATCACTGTGACACTATGAAACGGTTTCACAGTGCACACAACACAGAGGCACCCTTCACTTAGCGGAGGATGGTTCAGGCATGCCAAGTTCACCATCTAAATGTAACAAACACTGTAACATCCACTTTGCAACAAACAACACTAAGCACCGATTACGACATAACATCACGTATATAAGAGTAGTGTATTAGTTGCTACATTTTTATTTTTATTATTTTTAAATCCAGTACAGTTGTGAAATGCAGGAGTGTGGTTCAGTGATCAGGGGCAAGAAGGGTTAAAACGACATCACATCGCGCTGCTGGAATCGCGTCCGGGAGGGCAACTCACAGTGGGTGATCCGTGAAGGAACGATGTCGAGAGAAATCGAGCATCACGTTTCAAGTTTTAGGCAAGGATGGTCTCATTTGCTAGAGTGACCTGGGTCACAAAACGACTAAAGTCAATAACATCACAACTAAGTACAGTGACGAAGCAGCTCGTAACCGGAACTGCGAGGATGCGTTGCGCGAGTCAACCGTGGGACGCTGCGCGAAATGTGGTCATCGATTGTGCATGAAACCCGACCACCTTCATGTCCTCGCACGGTCGTCTCCAGCCACGTGCTCTCCTCTCGCCCTGGTTTAAATCTGGCGGCATCAACGACGAGTTTCCCGCTGCCCCTCTGCGTTTAGCCGACGCGCTGCTCTGTCCGCGCGGCGTCGTTTGGGGGCCCCACTGGAGCCGCGCACAGAGAGCCACCTCGCTCTGATTAAATGACACAGAAACAAGATAGTCTTTCAACATTTATTTATCTTCAAATTATTCTACATTCAATAACCGCGTATGAAAAAAAGTATGTGAACCTTTAGATTCAGTAACTGGTGACACCCCGTTGAGCAGCAATGACTGCCACTAAGCTTTTCCTGTAACCGTTGGTCAGTGTCTTTTCTCACATCGGATTCGAGGAATGTTGGCCCATTCCTGCTTACAGAATTCCTTTAACTCGGTGACATTTGAGGGTTGCCTTGCATGGACAGCTCGCTTCAGGTCCTGCCACAACATTTCGATGGGGTTTAGGTCCGGACTTTGACCTGGCCCATTGTAAAACGCAGAATTTCTTCTTCTGCAGCCATTCTTTTGCAGAGCTTCTTGTATGTTTAAGATCATTGTCTTGCTGCAAGACCCACTTTTGGTTCAGCTTCAGCTCACGGTCAATCTATGTGCTCTTTGGCGAACATCAGACGAGCAGCCATGTTATTTTTGGAGAGCAGTGGTTTCCTCCTTCGTATTCTTCCATGAACACCCTTCTTCAGTCTTTTTCTGATGGATGCATCATGAACACTCACACGAGCCAAGGCCAGAGTGGCCTGCAGGTACTTGGATTTCTCTGGGATTTTTTGTGACTTCTTTGATGATTTTACAGTTTGTTTTTGAAGAGATTTTGGTAGGACGACCACTCCTGGGTAGAGTGACTGTGGTCTTGAGCTCAACCTCAAATGAGTACATGTTTCCATGTATGGAGGCATGTTGGTGAGGCATCACATTAACATGTGATCATGTATGAAAGCATTTTGGTATGACACATTGACTTGTAATCAAGTATGTAAACATGTTGACATGTCAGCGCAGTATATCAACATGTGTCAGCGTGTAGACATGCCAGCCTTGTTGGTATGTCAGCATGAAGGCTTTATCATTCTTCCTCACATGTATGTTACGTAATCATGTTACATAATCGTACATGTTACGTAATCATGTATGGTGTCCTGTCCTCCTCAATCTGGTTCTCTGAACAGCATCTGTACATACTTACGTGTGCCAGCAAAGCGAATGGCATGAGTTCAGCAGTTTCCACTGGGTGATGGTTTAGGAAACTAATTCTTATAATGCTATTTTCTCTTCTCCACAAAGAGAAAAGATCCCCCGTATAGCCTTAACAGACTGTTAGGGCAAGTGTTGTTAGCAAGCACCTATGAAGGCCGACATGGTACACGAGGGTGTGGGTGACTAACACCACGCCAGGCCGCCTTTGTCTCCCCAATGCCAGTGTTTTAACACTGTACCAGGTACTCATTTGAGGCTGAGTCTTCCGAGGGGAAGCCCAAGACTGGTTCAGATAATCACCACTGGTGTTGGCCACGAGCGGGAATCGAACTCGGGTCACCGGGTTCATAGCGTAGCGTAGCGCTAACCTCTACACTACCGCTCCCCACTCTGCCACGCACAGAGACAGACAGACACGCAGTAAAACCATTGCACTCGTGGTGTCTGTTCTGCGCTAAACGCGGGGGCTATAGGGACCGAGGGGAGGGGCCGTGTTGGAGGGAATATGAAGGGGTGGCTGTGGGGCAGTGAACTTTGGGAGGTGAACTTTGTGCCGCGCAAAGCCCCTTGCTAAGCTTTCTTGTCCCTCGGTTCACTTTCAATTTCCTCTCGCACGACAAACACACCGTTTAACTGAGCGCTAGCCACGCGCGTTCATTTCTAGTGAGTATTTTTTAAAAATAAAATAGTTGCAAGAATCAAAATTAAATGTGAGGGGATAAAAACAATATCTTTAAAGTATGAAACCAATCAATGAATCGCACCTCCGATTAGCTCGTTTGGCGACATACGTTGCGAAAGAAGTTTAAAAATATGTACAACTCTGACTGGATGCTTAACAACGATCTGTAAATATAAAAGAGTGACAGTAAACTGACACCAAGGATACAAAACCAGCGACAATAGTCAATCATTACGGCGTCGATAAATATTGCCAGCGTATTGGTGTCATAAGTGCGTGTGAGGATATTTTGTCCCATCGTGCTGCATCTGGAGTTTCCAAAGCTCTTTGAACCACTTCGAGCTGACCGAATAGTTTATGAGGCCAAATTCGGTTATGGATAAAAAAAAATTTGAGCAAAGTATTTTTCCACATGTTTTCCCAATCGTGAAGCTCCGGTAAGTGTCTGAGTAACGGTAATAAATGAATGAGAACACTGCTGCTGCTTGCGGGGATGAATCGGTTCACTGCATTCCAGACCTTGACTCCCAGTAGAAAAAAAAACGCCACAACATGTGAGCCATGATCCCAAGCATATGCAATGAAAGTATGGAAACAGATGAATTTCGCGTTTTCTAACGCATCGCGGCTACGGACGGTTTCGACAAAGTGGGCCTAAACGCCGTGTAATTGTTGTTATCCCTGCAAAAGATGACTATCGGCTGCTACCCAACATTGTTCACGGTAGCGTTTAAGAGAAACGTTGACCAGTACCTTGCAACTGCAGCAGGGCCCACGGGGTGTGAGAGGGTCCCAGGTGCTGGGGGTTGAACAGGAGGCCCCATTCCATTCCTTGAGCAGGCCCCCCCCCCACCCAATGCCACCCATGCCACTGACTTGATTAATAACATTTCAACAACACAGTTGGAGAGTCATATTTATGACATTTACCCCTTCTATTTAAGACCAAAACAGGAGGTGGATTGCGCCACAATTTTGGCTGTCACCTGATGGTTGTAATTACTGACGAAACATCACGTTACTCGAATTGTAAATGTTGTGAGTTTACTCTCTAACTGGTAACTAATTTGCATGATTTTTTTACATCACAAACCTTACTAATTGATTGTATCGCTGGTGGCGGATTTAATGACGCATTTATATTTATGTGATCTAACCCAAAAACCTCTATTATGGATAATATTGGTAGCAAAAGCCTACATGTTAAACGGACAGCTGAGTAGATATGAGTCTGCATATTATTGACAAATCCATCCTTTAAATGATGATGCGATGAATGGTTTACATTTATGAAGCTTCTGTAAAAAATAGATGTTAGTGTGAATTACTCTTTGGTTCTTTCGGTAAAGTCACGTAGAAATACAATAAATAATAGAATACGACGTTTCGATTGCAACACATGCAACCGTCATCAGGTGTGAATGAATGCAAGCTCGGAGAGAGACACATATACAGAGAAAGAGACAAACACAGACACGGAGAAAGACACATACACAGAGAGAGAGACACAGAGAGACACACAGAGAGACACACACGCAGAGAGAAACACACACAGACACACAGAGAAACAATGCCTCTGTGACGAGGCATTTCCATAAAGAGAGGGGGGGGGGGGGCAGAGAAATTATCATGTCAATGAGAGCGGTAGGAGGAGAGAAATTGGAAGTTTACAAATCTAGTAAAATTTAGGGAGCGGTAAAAGATAAAAAAAAAATTTCAACGTGGAAAGAAAATATTTAGGAATCAACCTTTAAACTTAAACAGTATTTTGTTGGTTTTACAAATTAAGCCCAACGGTAAATAATCGCAACTGCATTTTCCTGTTTGAATCGTTCCCCAACGATATAACAACCTTGCGTGCTTTCGCCACCTGCGTCACGGTAAACACTCGTTGTGTTTGTTCTCGCGTGCGCTTCGTGCACGTCCCAGCGAGCTCATGTTCATCATCCACGCATGCGTCCCGTGTGCAGCGGAAGCCCGGCAGCCCGTGCTGACGCGCGCAGGCACGCTCGTCGCCGGATTCAACGGCCGAGCGGCCGGCGGCGAAAATAAAACCGTGCCGAGCCACTCGGAGTCGGAGGGAGGCCTCCTCCGGCGCACGGCACCGGCCGTGGCGCTAGCGCCAGGGTCGGAGTTCATCGACGGAGACGAAGGCAGTGTATCAGACGGTGTGGCGGTGGGCTACGGAACGGCTCCACGGGCGACGGAGGAGGGCGCTGCGGACGGCTCTCCCCCCTCAGGTGGAGCTGCGATCGCCGTTGTCGTGATTCGCTCATGTCCGACGTCGCGCATTACGGGAGCCCGTTATGTTGAAACGCGATTGTCAGTTTAACACGTAGGCGATCGTATTTGCTTCTCCTCTTGTAAGCGGTGTAGCAGGAGGCAGGGTGGTGCAGTGGTGACACTTTTGCTCCACAGCAAGAAGGACCTGGGTTTGACTCTTTTTCAGGAGGGTATATTGAGTCGACTTTCAGGGGCTTTTCAATGTATGTCACTGTTTGATATGTTATATTGGCTGCATAGTCTTAATAAATGAAAATCGACATTTTTAAGTCACCAACTCACTCCCACTGGGTGAGGGAGTCGGGGGAGAGCGGCTGCCAAACGCCATACAAGGAGGCCACCTCAGTGGTGACGTTGGCTTGACGTTCAAGTGACCGAGAGCAAATCGTCCTCGTGTCTTGTCCATCTCATCACCCAGCATTCATTCCTGTGTGGTACTCATTATTATTCGCTTCAGAATCTGATCAGATCTGATACAATTTTTTTATGATAAGTTAAAACTTGGTCACCCCTTCCGATTGGCTGATTGAACCATCTTCAACCAGATGATTGATAGAAGCCAGGTTTCATTATTTACTTGCTCGTTTTGTTTGTGCCAATACGCACCTTTTACTCTCGTATACCATGCGATTCCCTGCTGAAGAGAGGGTGCAAGCCCTAATGATGGTATCGGCAATCTTTTGTGGTAGGCATACTATGTTCACGGTGTGCAGGTGTGTCTTGGCCTGTAGCCATGACGGTGCGTGACAATGAAAGCGTTGCGTGTGGCTCTCATTGCAGAGCCACGTGTGAAGTTGCTGAAGAAGGAAGCGGGGTCACTCTGTTCCATCTCCGATGCTCTCGAGCAGATCCAGAACCATTTGGAAACCAAGAAAAACATTCAGCTTTCAAGAACCTTTAGGTATTTAAGAGACACAAAAATAGAAGAGAGCTCTGGAAAAGTAACGATTGCTGGCACGATGGGAGCACAGCCAATCGAGCCTATAGTCGTGGCTGTTGAAGGCTGCCCCTCCTTCGTGGTCTTGGAATGGAGCCCCGAGGAGATGCCTCCTGGGGAGACGGACACTGGCAGTGCTGCCGGTAAGAATCGCTCCGCTGCACACCTCACTATCAGCAACTGCATCTTTGTGCCATCACTGGCATCATCGCGGCCAACCTCCATCACGAACAGTCAAAACAACTCTGTGGTTATACCCAGGTCTGAGGAATTAATGTGGGGCACGTGTGGAACCGCTGTAGCGTTGCACACACACAGCCGTGCGGCACTCTCGTGCACGGTAGAGAAACGCAGTGGAGCTGCCTTCGCATCTGCCTGGATACTTTTGGTGTCTGCGGGAGAGTTTTTGTGACCAAGGGCTCATAGTACCGAATACAATGGAAAACCACCACCTGAACGTTTGGTCAAGAATGTTGTATTGAACAATGGGGGGCATGCGGTAGGAATGGCCCTATGATCGAGCGGGCGTGAGTTGGCCTCGCTCCAAAACCCGGCTCACTTTTTGGCTTCCACTCACAACTTTGGGTCATGGACGCACGAAATGGGGCCTCTACGGTTCCTATCTCGTGACAGTGCCTCAGGAAAAATATTAGCAAAACAACGGCCACGTGTAACATGTTCACTCGACGACTTTAGACGCCTGTCAGAGAGACACCGCAGGAACACAGACAGCAGGGTGTGTGAGCCCTAGGGCAGTTTGAAAGCAGAGCCGGAATTATAACGATGAAATAAAGAGCAGGCCGAAAGCAGAGTTGGAGTGCTTCTGGAAATCTGAACTCCGGCATGAGAAGGAACGCAGCGGTGTGCCTCGAGAGCAGAGTTTGTATTCAGTGCATACTGCCTGCCACGACAAGTGGTTCAGAAACACGATCACGAATGAAAATTATGGAACAAAAGCTGAGAGTGTGCTAAGATGCATGGAGAGATGTATGCTTGGAATTACTATAAACCAAACTAAACTTTTTATTTTATTTTACCAGGTAAGGCCCACTGAGCTATGTCGCTCTTTTTTCAGAAGTGGGCCTGGTCACAAATGATAGCTCAACGAAGTGGCTTATCATGTGTAAATGTATAGCAGCCAAATACTCTAAATGCATGTTTCTAGATTTGGAGGGAAAAACCGGAGGACCCGGAGAAAAATCCACACGACCACTGGTAGAGAGAATGCAAACTCCAAATATACAGGTGTCAGGGTCGGGATCGAACCCACGACATCTCACCACACGTGGATTAGAGGGTTTGGGCAGTACACGCCATTAGCAGGGATGATGGCTGATAGTCCAAAATAATAACGGAGTGGTGGCCAACTCATCCGAGAGGCCACCCACCGTGGAGACGGAATGATGAAGTCAGGTGCTGGACAGATTGTTACATCGCAGGATCATGAGAGGTGGCTGCAGCTTGGAGAGGCCTTCATCCAGCAGTGGATTGACCATAGCCGATGATGAGGGTGTGATAGACTTTCAGAAATGGGTAAGCGTAAAAATGTGTGTTTTTTTAAGACATTGGTACGTTTTGTTCCCTCGGATGGAGGCAATTCCCGTGCTCCTTGACTCGAATCCTCCTCGGTTGGGGTCCCTCGTGTTTCTCGCGGCAAAAACAAAAACCCAAGCACTCACCTGGCATCGCCAGGCTTGGATGCGACGAGTATCGGCCACTCGTTACCGGAAATTAACGGTGGGGTTTGTTTTCTCCATATGTGTGTGTGTGAACAGGTTACGTGGTCCAAGTAGCGAATTCATCAGGGATGAACCAGCACAGATGGCTGACAGCGGGATTCACCAACAGCAGTTTCCTCCACGTGGAGAACCTCCAACCCAACGAGAAGTAGAAAATCCACGCCCACATGGCAGCAGCGCACTCTAGAACATATAGAGGGAACTTTACTCCGCTGTTTACCACTGCAGCTGGTATAGTCATTATCATCATCGCAACTGGTCGTAATGATTCACAGCCAACCGAGGGTGGATAGAACCGTGCAGATATATTTCCCTCACGTTTTCACATTGAATGGAAAAAAGACGTCTGTGCACGCAGATCAGAATGAGCTCGCAAGATGCTCGCATTTCTTTCTCGTTTTGTGATTCTGAAATTACACACGGAGTAATTTCCTCCTCGGGTACGTTTTGAATTTGGCCGCTTCACATTGACGTGTACCGCAACAAACACGAGGGACCCCGACGAGGACTCGAGCCAAGGTGCACGGGAACTGCCTCCATTCGAGGGAACAAAACTCTACGAGTACCAATGTCTTTAATAAAAAAAAATCACGCTTTCACATTACTGGAAGTGTATCCTCATCATCGGCTATGGTCAATCCACTGCTGGACGAAGGCCTCCGCATGCTGCCGCCACCTCTCACGATCCTGCGGTGTTACAATCCGTTCAGATATTACAACGGCAAACTTACGGCAGTGAAGCAGACGTGATATTTATCCAATTTCGCTCAATGTATACTGCGTACGTCCTTTCAGGTGTACATTTTCCTCGGGTTTCCCTTGAAAAACAGATGTGTTGGGTCAATGGCATGCCGCACGTTGGTAACGTTCAATTCACTCTTAACGCTGCATTTTATTTCAGATACTTCTTCAAAGTTAAAATCGACAGCCAATCAAAGCCTGAGGTCTCCTCGAATATTGTGACGTTTGTCACCGGATCAGGTAATTAACATGACGGGAAAATTGACTGCATCACACTTCAATGACTTTAGCCTTAGGGATCATTTAACAAAGCGTGATGTTTATTTGCCTCAGAGTGGACTGCCAAGTCTCTACATTGCAAAGCCTTGCCAATCAATATATTCTGTCGCTTAAACCCACGTTTGCTAAACTCTATACCACCAAAGTGATATATTTTTTATTTGCAGAGAGCAAGGAAGTTACTGACAAATCTGCAGGTAAGGTGATGTTTTTTAAATAGCATTCGTGTGAATTTGCGTTAATCTAGTTCCGAAGCGGTGCTGCTGCTACTGCACTTTACCTTCGCAGCACGGAGCACTCCACCGTGCAGGCTCTGTCTGGGTATTAGTTATTTTAGTCCACATTACTTTTTGGCTGGAAAAATACCAGTGAGATGGTAACAGACTCGCAAATTGGTGCCTCCGCTATGGGGGCGGGAGAAGCCGTGAGTGGACGCTGCCTTCTCCGCGGTGTTGTTCAATTTGTACGTAGATTATGTCGAGTTATCGTGCACCTCCGATGAGCACGGTTGGCTACGTATGGTGTAAAAGAAGTTCAGCATACATCACCTTCTGATGTAAATGACAGTTAACGGGCTTCATGTTTGTGTGCGTATCACGAGCGCATTCGGCAGAGCTGTCCCTAGGGTACGGAGATTCGGGGCGACCGCACCGGGCCCCACGCGTTGGGGGGCCTCATCACGGTGTCAAATGTGATAGTTCCCATTTAGTTTGAAGGCGTGAGGGGGCAGCGGGATTTGGGGGGGGGGGGGTAGCCCACACAGCGTGGTTTGCCCCTGGCCCCGCACCCCCCTATGGACGGCCCTGGCCTTAATTATCTTTGTGTTGGGGTCGTGTTGGTTGCTCTGCTCGGCACGTCCCAGCTTGGCCTGTGTTATTTCACCAAAACATATTATTGGGATTCATCTTCTTGTTTCTTTCGGTAAAGTCACGTAGAAGGGAAGTAATAAAATAATAAAAATAAAACATAATAAAACAATTCTCACGACGTTTCGGCTACAACGCAAGCAGCCGTCTTCTTCTTCACCTGAAGACGGCTGCTTGCGTTGTAGCCGAAACGTCGTGAGAATTGTTTTATTATGTTTTATTTTTATTATTTTATTACTTCCCTTCTACGTGACTTTACCGAAAGAAACAAGAAGATGAATCCCTGCAGTCACGAAAGCTTTAAATCGAAATATTATTGGGATGTGCATAGTTACGCCAGTGTGCGCGCCATTGGACATTCTTTGTATTTTATGGCCCAAAACATTGTTTTTAGCCATAATGAAATGAAAGCTGGTGAGGTCATTATCCTTCAACAAGTTTGTGTGCGTGCATTGTCTAAGTTTTGGCTGGACAGTCTCCAGTTCAGAAGGCAGCCTGTGCCTCGTGCTTGTCGGTAGCCGCCCGCTGTGATTGAGAAAGGTTGCCTACTTGGCAGTGTCGACGGGCTCACACAGGAACAGCTGTGAGAAGACTTAAAATCCCAAACAGGCTGGGGGTTGGCTGCCTGTTGGCCCATAATTTGAAATGTCGACACGCCGCGATTGCCACCGTGGCATTGTGCAATTCCCTCCGCAGCCTCGGCGTGGCCAGGGAAGACGCCCCCCCCCCCCCCCCCCTCCAACACACTCGCTTGAACGTGGAGATATTTTCACTCTTGAGATCACCGACTACAGAGTGAGATTTAACCACTCTGCCGTGGTTGGGGGGGGCGAATGAGTTTTAACAAGGCAGAGCGTGGCTTTGCTTCTGCTGCTTTTGCCGCTGCTGCTGTGTGCATCACTGTGCATGAAACATGCTGGTCCCTGTTTGCTATATCCGGTGTATGCGTGCAGGAGTGTCATCCGTGTGGACCCCATTTGCATTCCATGCGGATCCCGGCGCACCCAGCGCTTGCGTCGGGAAGCGCTACGTGAAGCGCACACTGCAGAACAAGCTCGTGGGCGTGTCGCTGTGCAACTCCCTCCGCTACAAGATCTACCTGGGGGAAGACCTCCGGGGTAACCACGGATCACTCGGTCACTCAGCCCCCATAGCAGTCCCAGTCCCATCAGGCAGTCCCCATCGCAGTGACCTATGCACTACAACCACAGCTGCCGTCTGTATTCAATTACTCAATCGGGATTATGCACGGCTACCGCTGCCCCCCGACTGACAGACTAAAGCTCGCTTACAGTCCAGGTGCTGAGTCACCTTTTGCTGCACAGGTACAGCTGCCACTGGGGATGCCCGAATGGTAAGGGCATTCGATCAAACCCAAATCATGATCGTAGGAACTGCAAGTGTTGCCAAGACCCTCCCCGCTGAACACAGCTCTCGGAACGCAAACTTTTTTTTCCACCTTAGGAGGAATGCACTCTGACCACAGGGCTAGACAGCCACATTAAGGGCAATAATAATAATGATGATGAACCCCCGTGTGCTGTGTTTCGTGACCCAGGCACGTTTTATGCCTTGGGAGATGCTGACGGACGTGGTGAGGACCACTGCGAGTTTGTGGACTCCCCGTGGGATGGGAAAACGGGACCATTGCAGCCACTGGATAACCTCGCAAGCATAGACGGTGAGTGCATGGGGAGGCCTCGCCAAGGCGCCGGAGCGCAATAGAGTGGGCCCCGTTAAATCTGGAGGGATTGTTCGCGCGTGAGCCCAACGCAGCCAAATGGGGAGCAATGATCAGCCAATGGACAGCGTCGATTCCATGAACGGTTGCGTGTGAATAGTTGTGGTCGAGCTTGGGATCGAGCTTGATCATGGAATTGAAATCGCTATTATTTCTATCGATTTCCTGTTCAATAACTCGGCCCAGGTTAGCCTTACTTGGGCACGACTCACCTACCTCACAGGCTCACACTGTCATGATGTATCCCTCCATACTCCACGGACTCATTCGCCACCCTTCACATTCCTGCGACACGACGGTAACGTGACGTATACGCGCGCGTGTGTGTGGTGTCCCCGCATCGTCGTCATTGTGCTCTATCAGGGTACCATCGCAGCAAGAGGCAGCAGAGGCTGACACGAGGCGTGTTGGGGCCCGAGTCCGGGCTGTACCACGCGGACTGGTACGAGTGTGGGGTCGCCATCCCAGGCTCCTGGTGACGATGGTGGGAGAGCGGGCGAGAGAGCTTCACGCGCGGCACGGTCTGTACACATCGTGTCTGTGTGCCGTCTGATCTACAGCGACTTTGACTTAAGATATATTTTAACGGTACGCACGTACTCATTTGTAGTCCAGCGTAATGAATTTCGAACCGTGTATCAATCTATCGAGGACCTTTCCTGCATTCTCATTCCATTGTTATTCTGCTTTGTCTCATTCTAAAAAAAAATAATATATGTTTCACTTGCGCATCTGTTTATTTTTCCAAAACAGCAAATGGCATTGCATGGCCCCTTTACTAAGCAGCGGTACAGCCACATTATTGTCCCACCTCCATTCCCGCATGGCCGTACCACGGTGATGTGTCGTATGACATGAGCTGCTTTGTAATAAGCTGAAGGCAGTGCCGCAGTGGAGAGCCTAATCCTCTGCAGGCGAATGCTCCGCCACCTACACGTTCTCTCTGCGCCAATGGGAGTCTGAACACGCCTGCATGTTGTGACGAAATGTTAACTACCTCGCCTGGTATGCAGGAGGTCGTAGGTTCGATCCCGATTCTGACGCATGTATATTTGGAGTTTGAATTTTCTCCCCGTGGTCGGGTTAATTTTCATTGAGAAACACGCGTTTAGAGTATTTGGCTGCTATACATTTCCACATGATCAGCCACTTCGTTGAGCTGTGATCCGTGGGCAGTTCGCTTGTGTAAAAGAGCTACATAGTTCAGTGGGCCTTTACCTGGTAAAATAAATAAAAACACTTATTAGTAATCGTCTATCTGTGCCCAAGCCACGTGGAAGTGCTGCCACCTGCTGGATCTTCCGGTAATAGCAGAGCCCAGCCAGTCGGAGAGTGGAGTGGCCAAGACTTCAGCTGCACGTAGGGGCAGGCACATTGTTGTCGATTACAGCATGGCCGTTGTTTGTTATGGCTTCAACTGCAAACACATCTGACGTGGTGCCATCGCATTTCAATCCCGGAATCATTAGTTTGGTTTTCTGTGTCTTTTGTGTGTCCAGTTTAATTATCTTCCTTTGTATTATACAATTGCAACGTTGTGCATGAAAAATGCATAGATATGCAAATTAGTTGCATTCCTCTTGATCTACACACAGCTGTTTGTTTTGCCTATGATGTTGCTCCCTTCTAATAATGATCAGAAGGTGAAGTTTTTTGCAGCTAATTCCAACAGTGTGCATTCTTTGTTGTTGTACCGTACAGTTGCAGTACGTATATTATCATTGCATAAAATAAAAATGTTCATGCAGCATACACGGTGTTCGTGTTATGATTGAAGAGATAGCAGTTATTTGGTTATTTAGAAAATGTATTTAATCAGCTGTATAATTTGCGCGATGGATTCCAAAAATAGCAGCACCTTCACTACTCCAAAATCAAATATTCAATTCGGTCAATTTTATGAAACACAATCTACGTTGGCGGATAGCTCACAGCTGATGATTTGTTGTCACATTTTTGCTTGGGCTCTTCAACTCTCCTCTGGTTTTGATCATAAACCTAATCATTTGCCCCCACGTGACAACTTTTCCCGTACCTCCGATGAGCACGGTTGGCTACGTTCGGTGCGAAAGAAGTTCAACATTGCTCTCCGATAACGCGGCAGTAGTTGCGTTCCTGAAGAACACTGCGTTATGGGAAAATCGCGTTATAATAAATAAATAATAGGGTAAAGCACAGCAATAACGCTTGAGATGTGTACGCAGGCTGAACAAAGACTGAGGCACGTGGGTAGCATCTAGAAGCATCCAGCAGCATCCCGCCTTGTGTGATGCTACGTCGAGGCAGCCGTTCGACCGTTTATTCCTATTCGCGCGACGTAGTTCTGTTTACTCAATCGCGTGATATCCAATTCACATCCGCGTTATATACATAAAAATCCCTAATACATTCATCGCGTTAGAAAAGATTCGCATTATGAAAACAACACGGGGCGTTATAGGAGAACAGAGTGTACAACTTAATTTGCAGGAGGGGTATATCAAAACATTGGCATTACACGATCAGAAACTAATTATGCATCCTAATCAGGTTCGTTTCTCAGTCAGCTTGTCCTGGTGAGGATCGCGGTGGCAGCATATTGAGTAGGGCGGTCCAGACCTCCCTTTCCCTTGGCGACAGACTCCAGCGTTCCCAGGCCAGCCGAGCGACATAGTCCCACCAGTGTGTCCTGGGTCGGCTCCGGGGTCTTCGCTCAGTGGAACGTGCTGCCCGGTAGAGTTCCAGGGGGAGCCTACCAGGGGGCATCCTTACCAGGTGCCCGAACCACCTTAACTGACTCCTCTCGATTCGGAGGAGCAGCGGCTCAACTCTGAGTCTCTTCCGGATTACCGAGCTCCTCACCCGATTGCGGAGAGGAAGCCCGGCAACTCTGCGGAGAAACCTAATTTCGGCCCCTTGTACACATGATCTCATCCTTTCGGTCATCATCCAAAGCTCATGACCATAGGTGAGGGTGGGGATGTAGATCGACCTGTAAACCGCGAGCTTTTTTAGTGAACTATGCTCCCGCTTCACTACCACGGAACAGTACAGCGCCCACAACACTGCGGATGCCGCACCGATCCACCGGCCGATCGCCTGCTCCCGCTTACCATCACTCGCAAAAAAGGCCCCGAGGTACTTCAACTCCTCTTAATCAGTTTTTCATCTGAATTTTTATTTGAGGCTGAATAGTTATTTCTTAATACAGTAAAACCTTGGATTGCGAGCATAATTTGTTCCGGACACGTGTTTGTAATCCAAAGCACTCGTATATCAAAGCACTCGTATATCAGTTGTGATCACGTGACTCTCGGCAGACAAAGCGTATACGTACTGCTCGTATTGCAAGACCTCGCTCATTTATCAAATTAATATTTATTTTAAAAATTTGCTCGTCTTGCAAAACACTCGCAGACCAAGTTACTCGCAATCCAAGGTTTTACTGTATATTTTTTATCAACAAAATGGCAAGTCTCTTTGTTTCCCTTTCTCTCCCTGCCTGCCTACCTGTGTTTCTGTCTCAGTCCGTTCTCTCTACGTACGATCGACATGTCCCTCTGTGTCTCCCTTTGCCTGGGGGGCTGCTGTGCCGAAATGGTGAGCAACAGCCGCGAGGAGACGTCAGCGACGTTCGATCCTCGCAGTGCAATGATAGAGGGGCTCCTCGACTTACGAACATTCGAATTACTAACTTTCAGAGATACGAACAACCTGTCCGTATTCCAGTTGCCTGTCCGGGAGTCCGAAGTTCAAACGCCGCGTAATAGATGGCGGTGGTGGCATCGACATCTACAGAACATGAAGAACCAGTGGAATCTACATCTCCGGGAGATTATTCAACTTTTAAAGCAATTCCCCGTGTTAAGTGTACATGCCGTACAACGTGTTTGGAATTGACGGGAGAAAAGTTGGACTTAAGAACAACTCGACTTATGAACAGATCTCTGACATTAACATAGCCACTTCCGTGCCCTCGTCCAGGAGGCCGCTCTCCGATCTTACATTTACATGCTAATTTCTCACATTACCATCACTAGCCCCGACCACTTCTTTATGACCCTTGGGCTACACCCATTTCAAACCTTTTAAAACAATCTGCCTCAGCAGTAGACCATGCTTTCCCACCTGATGACGGACGCTTGTGTTGCGCCCGAAACGTCGTGATTTATTTAATTTTATACCTACGTAATTTTACCGAAAGAACCAAAGAGTACTATACTACTATACCGCCTTCAACTTTTATGAACGACTGGGTGTTTAAGGTTAGCGATTTGTCGTATTTTCTGGCGGTATAGAAAATTAAAAAATACATTTACTTTAATATGCAAGTTAAAAGTTTGTATTTTAAAATTTGTGTTTTTTTATTTAGGGCCCCTTTATCACATAGGCCCCGCACTAGCTTAATCCGGCACTGCGTGGAACACGAGGCCAACTTTGTTGTTAATTGGCGACGTCTCCATTACTCCACAAAAGAGCACTTCTCTTATGGGAGGGAAAGAAAAAAAATCGGACAATAAATGAAATAAATAATGTTACCCAGTTCGCGGTGTCAGTGTATCCACGCATGGCCGCCAACTGAGCTGTGGGCAAGGTGGCTGTGGTTAGGGCACTGCGCGGTTCGCGGTTGCTTATTAATGACTGGTATTCTGGCTTTTATTAATGAAAAGACTTTGCTTGCATTACAGCCCTGTTCCCGTGTGTGTGGTTCACCAGCGTGTTCAATCATTCCGTTGCATGCGACGATATCAAACGAGTCCGCTTTTATTGGCCTACCATACTGTCATTATTCAATTCCACACTCGACGACGAAACATTCAAGTAGTAGTAATAATAATTACATCTACATCGCGCTTTTCATCAAGGATCTCAAAGCGCTGTACAGGACACAGCAGCAGCAGACACTCAGCATAAAGTAATACGATTTAAGAATAATTAACTAAACGTTATGGAAGCGTAAGCGTATATACATCGGTTTTAAGGCGCATTTATAAAATGTCCACAGACTCAGAAATCCTGAAACTTCGTGGAAGAGCGTTCCATAGCTTGGGGGCTACACGGCAAAAATCTCGGTCACCCATAGACCGAAACCTCGACCTGGGAATACAGAGAAAATCTGCACCCCCAGATCTTAGGGACCTTGAGGGAATTTATGGGCGCAGCATGTCAGTGATGGAGGCTGGGGCAAGATGGTTCACTGCTTTGTAAGTTAACAATAGGATGTTAAACTGTATTCTATGTGAAACTGGAAGCCAGTGTAGGGACGCCAAAGCCGGCATGATACGATGTGACAAATGTGTTCTGGTTAACACCCTAGCAGCCGCATTTGGAACATGCTGCAAATTGATTAGCACCTTCTTAACATTACAATAGTCTGTGTGAGATAAGATGACGGGTACCAATTGGAGCAACCAACGTGCGAGCTTTCCGCTGAGCAGCGCGCGACCTCTTCCACAACCTCGGCCTCGCCCAGTGGGCGCGCCACAATGCGTCCCTGGCGGGACCACTTCACTTCGTTGGCCCTTGCTCTGAACGTCCCGGTGAGCCGACTGCGAAATCTTGTGAGACCCCCCCTTCAAAGCTGGCACTGACGGCGCCGGATGCAAGCAGTGTCGGATCATCCTAGTAGCACAAGCAGCTTATGCTACGGGCCCCGCACTTTCAAGGGTCCCGCGCTAAATTCTTTAAAGCTATCAATTCCGGTTCAGTGATTCTGCACTTGCGCTATTACTATAGTACTATACTGCCTTCAACTTTTATGATCAACTGGGTGTTTAAGATTAAATTAAAAAATACAATTACTTTACTATGCAAGTAAAAAAATAGTGTTTGAATGTTTAGGTTTTTTTTCATTTAGGGCCCCTCAATAACATATGCTACAGGCCCCGCACTAGCTTAATCCGGCACTGGGTGCAAGGCACTCCCAGGAGTCGCGAGGCGCACACCGGGCGCACGCTGCGCGTGATTGTGACGGCTCCTCCGCATTGTGAGCAAGCTTCAAGTCGCCTTTCGAAAACGAAAGATTTGTCTTCAAACAAGGACGGTGCACGAAGAGCTCGCCTGCGTGCACGCGCTCAAGTATTTTGCCGCTGGTGTGTTTTGACGTGAGTCTTCAAGTGGGAAATCTGAGAAAAGCCCTTTCTGAATTCTACGCACACCAGGGGCCTCTCACCAGTGTGTGTCATCTTGTGCCTCTTCAGAGTGGAAATTCGCGAGAAGTCTTTCTTGCACTCGCCACACTCGTGCAGTCGTTCTTCTGTTGTGTATTCCTGGATTGCGTTTTCAAGTGGGAGAGGCGAGAGAAGCCGTCTCCACACTCTTTGCACATGTGCGGCCTGTCGCCTGTGTGCGCCCGAAAGTTGCACCTTTAGATGCGACATCCGTGGAAATCCCCTCGCGCACTCCTCGCACGCGTGCCGCCTCTCTCCGTAGTGCGTGCCCCGATGCCTCTTCAGATCGAGGGCACCGCAGAAACTTCTGCTGCACTCCTCGCAGACGAGCGGCCGCTCCCCGGTGTGCGTCAGGCGATGCCTCTTGAGGTGGGAAATCTGAGCGAAGTTCTTCATGCACACCTCGCACCGGCACGGCTTCTCTCCCTAGTGTACGTCATCCGATGCGTCATGAGGTGGGAGATCTGCGAGAAGCCCTTTCTGCACTCGTTACACACGTATGGCCACTCGCCCACGTGCGTCATCTGACGTAACTTCAGGGTGATGATGATGTTCGATAAACGTCTCTTACACACGTGCATGTATACGCATTTGTGGAAAATG